TATACTCTTTTACACTTATGCTTGAATGACAGCGAACCATAGGGGAACAACAGAGAAACAATAGGGGAGAGCACATTTTGCACATTTATCATGCCAAAGCAAGCAAGCGTGGGTACAAGGGCATAACGTCTGCGGTGATACTGGTAATGCTGGAGCGTAGCCTGCTTTGTCGTCAGCTTTGCGTAGCGTGCACATCCGTGTTCGTGTACTTGTTCTCATGCGAACAGGACACCCTGATCATGCTTTTTACTCGTGATGAGCTATGCCCTGGCTACGTGCTTGATTATGAGGGGGGTTACAACACAAGTGATGTGTAGGTTGGGCTAAGTGAGGATTTTCAGAATATATCTTCTTTGCAGTGTCCAAGATATGTGGATCTTTAAACAGATAGCAAAATGCCTGCTCTGAAGGGAGTGTTTCAGCTTATGCCAGTTATGATATTGAATTTATCAGTTCGATCTGAAGCGGGATCAGAGAAACACAGGAGGGCTCTTGGCCAGTGTGACATGTTAAACTGTCATTTATTTACACCTGAAGCCCAATTCTGGCCCTAGTCTCCAGACAATCCCAAGTTAATTGAAGCCCAGTCACCTTCTGTTTCTGTACCTTTTCTGTTTTTCTCAAGATCCGTACTTAAAGCTCTTTTTGTTTGTCTATTTTTGTAAAATGTTTAATTTTCAGCTGTATCTTCAGAATTCTCTGAATATGACGATCAATGCGTGACAGTCCGTGCTGCAGTCCCTGAAGAAGAGCGGGTCCCAGGATCTGAAATAAATTTTGTAAGTTGTAGAGATGGGTCAGGAGGCAAAATAGGGGATATGAATGGTTGTTGCTCTTTGCCCCCAGAGCATCTTTTACTGGGATGTTGACCAAAAAGGATGTTTTGTGGTCCAAATCAAAAGGCATTGCGGGATGGGGAAGGCTACCCACTCTGGGCCTTTCACGGTGGATGGCTCATTTTTCCCATCTGTGTCTTGCCTTCCCCACTACAAATAAAGACCCTTCTGGGGCAAAACTGAGGGAGTCTCACCCTTGCATGTCTTCCACAGAAAGAAGAGTTTCTCCTCTTTACAGTTTATGCTGCTATGGATTACTAATTTTCCTGTAGTAGTTAATGTAACCAAGCAGTGTGGCTAAATTACCACAGTTTACATTACTTTTAAATGGGGAGAAACAGCCATTTTTCCCTATTCAGTTTTTTCCTGAGAGAGAACAACAGGGGTGGGCCCCCTCTGTGGAATGCCCTTCCCTGGAAGCCCCTTCTGTTACCATTATAAGCATTTAGATGGCAATTTAAGAACTTCATTTTATAGCTAGCATTTAATCTTTGATCTACTGCTCTGGTTATTAATTTCACTGCTGGCTTCTGGTGATTGTTAATAATGATTTAGTTATCCTGATATTACTTAGTGGTTTTGTTGTAGTGTGTATGTTCATTTGTGTATTTTGTTGGTTTAGTTTCACAACTGTAAACTTTTGCCTGTTGGACAGTACAGAAATGTAACAAGGAAGGAGTCTGAGCACCTGTAAAGCTTGCCTTTTCTGTGACAATCCTGTTTCCCCAATTCTTTCCAAAGCCTCTCTCTGAAATGCTAGCAATTTTGACCAAGCAGCGGAAACCTAAATATTTAAATGACATCCAACTCTCTTCTTCCTTTCCCTCAATTATAATGGTTGTTGGTGAGGTGATATTGGACTACGGAGCCCATTAGTCTGAACCAGAAGGGCTGATGGGAGCTGCAGTTTGACAACATGGCAAAGTTTATGTTGCTTCCATCTGTACTTTGGGCAACTTCACCTTTTAAGCTACCAAAGTATTGCTATATGAATAGGCACCTGCTGGGGACTGAGAGGGAAGTTGAACTAGGAACAAAGAAATAATTCGGAAGCTCACTTCAGTGTTTCTGTTCTAGATTCATAAAGGTTTTGAAGAGTCTGTTCAGCTTTGTGAAACTCTTGCTGAAGAAAGGGTATGTGCATTCAATATTCTTCAGGGAATGTGATCTAAAGTGAGGATTACGCTCCTTAATCTCCTTCCCTTTCTTGTCTAGGCCATGGCTGTTAGTGAACAGCAAGCCACAAGGGCACAACTAGAACGTCTGCAGTTGGAAAAGGAACAGCTGGTTTGTGAGCTTAGGGAACTCAAAGAGAAAATGTCAACATATGAGTTTGTGGCTCTTGAAAAAGAGACTGCAAAAGAGCAGGAGGTAAGGAGAGGGTGTTTTGTGTGTGCATGCATGAAAACACATCACCATTCAGTTCTACTACTTCCACTGTGGCTGGCAAAACCATTACCACAGTAGCAAAACATAAACTGTTTAATTTCTATATCACTCAATAGCAGAAGCTGTGTAGGCACTTCATGATAGTTTCTCAAAATACAATAAAGACTCAAATACTCTGTATTTAAAAAGCAAAAGCTGTAAAATGACTCTGAAAGAGTAACAGAACAAACCAGAGTGGCTGCCCATAATCCTCCAAACTCAGGGATTACCAGTATCCAGTGGAGGCTAGAAGGAACACACGGGTTTCAGCCATCCTCCATCACTGAGGCCAGGCTCTGCTTTGAGGAAGATGGGATGGGCAACTGATGTACCAGCCTTAGCTGCTGAAAGGAGTTCTTTGCAGCAGATCAGCTGTGCCTCCACTGACAACAATAGGTTTAATAAGGTGATCACATGCTTCAACCTTCCACTCCAGATGTGTTAAACTGCAACTTTCATGATTCCCAGTCAGCCACTGGGATGGTGGGAAAAGTGATGCAAAGATCCTCCTGGAATCTGGCTCTTAGCTCACTGGACTTCTTTCCCACAGTCAGCCCTGACCTAGGAAGTGAACTGAGCCAAGACCAAGTCTAGGAACACTTTAGAATGCTAGCAGACCCCAGTGAGTGCACAGTTAATCATCTGGGAAGCACATAGGCAAAGCCCTCAGGTCACATGGGCGGAAGCAGAACTCTGCTTGCGCAGCACACCCAGGCATCATGTGTGCAAACTGGCACCACTAGGTATACCTGAGCAGCTGTGATGGGGAATATGCAACAGTTGGACTTGCTTCCTGCTGGATGCCTGTGTGAATGCTTGGTGCAAATTAGAGCTCGGGCAGACAGAAAACAGGCTGGAGTTTGAAGAGCTGAGCTGAGAAGATCTGACAGATTCCTTGGAACTGAATTCCTCACGCATTGTCAGGTGGGAGTTGTAGTTGAACATATTAGAGGGAGCCAGGTTGGTGAAAGGTGGTCTAGGGAGACCCTGTTTTGGGTTTCTTCCACCTTCTGAAGTACAGCATGTGGGATACAATATCCTCTGGTGGTGTACAGTCAATGGAGAACCTTGTCAAGATGTCCACCTGGCCCCATCACCCTTGCCCTTCAGCAAGCAATGATGATTATCTTCTATTTCAGCAGACATCTAAAGATTTTATGAACACATTTTATACCTCATACCTTCCATACAAAGAACCTTCAAAGTGGCTTAGCACCATGACATTAAAACAATGATTCAGCCATTAAAAAATCTGGCCAGAATTTTAAATCTTTCCTGCACAGTATTTTTGTGTTCTACCACATTGACTCTCTTTTCAGAAAAGCAACATTAAAGTGTTGAAAATACCTAATAGCACATCCAAACTGTGAGCCTGGCCTCATTCACGAGCGAAATCCATGTTTCAGTTTTCCTGATATTTCGCTCTTGCTAAGTCTTACTAAAGTCCTCCCATTGTGAGCATTTTGCATCTGGTCTTCAAGCTTTTGTTGTTCCTACCTGTGATGAATGTATTTAAAGGAAATTATCCTTAAAATATCTTGCAAAGAATTGAGTGGTTGCAAAATTTATTTAGTCCTAACTACTCTGCTTTGGCCCTGTCCACAGATGAAATATGGCTCATGAGATCTAAAGTCACATAATAGGGCAATCTTGATTAATATAAGCCTATGTCTAGTTAGGACCTGGAAAGAAGCACTATCAGGGAACCTATGGTTCCTTGAATTGCGTTATGGAAGGTAATTGGGAAGCCAATGCTTCAGGGTTTCCACAACTTATACATACTTGAGAGAATATGCAAAAACTCTTGTGAGCAGCATTTGTTGTATATTCACATTGTTCCCTACTCTTCTGAAGGTCTGAAAAGTAATAACCCAATGTTGAGATTTAATTTTTCTAGGACCTTTTACAGTGTAAGAGGATAATCACACTGCAGTATCAACTTATTTAAAATTCACCAGTTCTGAAGGGCAACTTTAATGCAAAGCCTGCTTATGTTTGTGGTGGGTAATAGCTGCTAAACAGTGCCTTCTAACTTGCCTGTGCAATTTTGCTTCGATTGCTCCACAGATGCAACTAACACATGAAATTTCCAGCTTAAAGGCTATAATTACAAATGCTGAAGTTTACAATCAGGATCTTCAGGTGAGCTGGTGGTGGTTAGAGGTGGTGGTTGGCAGCCTTGCATGCAGTTGGTACAGGCTAACATGGATATCTATCTCTAACTGATCTCTAGTGCCTGGGCTGGTTCTACCAGTGTCATGCAGCCGTACATGGCTCTTAATATATCAGTAAGCTGGAAATTTAAAAAAAAGAACCTTAATCTATTTCATCCTGCACTTGTTATGTTCTTTGCCTATGCTTTTTAGGAGGAAATAAACACAAAAGCTGAGCTGATCAAAAAACAAGAGAAGGAGATTGAGATGCTGGAAAATCAGGTCAATGAGTTGAAGATGGAAAATGAGAAAGCAGATCTTTCCTTCTCAATAGTAAGCTCCAATTATTGTTTGGAAGTTCACTCAGCTAATGGTTATGTATTGGTGTTTTAGCACCATTACTCACAATGAGATTGAACTTGAATCAGTTGCCTCAATCTCAAGGGGACAATCCAGCCTACTTGGAGGACCAAATCAAGTGCCCCAGATAAGCATCTCCCTTCCCCCAGCCTCAAATCATTTGGCAGTTTCTTAGTGCTTGTGCTGTTTGTGCACATTCTGAAAGGTTGAAATGCTTCTAATGCAACAAGAGCATTATGATTGCTGTATTTATAGATTTTGCTGTGAGCCATCCAGAGAAGAAAGTGATTAGACGGGCTAGAAATATCCCAAATAAATGATAAAATATAACTTTTTAGGCTGAGCCCTGCTTTGACTGGAATGCCACTCTAGAATGTGGCTTCTAGCTGAAAGAGTATCTGTACCCCTGAGTCTTAGAAAATGCTGTATCATCCCCTAGAGAAGGTCCATGGGTGTGACATACAAGTGGGCACTGGCAAAGCCTGCCAGCCCTTTGAACTTTTCCCTAGTGAGTGTGGAGTGCGTAAAATAATTAGCAGTGGGCAGTAGTGCATTTTTGGGGGAAAGTGCATGGTTTCATGATACATGAACCTGGTTTTTAATCCTCTGCCCCCCAGCTTAAAGTCTGTTGTTGGAATCTGGCTCCCATCATCCCCAGCCAGCATAGCTAGTTGACAGAAGTGGAAGGAATTATTGTATTATCATCCAACATAATGACCACCCATCGTCCAGTTGGTAAACCTGTACAGGTTGAGGGAATCTGTAGATGTGTAGCCTCCAGATGCTAATGATGCTGGACTAAAACTCCCATCAGCGTGGCCAGGGATGATGGGGGTTATAATCCAGTAACATTTAGAGGGCCCCATCCCTCCTGTTCAAATTGCCATGATCACAGCCTGGAACAGCCCAGACAATTCTGTGTGTGGTTATCTTGGAAATGAAACTTAGTCTAGGACAGTGGTGGCGAACCTATGGCACGTGTGCCACAGCGGGCACACAGAGCGCTCTGCTGGCACACGCACCAAGTCACCCCAGTATCACCCCAGCAGCCGAGCATTGGATAACAGCGCATATAGGGGCCAGGCACGTGCTCGGAAAGGAGTAGGGGCGCCAGGCGATGACGTCATGAGCCACAACTCATTAGCTGCCACTTGTCCAAGCTTTCACATGGCCAGTGAATGTGCTGCCAAGGATATATACAGTGGTACCTTGGCTCACGAACTTAATCTGTTCCAGGACTCTGGTCGTGACCCAAATTGGTCATAAGCCAAGTTAAATTTCCCCATAAGGTTCAATGTAAATAAGGTTAATCTGTTCTGTAACCATTTTTTAAATCAGAAAAATGTGAAGCAAAGTGACGACAACAAAGATCGCAGCCGTCTCCCCCCTCCCCAACCCCAAGCAGGCCATCTCCCCGCCGCCGCCCCCAGCACAACCGTGATTGCGCCTGTCACCCCTGCACACACCTGTCATCCCGGCTCGCTGGGGAGGGGGAGAGACAGGCGCGAACACGGGCGCACTGGGGGGGGAGAAACAGGCGCAAATGCGGGTGTGCTGGGGGGGTCAAGACGGGCACAATCGTTCTGGGGGTGGAGATGGCTGAGATCGCGATTGCACTTGTGCAGGAAAGACAGGTGCGATTGCGGCCATCTCCCCCCTCCCCCACCCCAAGCACAAGCGCAACCATCTCCCCGCCCCCCAGCATGACCGAAATTGATCCTGTCATCCCTGCACGCACCCGTCATCCCAACGCACTTGGGGTGGGGAGGAGAGACAAGCGTGATCGCAGGCGCACTGGGGGAGGGAGGGATGGGCGCAAACGGTGTGCTGAGGGTGGGGAGAAGGCCGCGATCGCAGTTCCATTTGTGCAAAGAAGGCGTGCCTGATCAGAGGTGCGCTCCTGCAGGAAAGACAGGCAGAATTTCGGCCATCTGCCCCGCGGCTCTGCTTTGCTGCTCCCGTCTTTCCTGCAGCAACGCGCCTCTGATCACCCACACCTTCCCTGCACAAACGGAACTGCAATTGTGGCCATCTCCCCACTGGGGGGGGAGGGGAGATGGCTGCATCTTGGTCGCCACCCAAAGTGGTGTTTGCAACCCAAGTCAAAGTTTTTCAGAAATTTTTGTTTGTGACCCAACTTGTTCGTGAATCAAGGCGTTCGTGCGCCAAGGTACCACTCTATATATTTGCTTGGACTGGCTGTGAGGTGTTTTTTCTAAAGCAAAACCTCAGTTTTCAGGTTTTATTGCAGTGTTGGCACTTTGCGATAAATAAGTGGGTTTTGGGTTGCAGTTTGGGCACTCGGTCTCTAAAAGGTTCACTATCACTTGTCTAGGAGATCCATGGATTGTTCTACAAGATTAGGTCAGAGGCTTGCAATATTCACAGAAGCGTAATTAGCTATTCATCCTTCATTTCCTGGAGTTCTTATAGGTAAATCTACCATGCTGTCCTTGTCATTCTTGCAGCAAACCTCAAATAAAGGCCTGAATGAAATGCAGCAAATGAAACAATCTCTCAGGGATGCTGAAACAATAGCTCTGGATGCTAAGAAGGAATCTTCATTCCTCAGGAGTGAAAACCTTGCACTAAAAGAGAAAGTGGTAAGTTTAATTTTTAGTGGCCCTTAATGGATGCGCACGGAGCAGTTCTGAGTACTGCTGTACCTGCTTGCTTTGTATTCGGAGAACAACCCTGAGAAGCCCACAACTTGGGAAGAAGTGGGGGTTTAGTCCTCTTCAGAGAATGGCAGGTAAAATTTGTCTAAACAGATATCACTTTTGTGGATGTCTATGGCAAGCAGACATATATAAAATATAAGCAGGCAGTTTGGGGACACTGGTTTAGGATCTTCTCTGGTGAATTATGCTGGTTTTCTGGTGAGAGCTCTGGGGTGGAGTTACCTGGAACATGAGCTGGAGGATGGTCTTTCACTCATGTCTTGCACCTGTGCGTCTCGCACAGCTGGCTGGCCGGCCAGTGTGTAATGGAATGCCAGACTAGATGCACCCTTGGCCTGATCCAGCAAAGTTGTCTTCTGTTCTTAATGGTGCTAATACAAGCTTGAAGAGAATGGTATCACTGTATCATCTGTTTTCACACAAGCTCCTGTCTACTGCACATTGTTCTAACATGTTAAATGGACAGGGTAACCATAAGTTAATCTGTTCTCATATAGAGCCAGCTGTCAGATACTTACAGCCAAATGGAAAAAGAGGTTGAGTGTTATAGAAGCCAGTTAGAAGCTGGAAAAATCACGTACAAGAAAATGCAATCAGACCTGCAAAAGGAACTGCAGTACTACTTCCAGGAAAATTCAAAGCTGATGTCACTCTTGGAGGGTAAAGCTCCAAAAGGTACTGGTACAAATATCTCCTTTCTCTATATTAGAGCAGCACTTGGTAGCAGTTGTGGGTAAATTAACCCAGGATTTGTGAAGACATGATCAAAGATTATGTCATACAGTTGTAGACCAATGGGTTGCTTAGGGGCTGAACAAGGCATCAGTTAAGCTGCTTACAGGAACCAGAAGGGTGGGGCTCATCCTTCTGGTTTCTGCCACGCAGGATCATTCATGGGTTAAACCGCAATCCACCACCAAGACATGAGACCCAGATCAGAAGTGCCTGCTCAGTCTGATAATTGAGGAATGCTATTCTTCCACCACTAGAATGCAACTCCTGAGTTTTCCTGAAATTGAATTTGGCTCTTGGCCTCTGAGAGGTTCAATGCCTTTACCTTGGAGGCTCTGTGCTTCAGTGTGAAAATCCCTAGAGGAGAAATCTGGCTTTCAGTAGCTGCATGGAATTATCAAAATGGAGACAACATTTTACTCTGGCTCCTTAGGAAATGTACACATGGTTAGAGAATTAGAGGTCATGGAGGTAGAAAGTGTCAGAGGTTTTAAAGGATGGCTCAGGAAGGAAGACAAGTAGGCAGACAGTTGTATGCTGTGCCCCTTGATTGTAAAGAATTAAGTTTCAGTGATGGAGAAAAGGGGGTAGCCCTGTTGAGGTAGTTCATTTGATAGGAACCACACTATAAACTGGTGGAAAGGGCACGTACCTTAATGGGGCATTTTGTGCCAGCAGATACATATGAAGGCTTACATATAAATGCTCAATTTTATCCACTGAAGGCTTAAACTTTTTTCCTTAGACTTGTTGTCCTGTATGGAATTGGAAAGAAAAAATGAGGATTTTAAGAATGAACTTAATAAAACTCTGGAAGAAAATGCAGCTTTAAGAAAAGAAGTAGCTGCATTATCAGAAGCTGCCACAGGACATGACCTTGAAAGCTTCCAGAAAGAGGTAAAAATATAATCTTGGTAATCGGAAGCTGTTTTTCATGTTGTGGATTTCTGCAATGGGCCCCCTGGCTTGAAATTCCCCATGCCTAATCTGATCCTAGCTGTTATGGCGGCCGCAGCTGCTGCTGATTATTATTATTTTGGTGGCTTTCGCACGTTTTCCCTATTCTACAATCCATCTAAAGGCTTTAAGCAAAATAAGACAATATTTTTTACACATTGACTTGCACCCTTTTATTGCTTCAGCCCTGCTCACTACCGAACTGCCTTCCCCATGAGCATCCCTGAAGTTAACATAACCCACAATCTGAAAGAGGTTTGACATCCCTGTTCTAGAAGATGTCTCATTTTCTGAAATAAATGCTTGCTTTTTGAGATGTAATTAATGTCATCAGCTTTCTCTGCTGGTTTGAAAAACAGCTAGTACAGAATGTTTGAATTGGAAAATAGCACTTACAGATGTAGGAAGCAGCTCTGGTACTGCACATTCCATTAAAATGGTGATTGCTTGTATCACCCAGTAATGTCCTCCTATACTGCCATTCATGTTTAGAACATTCTGCTCTTTTTCCTGGGTGACATCCAAATACCAAGGCAATCATTTTTGGTGCTCAAAGGTGCCAAAAATGAAGTATCCAATATTTGTGAGAAGGAAAGGGAGGCTGGTAGTGATTTATTTAAACTGGGTAGACTTGTGATCAAACAACCTGCTGTTCAACTTTTGCTGGGGCAGTTACTGTTTTCTCAACTGAGTGTCCATTTCAGGGTTGTTTCCAGGTCTGAATAAGATACTGCTGTGTAAGTTTCTGCTCTAAGACAGCTTCCCCCACTCAGGGCCTTCCAGATTGCGGACTACAACTCCCGGTACCCTGGGGATGATGAGAGTTGTGGTCTGACACATCTGCAGGGCTTGAGTGTAGGGAAGAATGCGCTAAGGATTTTTGTTTGTTTGTGGAGAAGATTGGAGCCACAGTCCAATGAACAGTAAAGATACTTGGTTTTTCACTTCACTTCTAGTGCACAGCAGATAAAACAAGTCTGAAAAGCTAAACCCATATTCTTTCTTCAGCTGAAATGCACCTTATAAATTGTACCTGAGATGATCACTTTCTCACACCTATGCTCTTTTTAAATATGGATCATTTGTACATGTGACAGATACTTGAAAAATCGGAGATGATTGCATCACTGACCTCAGAACGAGACAGCTTGCTTTCTCAAATAGCTGAGAAGGAGAGAGTGCTCTGCGAAGTGAATGATGCACTAAAATCCAAAGAGGATCTTACAAATGTTGAAGCAATAAGGGAAAACATGATAACTTTTCAGGAGCTGAAGTACCAGAATAACAAACAGGGTCAGAAATCCTTGATTGCAGAAGAGGAAAGCAAACAGGTGGAAGGCCAAGTAGATGTTCAGTCAGATGAAAATCTCAAGCTAAATGTAAGCATCAGTGAAATGACCCAAGAGGTGAGTCCTTTATTCTCTGTGGCTGTTTTTAATACAGCAGCTGATGGTGTGGAGCCCCTTGAAGGTTAGTTTTACTGCAAATGGTTCTTCATGCTAATCAAGGGTTCATTCTGGGAATGTTCCCTAGTACAGCCCCCATGCTCATGGCTACTTATATTGAGGCCAGGCCTGACATTTAAGTAAGTGCTTATAAAGAGGGCACAGCAGCCACTGCCTAGCCATTCTCAGCTGAGCAGGTAGATACAGAATTTAACGCTTGAGCAGTTGCTCAAGACTAGGGTGTTGATCGTTTGAATGGTACCTGAGGACTTTTGAACCACATCAGGGTCCAACTGCAGACAGCAGTTTTGAACCACAGGCTCAATCTGGCCATCCAGGGGTCCAAATCCACCTCAACCTGAACCACCCATAGTCTAGCAGTCTTAAACCAACATGAAAGGGTAAGATCTCTGCGATGAGCTTGGAGATTACTCAAAAGCACCATCTGCCTGCCCATGTCCCCGCATCCCACTCACTGCATCCCAGCATCATGTTTGTGGGAGGTGTGCTGGTGCCTCCAGGGAGGGGAGAGACAGCTGAATAGGAGCTATGCTGTTCCAGGTCTGCCCTCTCGGTAGAGCCCTGAAGACCCGGCCTCCTCCTGCTGTGTTGTGGTGCAGGGCAAATGCTGAGGTGGGGTTGTGTTGACTGTGTTTTCTTAGGCAATCTGCACTAGTGTGTATGGGGCTTTGAGTGGGGGAGTTAGTTGTATTTCATTATGTAACATTACAAATATTATTGTATTAAGCAACTTTGTTTTTGGATCACTCTGCTGTTAATTCTGTATTTGATTTTGTATTTGCTTATGAGTATAGTACTATATTTATATTTTGTATTTTTGCTATTGTAAATCTTTGTTTATTTTATTTTGTATCTTGTCTTTGCTGCAAGCTGCACAGAGAGCCTTATGGTCTATAGGGGATCATCCAAATGTAATAAATCAATTACTCTTGCTTAGTGAGACAGGACAAAAGCAAAGCCCCTTGCTTCCTGCCTCTTCAGTGGTGACTCTGCCCTTCTAGAGTGGAATATGTTTGATTAGCTGCTCCTGGGTTAACTTTTGGTCCTACTTCATCTGCATTTGGCCCTGTCCACCCTGGAATGCACTTCCCACCCACAGGAGCTTCTTCAGTTGAAGCTGAATTTGACCCTCAGTCAAAGAGTTTTGATACTCCTTGGGTTAGAGGAATTAGTCTTCTCTCCACCCTTGCTTCCTGGAATGAGATTCCAGAACAACATGAAGCTCAAGAAAATCCATTATTATTGATCAGGAAATTGTCTTCCCTCAGAAATTTTTCGGAAAACTACTTTTCACCTATTTCCTTCCCACAAAAATGTTCTGCTGGAATAGCATGAAACTGTGTGATTTCATTTATGTGCCTATTTCTTTGTGCAAAACTGTCTTTGGTTCAAAGCAAGTACATTTTCAGGCCTATAAAATACTTGAAACCCACTCTGCCAAAGCCATTTATTTATGGGATTTAGATCCTACTTTTTTTCCTTCTCTTGAGGAATCTAAGGTGGCTTACCCAGCCCTCTTCACCAGAATCCTGTAAGGCAGATGAGGCTGAGAGTGAGTGGCTGGCTCACAGTCATCCAGTTAGCTTCATAGTCAAGTGGGAACTTGAACCCACATCTTCCAAGTCCCAGTCCAACTACTGCACCACACTGGAACTTGTGGCTTCTGAAGCCCCACAAAAAATTCATTGAACCCCTAGTTGTACTGACATAAGGTTTTGAGTTGTTTACTTTAAAGTAAGCCATGAGTCCCTGATCATTGAGTACAGGTGATTTGTTTGTTTCCCAGCTGCTTTCCATGCAAAATAGCCCCATAACCTGCCTCCCTGCCCCAGTTGTGAAAAGAAGCCAGTGGAGGATTTCTTTAACTATTGCACTAGGGTTGGGATGGGGGACTTGTTAGTGAAGGATGTGGCTGAGCAAGCAAGGTTTAAACAGCCCCTGCCCCTATAAAATGGGGTGGCCCCACCCAGAAGAGAAGAGCTGCACTCTTCATAATTACTATACTCCCTGCCTTGACCCTGAATTCTGTACTTCCCCAGCAGAATTCCTTGTGTTACAGTTCAGTGGGTAATATAATATTCAAACATTGTATAACTTAGCTGGAGATGCATATTCATCTGCCAGTGGTCTAGGAACACAGTTTGTAGGAGAAAATGGGAGTCCTTATGGTTCACGAGCAGGTCATTTCTAGGACTACATAAAAACCCTGGGGATGATGAGATTTTGAAACTTGATATTTCTAAGTTAGTTTTAAAAATATGAGTAAAATAACATTTATTTGCTCATTTTCCCATTAATTGAAGCTTTCCAGCAAGATGGAAGAACAGCAAGAGAAGCTTCTCAGTCTGAATGAACAACTTGGCGAAGCCCACCAGAAGCTGAGCAAAATGGAACAGCTCAATGAGCAGCTGAAGGCCTGGGAGGCTAAAATTGAGGCCGGGGAGACAGAGAAGTTAGTGCTAGCTCAGAGACTTGAAGAAAGTGAGGAAAAAGTAAGGATGCTGATCCAGGAGCAAGAGAAGCTTTTCAGTCTGAATGAACAACTTGGCGAAGCCCACCAGAAGCTGAGCAAAATGGAGCAGCTCAACGAGCAGCTGAAGGCCTGGGAGGCTAAAACTGAGGCCAGGGAGACAGAGAAGTTAGCGCTAGTTCAGAGACTTGAAGAAAGTGAAGAAGCAGTAAGAGTGCTGACCCTGGAAAGAGATGACCTGAAGCAGAAGCAGGAGGCTCTTGAGCAGGAGAGAGATCAGATCAAGGAAGATATCCAAGAGACTGTGTCAATGGTAAGCCAAACCAGGCAGCAAAAGCTAAAGAGTGGCAAAGTTGTGAGCATGGCAGAAAATTTCATAGTGCTACTGCACCAAAGCAGTATGTTAGCTGTAACATAGGCATTCATATTTTTGCTCTCTCTCTTGCCCTCAAAACAGAACATTGAAGCACAGGAAGAACTGAGAAATGCTCATGAGTCTCTGAAGCAATACCAGAATCATATTAAAGAACTGGAAGCAACAGTGGCAGAGAGAGACTCGCAGATTTCAGATGTTAAAGAAACTCTGAGGATTACTGTAGATCAACAGAAGCAGCAGGTGAGATAAGTATAGTAGACACATTTGGCAAAGGAAATTTTGGGGTTGTCTCCTTTAGGCTGCCTCAGACCAATAAGCCAACTGAAATTATCAAGGGGCTGGAGCAGCTCTCCTATGAGGAAAGATTACAGTAGCAGAGATTGTTTAGCTTAGAAAAAGGCAAGTTAGGGGAGAAATGACAGGGGTGTGCAGAATTATGCATGGCATGAAAAACATGGGGAATGAGTGACTGTTCTCTTTCTCATATTAGAACCCAAGGTCATCCCATGGAGTTGCAGAGTGGGAGATTCAGGACAGAGAAAAGGACAGATTAATTCACATGAGATGTCATTATCTTGGCACCAGGCTGGAGGGATTAGACAAATTTCTGGAGGATATAGCTATGAATGACACAGTACTGTTGATTATGTTATTCCCAGTATTGAAGAGCATGGCCAGGAGGGTACTCTTGTACTCATGCCCTGCTTATGGAATCCTATAAGCATCTGGACTGAACAATGCTGGACCAGATGCACTGTTGATCTGACCAACATCAGGCCTTTCCTTATGTCCCTCAATTGCTGCCCTCCAGACCTGCCATAATTGCCAGCCAATCCCTGACCATTGGCCAGCATAACCAGGGCTGATGGGCATTGTAATCCAAATCATCTGGAGCACACAAGATTAGGGAACACTACTGCTAGAGCAAGGGTAGGGAACCTGTGACCTTCAGCAAGTTGTGGGTTGAACTTCCATCAGTCCCCAGGCAATGTGATCAGGGAGAGCAGGAATTGTGGGAGGGAAATGTATTAGTAGTGCTGGGCATCCTGCTCCATTGAAGCAAAGCAGGGCATCACTGCTTGGGACAGGTTGCAATGCATCATAGAACAAAACATTCCTTAGGCCAGTCTCTTTGTGCTTGCTGGGAATTATGGGAGTTGAAGTCAAACCTCTGGGAGGGCAACAAATTGGGGAAGGCTGCTCTAGAAATTGTGATTTTTTTATCTTTGAGCACTTTCCATTTATTTCTCTGAAATGTTCTCATCACTTTATATTCTATTTTCTGCAGGTATCAAAGTTGCAAGAAGAGCTGGAACATGTCAGTGTGGAACAAAATCAAACCAAGGTAGATGCAAGAGAGTCCATGGAAGAAAAAAACAAGCTCCTGTTAATGAAGGAACAAATTACATCTCTTGAGCAAGAGAAGATGATGCTCCAGCAACAACTGGAAACCCTAAAAGAGGAGAAGATTCGGTGCTTGGAACACCATCAAATGGTAACTTCTTACTACTTGTACAGAGGGAAGTTTTAGTACATAATGAGTTTTAGTCTGTCTTTGTGAGAAAGTGATCAACTGATTTGTCCTTTGATATTGATTTAAATGCATGTGAACAAGTCATTCATTGTGTTTTTGAGAAGGAATTAAAGGAGGTGCATGGTTTGTTTCTTGAGTTTTAAATCAATGACTTGGTAACAGAAGAGGTTAAAGAAACTTGTCACATTTTTAAGTTAGAATATTGATGCTTAGGATATGTTGCTTGATACCTCCCCCATTTCCTTTTTTTAAATATAGTTTTCTGCTACATCTCAAGACCAGCAAACAGAGAATACAAGAACCTATATGGAAGAACAAGCCTTGGGTATACTTAGTGAAATGGAACAATTGAAGGAACAGTTAAAAGCCAGCAAGACTAGACTTGAAGCAGAGATGGTAGACAAGGCAGCTCTAGCTCAAAAGCTTCAACAGAATGAAGAAGCAATGAGGGCTCTCCTACAGGAAACAGATGGTCTGAGGGAAAGACAGAATACCCTACAAATGGAGAAGGATCAGTTCAACAAAGAGATGCAAATGACCCAGGCAATGGTAAAATGGGGTTCATTTTTAACTGCTCAAGTTCTGTATATTTTTTTATTTTGCATGACTACCAAAAAAGTAGCATATCAACCACCCCTCCTTCCCCGGCCCTTCTGATTCTTTGGTCTGTGTTCCAGCCAGGAACATAAAAACCTAGCACTGACAAGCAATCTTAAGTTGTCCGCACTTGCATTTGTCACTGTGTCTATCATGTGTATTGTTGGATGGATGCTAATTTTTTTCCTTATTAAAAGCTGTCTCTTAAGATGAAAGAGCTGCAAGACAAGGAGACGGAGCTGGAGGAGTTGCTGAGAATGAAGGAACAGCTTTGCGAAGCCCAGCACAAACTGGAGGAAGAACTGAAGGCTAAAGAATCAAAACTAGCAGCTGAAAAGGCAGAGAAGCTGGAAATGGCCCAGAGACTTGGTGACAGTGAAGAAGAGAGGAAAGCCGTAATCCAGGAAAGGGATACCCTGAAGCAGAAGTGGGAAGCTCTTCAGACTGAGATGGAGACTCTCAAAGGACTAGAGGAAGAAACTGCCTTAAAGGTAAGCAGGGCAGGTCTGGCTGCCTGAGTCAGAGCAGCAAATTATGCTTTTTCCCTGCAAGTCAAGGCGCTGGGTATTTTCCACCTTTTATTTTCCAGTTCTTTTAATATAGTTATAATAATGTTTTAATATAATGTTTTAAGGGTTAACTTCTTATAATTGCTGTGTTGTTGTCCTGTTACGATGTTTTATGGCTTTATCATTATTTAAGGTGATTATCTATTGATTGCTTATGTAATTTTAGTAATTGTTAACCACCCAGAGAGCTTGGGAGCTATGGGGTGGTATAGAAATGTAATAAATAATAAATTGTGACCACACAGAGAGAGAAAGCAGAGATGGTTGAGAAGCTCCACAAGACTACAGAGAACCTCAGATCTGTAACCAAAGAAAAAGAGAACCTAGAAACTTCATTGCTGACTCTTCAGGATGAGAAGAATAACATGATCCAGTCTATCCACCGTCTAAGCGAGACTGTAGAGAAGACTGTTGCTGCTGTAAGAATCTAATATATATAACCTCTATCATGGATAGGGGGCTTCTTTCACCTAAATTCAGTTTTAGAAAACATCTTGGGGAGAACATTTGTGAGGGTAAAAACATCAGTTTAATTTAAAGCTTTTTCTGCTAATAACTATGTACTAGGAAACACATTTCTATCTTTTTAGAATTGGGTGGGTGGTGACTGCTCAAATGCAGGGAAGTGGGTAGGGTACCTGGAAGGCAGTGTAGCTTCTGGAGAACCCCAGAAAGCTGGAACCCCTTTCTCCACCCATACTCTAAATATACATTTTGTATTATAACTAATATAAACTGTATTGGCTGCTTAACCGTGTGTGTGTTTTTGTTTTTTGTTTAGAATTTGGAACTGCAAGAACAACTCCGACATGCTACTCATTCTCTTAAAGAATACACTGAAAAGGTAGAAGAAATGAAACAGCAAATCAAAGATAAGGATTCTTGGATTTCAAAAGTGCAGGAGACACTCAAGCAAAAGGTAAGAAAATACTTAGCATTTAAAGAACACTTCAGTATGCAAACTGTTCCACCTTCATTCTCTGTATGCTTTATATAAAAGAAAGCTCACAGCAGGAGAGTCATTTAAGAATAATTCCCCTCTGAGTGTTTTATTTCATGATTATTACCTTTTTTTGGTCTGGCTGTTGGAAATGCAACTGAAGTGCTAAGTAACATTCTGTGTTGTGTTTCCCGTTAGTGACCTCACTCCTATTATTTCTTTAAGGATGAAAATACTAAAGCAGAAATGGAAAAGTTGCTAGTACAAGTGAAATATCTTGAAGAGCAAATTGAAATACAGAAGGGCTTTGTGGCTGAAAAGGAGCAGTTATTTGAGCACTTGAAAGGAAAACATAGAGAAGAAACTGAACAACTAAGAAAAGAGGTAAGAAAATTACTATAATATGTCCATTGTCACTTTAGCATGCAAACCTGTGATGAGAACCTTGTGGTACTCTGGAAATGTCAAAATCCCTGAACACTTGTTGGCTGGCAACTGATGGGAGTGGTGTAGCCCTTCTCTGTCTAAACATGTATATGATTGTGTCCTTGGTAGCTTTTGTTTTTCCCAGAGTTTACTAACCTCATTTCAGCAGCTTGTCAGAGCTTAGATGATTTTGTAGGATTCTTCCTTCTCTTCCCACCTAATGAAAATGGTAATAGGGGTGGGAGGGGATAAGGGTGCAGCAGCTGCAACTGTCATGCTTGCTCTCACTTTCCATCCACAAAGGTTGGTGTAAGAGTAATTTAGAATACCCAAATGAGGCTCTAGCCTCAATCCAGCCCAATTAATGTAATGGCTCTCTGAATACACTGACCACTAAGTATATATGAACACATATTTGTTAAGTGTTTATCTTTGGAAGATGGAGGATTGGCAACACCAGTGCTGGCTGGTTTTAAAATCTTAAATGGAATATGCCCATTTTGCACATTTCATTTAAAGTTTTTAAAGACGTTAAAGCAGTCTAAACTTTAAACTTTTTTGTAAGCTGCCCTGAGGCTTGTTGCAATGGACGGGATAAAAATGTTTTAAATACCTAGAAACTAGGAGAAAGTTATAAGATGGAGACATATTTATCTTAAGCTTTGGAACATGTTCTTAATATACTGGCACAACCATTACAATCAAAATATACTCATGGAGCTCCTTATATTTTGAAGATATGTTGATTTTATTTATTTATTTTATATTTCTGCCTTTTTTCCTTCCAAGGAAATCAAGGCGGCTTACATAATTGTCCTCCTTTTCATCTTATCCTCACAACCACTCTATCAGGCCGGTTGGGCTCAGAGCCAGTGATCACCCAGTGAGCTTGATGGCTAATCAGGGACCAGAACTCAGATTGGTTGAGTCAGTCCCATACTCTTAACCACTACACCACACTTGTGTGTGTGCACCCATGTGCATGCACGTGCAATTTTAATCTATATATTTTATAGCTATAATAAGTGTTTTGCAATACGAGTTATTTGTATCAGACATTTAAAATGTCTGCTGGAGGGAGGAAAAGTTAAGGAGAATAAGAAGAACTTGAAATCCTTTAAAGATGTTTAAGAAGGGCAGCGGAAGGATTTAGCTATTTAAGAAAACATACATTAGTCTGTTTATATTCTCCTTCATGCCAGCAATGTATGAGAAAGATCATACAAACCTGGGAAGATTTAGTGATTTTTTTTGTGTACTGTTTCTGCTTTTTAGGTTGTAAAGTCATCTGAAAAATTAAGCTCACAAATTGAAGAAAACAGTCAGTTGCTGGCTGAACAGAGAGGCCAGACAGAGAGCATGAAACAGCTGGTGAAGGAGAACTCTTTGTTGCAAAAAGAGAAAGATGACCTACAGCAGGCTATGAAGAATTTAACAACGGAAAATGACCAACTGCGGGAGAAATGGCAGGAAACCACAACCAAGGTATCAGGAATTTTCCAGGGCACTGAATGCTAGTAAGGGTTGTCTTTGTATGAAACCCCTTGCTGACCAGTGTCTGGATCGACCTGATTTCTATCCCACACCATCCACTGTGTCTTTACTGAAAATTTTGTCTACAATTAGCATGATGCTCCTGGAAAGCATTAGAAAAATACCATAGTCCAGTGATGAGGCTTGGCCTTTTTTAATGGCTGACCATATTGCAAAGTGGATCCAGGCTCTTGAGATTTTGCCTGTGTTTCTAATATTTCAAACTAAACAGGAAAAGAGTCGAGTTGATATGCCCAAACTTTCCAGAGTGGAACACATTATGTGGAAGGAATCGTACCATGCAGGAGTACTAGAAACTAAGAATTGTAATCCTTGTTTTGCAGATATTTTTGTTGTTAGCAGCTGTTGTGTTTTTAAGAAATGGGAACTTCTAAAACAAAATCCTCAAAATTCTTCCTTTGATTCAGAGGGCAGCTTAGTTGGCAGTTAACCTATTCAGCAGTATATCTCAGGCAGCAAGACTTTACTCATTTACTAGGACAAGGTCTTGTAATCTAGTAAAGTTTATTTTGGTCCACAACTCCCATTGGACCTCGCCCTGCCTAGGCTGGCTAGGGTATTGTGTTCTTCTCTATGTTTTGGCCTACAATCTGTTCATCTTGGGATAACGTTATACATATTATCCATATTCTGTCTTTTCAGTTCTCTGAAACAAATGTTAAACTAGAGCAACAAGATGGCACTGAAAACTTGGAAGCGAAACTGTTAATAATAACGGTATGTGGTTTTTATTTGATATGTGTCCCACCTTTCTACCAAAAAATGGCATCCTGGGCAGCTTGCATAGTTTATATATTACTTTAGTAAGCTTTATGTACTACCAAACTATGTTTATTGATAAAAGTTTTAGAGTACTTATGTCAATCAGTTGCAGCTAAAACAACTTCTTACTTACTGATACCTGAACTTTAGAAGAGGCATTTTCATCATCTAGAATGAGGTAAAAACTGCCTCTAGGGAATCCCATTGGACCAGAATTGACCCTGGGACCCAAGGTAACCCAAGCTGCGGTACATTGAGACTATACTGATACATACGGCATGCACAGACTGGGAAATCCCCTTCCATATGCTTCACTGAATCCCACAATTCTCTGAACAGGGGCTGGGAATTGGGTCCCTGCTGCTTTCCTCACTCCGGACTTGCCTCTCGTTAGCCCTGTTTCACTGCTGTGTTGGCTAGCATGGCCTGCTAAGTTTGTTAGAGGGACCATAGTATGGATGGCAGTTGAGCAGGCTTCGATCTGCAGGTAACTGTAATAAGTAGCTTCCTTGAGGATCTCATCATAGGAGGGGTGGTAGGCAGTCATTTGAATAAGCAGCTTTGGTCTTACTCAAGCACGGAGGCATCTTAAGCAGAATCCTGGACCGTAGCCCCTGGCCGGAGAGGCAGCAGCTGTGCTCCAAAGGCAGGGCTGTCACAACTAGTGGCTGCTTCACGGAGTGAAGACCAAGGCATCAGTCAAAGGGCATCACTCATTCGGTGCCCGTTTGGGGACTGCCTTGTGGCTGCTGTGGATCAGTGTGGAAAGAGGGCAATCTTGCAGCAATTGCTGTCAATCAGTTTTGAAGTGTAGCAGCTATTTTTTAAATCATATATCATTTTAATTATGTGTCTGGATAACTTTGAGGAGCAAGGGGGGTGCCCTTATTGCTGTGGTCATGGGTAGAGGGCGGTATGCCATTGAGGGATCAACAAGCCATCTGAGGAAAAGAAGGGCACACAGCAACTTGTGTTTATTTCAGGAGGCCCTGCAGAAATTCCCAGTGCTGGAGAAGAGGTCTGAATACTTTAAAAGTATAGCTCTTCAGGTTAAGAATGTTCTCGACCACGAGAAGGCGATAGTAGCCAAAGGATTTGCTGGTCTCTCACCTCAGCAAGCAAATAATGTCAAACGGCTTCAAATGGAACACGAGCTCATATGTAAAGGTCTTTACAGCTTGTTGAACAAGCTTCAGGTACCAGTTTTGAACACTTAGTTTCTTCTGGGGCATGCTTCAGTATGATACTTAGTTTACCAAAGCTCAAAACTTCTCATATAGTATTGTTTAGTTGTGTTTATATGGGGATGATTTTTATTTGCATTACCATGCCAATTATAGCTTAAATAGAGTTTGTTTTTTCCTGTTTATATTATCCATTTTCATATTTGTGCAAGCTGTATTCAGAATACTTTTTGTGGTGGGAAGTGGCACACAAATGTAACAAGAATAATAACGATCTGGATGCTTAGATTGTGGGGGAGAACCTCAGGTCTGTGGGCCAAATCCAGCCCTCCAGAGGTCTCCCAAGGGCCAAACCACTTTCCTTCAGCCACTGATTGATTGGTGACTTTATGGTTTTTGAATCTCCCCGCCCCCCTTCTAAAAGGCTTAAATGCCTTTCAAGACTTACTTCTGGAAATAGGAATTCTTTGTTTTCTTTGTTTGCATTTTTAAAAAGCTAAAGCAGATCCTGCAAGCCTGAAGTTTGTACTCCCATGCTCTAGCCCATGAAAACTTTATTTATTTATTTAGAATATTTGTATGCCATCCTTTTGCAGAGTCTCAGTACGGCTTACATAAATAAGAAGAATAGAATAAAACATAATACAAATAAAATCCAGATCCACCCTGGCTGCAGATTAAAACCTATATAGCTAATATTAAAAGTTATTAAAATATTGTTGAAATAAAAAGGTCTTAGCCTGGCGCCGAAAAACAAATAACAACGGCACCAGGCGGACCTCTCTGGGGAGTGCATTCCATAGGCGGGGCGCCACCACAGAGAAAGCCCTCCTCCGGGTACTTTGCCTCCTAATGTCTTTCACGGAGGGTTCCCAGAGGAGAGCCTCTGCTGCCGATCTCGGGGCGGGAGGGCAAATACGGAGGGCAACTTATGCTGTATTAAATTGTTGCCGCTGTGGGTTCCTTGCAAAGCAGTGGCTGACTAGATACAAAATGACTGTGTTCACACAACAAGCAACTCTGCATGGTTACTGGGGTTCTCAGGTTTTTATTGTGGTCTGCCTACTTTAGCATGGTTTCCATCCACCCCACACAGTCCTTCTGCTGTTCGCTAGTGCACCATTCACTATTGTGCCTGAAATTGAATGCGTCACTCCCAGCCTATCTTGCCTCGCTCTTCCTCGTTGTACGTAAAGGCTGGATGGCTGGAATGGCTCCTGCAGTTGCCTCTCTTTCCAGAGGACTTTGTGGTGGTTTACACACCAGGACAATGGAAACCATGAACCTGATTTGTACAACATGAAAAGCCATGGTGATACAGAGAAACCGTAGAAATTCATTGCACCTTACGATGGTTTCTGAAGACCAAAGTTACCATGGTGAAATATCATGACTAAGTTCAGACAATGCAAAGGCCAACAATGATTAAAAACCACCATGTCGTGTGTTGCCTGAACCCAACCAGAGTGTATGTGTTTGGTTAAATTATCTGTTCAATCTCCACAGTACTATTTTAGCCGCCTATGCAAACGGAAGGCTGAATTCTATACCATCGTCACCAAATATGAAAGCGAGTTGCTTGAGGAGAAGAGAAAACAAGATGAACTGCTAACTCAGATTCAGTGTCTCAAAAAGCATGATCTGAAACTTCATGGAGCTGGGACCCACCAGCACAGCTGCCCTGAACTGAGCCAGAACCTGGACTTATACACAGAGGTAGCCCTCTTCCAAAAAATTCCCTGTCTAGAGCCAGATAGTGTTAAGCTGTCATGATATGAGATGTTCCTGCCTTTTCAGAAACAGATTGAAAATTTGCTTTAACCTAGAAGAAAACAAATGGAACATGCAGCAAAATGTTTCATTCCTTCCTTACCTGCTAGCAAGAGGACTTTGGTCTTTGTTGTATTCTAACATTCTTTAGGGCTCCCCTGAGCATGCCTCTTCTCAGTAGTCCCGTGTTGGTTCCAGTCCTGTTCACTCTCAGGCAATTATATTGGTATTACAGAGGATTCTTGAAAGTGGGGTATTGCCACATTGATTTAATGGGCCTAGGTAATGGCTTTTTTCTCCAGACTCCTGTGGAATGAAATAAAATTGCTACCAAGTAGGATAGATGGAAGACTGCAGGTTAGAAAAAGAAAGAACTTGGGCAGGGAGGACCATTAAAATTACAATTCAGACATTTTTTATGTGTAAAATGTTAAATATATTACTAGAATATAAAACATTAATCACATACAAAGGTTGTACTAACATGACAATGAAACATTTATTATTAGTATTTTTTTCTGACTCTTTAGCCAAAAAGGCTTCCAAAGTGGCTTTTATGCAATCAGTAAAGCAAGACTGTCTGTGCCTTGCAGGCTTACATTCGGAAAAGTCCTGATGAAAAAAAAAAAAACCAGAAAGGGAAAGTATTGTGGGGATTGAAAAAGTTTTTTAGTGAGGGAGCAATCTGGCAGTACTGGATGTGGTAAAGTCCCAGGGCTGAAATTTGAATTATGTGGGAATTTGTTTCACACACTCCTCTCCCACTTGACATTTGAAAATTTGAGGTGATAGTTCGAAAAGCATGTGGGAATGGCATGGAGGTCTGCTTCTCAAATGGAAAATTTAGCATTCCTCTGAGTCTGCTCATGTCACATGCAAAAGTATTACAGTGCTTTGCTTGAGCATTCACTGCCTTTTGACTTTTCCACATTTTGTTATATAACAACCTGAAGTTGAATTTCTGTTTTATGTACGCAAGATACTCAAAACTGAAGATGTAAAATATTTTATTAAAATTAATATGTTAAGAAAAGAAAAGCAAGCAGGTGCTTGTTGGTTGCATAAGTGTTCAACACCCTGTGATCATGTGGCACTGGAAATGCACATAGGTTCACCCCATTGCTTATAAAATGTGGTTTTGGGTGACAGTGAGTTGCACCAGAGCTTACTTATTCATGTCACAGCAAAAGGGGGTGAAATCTGTAACTTAAAAAAAAAAATGTGCCTGAGCTTGCCTCCTCCTCCTCCCCTCTGCATCCCTTTTTCTTCATCTGTTACATCTTGTAGGTACTTTATTTATTTAGCAAACTTATATGCCGCCCCATTTGCCAAAGCCTCAGGGCGGCTTACAAACATAAATATCATTAATACAATTATATATTATACTTCTACCTTCAGGTGTACAGTCTTACCAGTGATATCTGTAAGCCACTCATGGGGCCTTTCTGGCTAAAGAGAAGGATAAAAATGTTTCAGATAAATAGTATACGAAAGAGAACGTCATGAACATAGGCTTCTGATCCAGTGGAGTTCTTGTCTAGCTCAGCATTCTATTCCCACAGCAGCCACTCTCTGCAGAGCCCGTAAGCAGGGCATGAGCACAACACCACCCTAAGCCCAGCAGCTGGCAGTTGGTAGCATACTCATCCACTGACTTCTCTAATCACCTTTAAAGCTGTCCAAGCTGGTGGCCAAAGCTACATCTTGTGGTATCAAATTCCATCCCTTCTGCCCTGCACGGAGAAGCTTTTGGCTGTAACCAGGCTTTCAAGAAAGGAAAGACTAATTTCCCCATGCAAACAACTTAGAGAAAACTTCCATAACCTTTTGCATTACATCACTTGACAAAAGCTATGAAAGAGATGAAAAGTAAGCAAGGTGAAGGGTATGCACTGGGTGGTGGAAGAAAGGTGGGGAAGACTGATAGTGCCTGGGACGGTTATCCACCTGTGCCTTTACCAGGGACTAGCCATATTGATACTGCTTTCAGGCCAGAAGGGCTAGAAAATGAAATGCCTGGGGGTGAGGAGATCTGCAGTTGCATAGGAAAGGATGCTCCTTGTTCCTGTGTCTCAGTGGCCACACTGTCAAATGTCCCTAGGAAGGGGCACCCTAATACCAGCGTCTTCCACAGATAAGAGAATGTGGCTGCATGTGCGGAGAGTGGAGGGGATATTGTAGTTCAGTGATAGCATACGTGGTTTCTTTGCAGAAGCTCTCAGTTCCAATTTGTCATCTCCTGGTGGGATGAAGAAAGTCAGAAGAGCTGCTGCCAGTCAGTATAGAAAGTACTGAGCTAGATGGAGCAATAATGTGACTTTTATAAGAAAGCAACCTATGCAAACTCTTCCCCTGATTCCATGTTGCATGGCATGCAAAGAATACACAAGACACAGCAGAGATGTTCTTAAACTGGCTCAGGATGGTAACTGATGTCCACATTTCTCTTGATGCAGCAAATTTTGAAAGATATTTCAGAAATGGAAGAAGAGCTTCTTAGAATAGAAGAAATATTGCAGCAACTGGGAAGTGATGGAAAAGAGGTGGCACAGTATTTGGAACGATGTTCAATTCACTTCGATGAGCAAGACTTTGAGGCAGGAATGAAACAAGAGAATGAGAAGCTTTTGCCTGTTGGTCAGTCCCTAAAACCTAAAACTCAGGTACAACATCCAGTTCAGGATACAGCAGTAAAAGGAAGTCCATCTGCAAGGTTGGGGAGGTGATATACCCATATGTGTGGATCAGTGTCTTTGTCATGGGTTAATAATCCAAAGCAACTTGGGCCGCTAACTGGGAGTGGACAACTGTGGGTGATCGAAGGATCGTTTCTGCTTGAATCACCAAAGCCTACACTCCTAACTAGTGCTTTGTGGAATTTGGAAACCTCTATGGAGTAGTTATTAGGTCAGATAGCTTGTTCTTAAGCTAAAGTTAACCCAACTACCATTCTATAGTGGTAAATATATATATTTTCTTGCATTGCTTGCTTGCTTGTGCTGCAGCTGTGAATTTCACTGGTAGAGATTGCACCAAGGGTTGATGGGGGCTGTGCATTGCTTACCCCTGCCTGACGTGAGATTAGCCTTAATGTTCTGTAGCTGCTCCGTAGCTTTGTGTACGGTGGTCTTGTGTTTTCTACCTGTCCATTAAGAACTCTAATGAGAATTATGTGCTTTTTTTCACATCCATTTTTGCTGCTACAAAAGTGCTTATTTCAGGCCATCAGAAATATCTGTATATGCTATTTTGACCAGAGGGTTTCCCAGTTAAAGTGGGACAAGCAGAACAGTGAGGGACAAGAGGGCTAATACTGGGGTTCAGGAAAGATATGGAGACAGGAGTGACTTTCTGGACAGCACAAGGGGATGTTCTAACCATAAACCACCGTAATACATGCACACAGGTTGCTTAATCATTAAATTCAGTGGGAGTTGGGGGGCTTGATTCTGTATTAGTCATGGTTGTGGGGAGCAATAACAGATGAGCTCCTATGGATGGGAGTTATAGCTGGTGAGAGAAGGGGAAAATGACTGCAGAAAGCAGGGAGCCAGGTTAGAGATATATGGAAAGAGTTTGTCATTGCTGTGTGGAACAGGCAGAAGAGTTTATCTGGTCAGTTGCATACAGACCTGAATGCTGAGGGGCTGGAGGAAGCAGACAACATCTACAAGACGCCTAGATGAGTGTGGCAAAAGAGAAAGAAAAGAAGTAGTTGGAAGACGGTGTCTAGAAATACTGTCCAGTGAATTCTTCAGGCAACAATTATGTGGTGGTTGAGAGGAAGGAGCTTAGGAGTTATCATTCCGTTTTTTGATCTGAGGCACCTGCACTGGGTCTGAGACCAAGGCAAGCCAAGCAGCATGGGAGCTGTTGCTCTGTATGGCACTAGCCTAGATGTGGCTGCAAGGGAGCTTGTGGGAAACTGAGTGTATTGATGGATGTGACTTCTGAGTGGATCAGTTCAGCAGCTTTATACATACGCCTCCGTATGCACTTACATTCATGTGTATGAAACTGGAGGTGAACAAAGATTACTTACCACTTAAGGGCTGGGGTATAACTAAAGCAGCTTTCTTCAACACATGCCAACCAGATGTTTTGAACAACCACTCCCATAATCCTGGTCATTGATCATTCTAGCAACAACTGAAGGGAACTGAAGTTCCAAATATTTATTTATACTTCCATTTATATGTTGCCTACTACCGAAGTCTCAATATCTGGAAGTCACCAGGATGGGGATAGCTGATCAAAGGATAGTTTGTCTTTAAAGCTGAAATTGGCAGAATGCCGCCATGGGGGCAGGGGGGAATCTTAGCTCTATAGACAAAACAGAATAAATACTGTTTATTCTATCCAAATACTGTTTGTACCTCTTTCCCTTGGTGAATATCTTGGACATAATGCTTAGATATAGGCAATCCTATTGCTGCCTTTTCCCACTTGTGTGTCTTGCGACCATGAATGCTATTTTCTTGCAGATCTACGCTCAAGCTAGATCAGAGCTAGAAACCAAAACTGCTGAATACTGCAGAGAAATGGAAGCTGCCCTGAAAGCATGCAGGGAACAGACAAAGGAGCTACTTTTGGAATTAAATGCACTCAAGGAAGAGCAAAAATCTTGCAGTTCTGCTACCTTTGCACTAGAGGAAGAGAACGATAAATTGAAGAATCAATTGCAAGAAACACAGCAGGATGTGACGGTATCATTAAGCCTCTAACTCTGATGCATTATTCTGATAGCTCTCAAACAAGGCAAAAGCATGAATGAGTTTATGTAACTCTTGTGGTTCATTTGCCTAATAAGCCTTTTGTGGGGTTGACTGTGTAAATGAAAGAACAGAAAATCCTGTTAGTGATAGACAGGTGCCAGAACTAGAGGACAAGGAGGGCGGTGGGGCAGTTCCTGAAATCAGTGGCCCTGCTCTTGTCCCCTCCCTGAGATTGCAAAGTGCCTGGTATAGGGACATCCCACCATTTTTCCCTCTGCTACTCAGCTTCATTGGCTGCTGCTTGAAAAGGCGAGAGGCAAAATGCCAGGTTCACACGAGTGTCCAGTTGCGAGGCACAAACAAGGAAGCGGAGGAGATGTGAGATCATCTCTACATCTTGTTTCAGCCTGCGATTTCTTACAGGAAAACTGATGTGTGCTGCTGCTTGAATATTACTACATCCTCACAGTACTGAGTCTCAGCTCCTAGAGCTGATTGGACAGGGCAACTTACCTGGGAGAGATAAGTTGTAGATAGAACAATTTAAATGTATTAATATGTCTAGAACTGCTATTCAACATGTAAATATGTCGGTGTGTTTATTTTAAGGCTCTGAAACTGAAAATCCAAGAGCTAGACAACGTATCAAAAGAATCGGGGAGAAATCTCCAGGAAAAGGAGAAAAGAATTACTGTATTAGAAATGCAACTTAAAGCGAGAGCTTCCAGGAGTGAAGTGGCCAAACTTCAAGCTACGTTAGAGGAAAAAGAGAACTGCCTAAAAAATGCATTATTAGAGAAGCAAACACTCAAGGTATGTTATTAAAGCTGATTTTCTGCACTCTTCTGGTGAGATCCAGTGTGGTAGAATGGTCAAAGTGTGGAATGGGGAGATCCAGGCTTGAGTCCCTACTTGGCTATGAAGCTCTCTGGGTCGCTCTGGGCCGGTCACTCACTTTTAACCTAACCTGCCTTAAAGGGTTGTTGCTGTGAGGCTCTTATGGAATGGGAGACAACTCTGTAAGCTGCCTTGAGTTCTTTGCAAGAGTTGGAAAGGGCCAGGATATAAATGTAATAATGCAGCGGCTGCTTCCTATTGGAGTGAAACATCACCAATCTTCTAGGGTTCACAAAAATGCATCATACCTTGTGTTATTACCTGTACTTGCAGGCAGATGTAATGCCTTTTGTCTCTAAACTGCAGAGGCAAAAGTGAGGCTGTTTACTACAGCACAATTTTAACAACGTATTTCCCCCCACCCTGCCTCACTATATGTTGTTTTCCTCCCATTTAGGCTCAGCTGGACAAAGGTGCTGAATTATATAAGGAAGAAATTGAAGACCTCAAAACTCAGCTTGCTAAAGCAGATATGGCAAGGATGAAGCAGTCCAAATATTTTGACCAAGAGTAAGTGCCATATCACAAAGCTGCAATTCTGCATCATTTTGATTTTCAACTGTTCAAGAGTATAATAGCATATTCAACAAAACATTGTCTTTATACTTATAATATTGAAGATCCTTTGAACAGTTTTTCCAGGTTCTACAAGCTCCTCCCATGAATATCCCCTATAATGGGGAAGACAATACTCCCAGATCTGTCAGGCTATTTGTTCTCTATGCATTGCATCTCAAAATATGGATGGATAAAGTGAGCTAGGCATTGAATTATCTTCTTGGACAAGGGGGACCCTTGACTCTAAAAGCAGTGGTGTTGCTTAGAGAGTATTGTGCCCCTCTTAGCAAGCCATAGGGAACCCTTTCTGTAGCGAGTCACAAAATTGTGCTGTAGCTGTAAAGTTTCAAAATTCTGACTGTTTGACTAGGACTTGGAAAAAGAGCTGAACCTTCCCTGTTATTAATTTTAAGCCTGGAGAGATGTCCCCAAATTAATTCCTGCCAGATCTGTGGGTTAAGAACACCTTATATTCAGTAGACTTATTTCTAGTTGTTTTAGCAATATACTACAGTTTTCTCTGCCACCCTTGAAACTAACAAAAAGAGTATTCTTCCATAAGCATTCAAAGGCAGAGCCCATTTGTTACAATGCATGTCATGTAGCTGGTGAAATGGACTTGGGACCACAATTCTGGTTTTAACTGCTTCTGCCGCAATGAAAATGATGTCAAGATTCTGCATAAGACATGCTGTGTTTGATGCAACAGCCTAACATGACAATCCCTCTTGTACAGTTGGCTGGTTAGTATATAATATGCTCATGTTATATTGTTCATACTGTCCTGCGATGGGAAATGAGATACTGGACTAGACAGACTTCTAGTCTAAGCTACCTGTGCTCTTGTGTGCTTATAACTCTTCACAGCATGATCTTTTGGATGTTTATCCAGATGTAAGTTTAGATGGTGCTTTCCCCCAGATAAGTCTTCATAGAACTGCAGCCTCAATTGCTTTTCTATAAGCAAAAGGTAGTGCTGCTAAATAGCCTAACTTTGTGGTGGTCTTCTTAGAATCGCCAATGCAAAGGCTCTTGCAGAACAAAGAGATGAACAATTGAGAAAGCTAAAGGAAGAACTTCGCAAAACACAACAAGAACAAGATGTAACTGGTAAGTAAAAAAAACACTTTTTAAAAAGTGTATATTTACTCACAGAACAAGACAGGAAAGACAAGCAGGTTGTCTTGAAGTTAATTGAAAAACAAGCTCCCTTTCTAGCTGAAGAGTATGAAAAATGACAGCTTCTTCAAAAGAAACATTATTTTTCATATCTGTAAGGCTAGAGTTCACAAAAGCTTTTAAGAGTACCCCAAGAGCTAATAAGCACCCTGAAAGGGATTTTGATAAAGCTTATCATGAACTTCTTACATTGATTGGAATATACAATTGTTGTAATGTTTTAACTCACAGCTCATCTGGTGTGGTGGTTAGTGCACTGGACTAGGGACCTAGGAGCTCAGGGTTCCAGTTACTTCTCAGCCATGAGACTTACTTTGGGCCAGTCACTGACTCTCCATCCTAACCTACACACGGTTGTTGCTCTAAGGATAAAACAGAGCTATGTAAGCCAACTTAAGTTCCTCACAAGAAGAAAAAAGGTGGGATATGAATAAAATATAGTACTTATTATATGTGGCAGTCTAAAATTCTATACTAAAATCTTTAATCTGAACCTGTATACCTTGCAAGTCTGCTCCCAAATTCTATATTTTTTTCCAGTTTGCCATTTTTGAAAACAGGGCCTCCTCAGCATTTGGAATACTAATTATCCCATCTACCAAGCCAGTTTTTCAAGCTGGGAAGATGCACAAGCAAAACTATTCTTAGGTGGCATAACCTCTGCTAGCTATTCACCAAGAGGCAATTACCCTGGTACATATATCTGAGTTTTCACTATCAGTGCCTACTAGCCTCATTGGCTATGTGATACCCCTTTTACCAGAGGTAACTTGCTTGCATATACTAGTAGATGAGGAGCTTGGGCAGATGGAGGTCTTGTACCCATCCTGCTAGAGGAATCCTGTAGGCAGCTGGTCTGCTACCATGTGTATGGAGTGCTGGACTAAATGGATCATGGGTCTGATCCAGCATGGCTTTTCTTATGTTCTTAGGTAGCCTTCTTGTTAATACTTTTGCAGTGATATCAGGCAAAGATCTTCCGCAGATTCCTGTACCGATTACTTGTGGTGGTGGAAGTGGAATAGTACAGAATACCCAGGTGCTCGTACTGAAATCTGAGAAGGCAAAACTGGAAACACAATATAAGGATCTCAGGAAAGAACATGAGCTTCTGTTGAAGTAAGTCATAAGAATGTCCCTTTGTTCCTAAATACTGTTGTCTGCCTATCAACTTTAAATTTGTTATTTCAACAAATTATTTGGTTTTAAGAAAAATAAGTCTTTGGAAGCTTGGCAACCTGTGAAGACATTTTAAAAAGTCACAATATGTAGCTAGGGGTATTTGGCTTGGTTACAGGTGGTGTAGACAGACTTTTCATAAACTGCAAGGACTTAGCAATTAATTCATTTTGCAACTTTTGCTATTAATCTGGGAAAAGCCATTCTACTTCCAGATCATAACATGATTGTAGTCTTAGAGTAAGACTGGAGACATCCCAGTTCCAATTTCCAGTCCACCATGAAATTCACAGCATGACCTTGGGCCAGTTAGTATTTCTTGGTCTGAGCTGAATGGCTGGAAGGCTTACTGGGACCTAGCGGGAGGGAGGCATCTGCTCAAGAGCGGCACTAGTGTTAGTTTCCGCACACTTCTTGCAAGTATAACTGTCTCCAGTTGCTTGGGGGCACAGGCCAAAGGGCTCTTCTCCAGGGGATGTCATGTTGCTTGCCCCACTAGGAGTAAAGGGCTTAGTTACTATACCCATATGGGAGTTTCGTTCCTGCCATAGGGCTTGTGAATGTGTCTGGAATGGAGGATGTGGGCCAAGTGAGGGGACCTTGGGGGAACCACATCAGTGTAGTAATTGGGGGTGGGGGGGGTGGGCATGGCATTGCATGGAAGACTAACCAGATAAGGGGAATACAGCTGAGAAGATTATTGGCTGTGCCATGCTCTGGCCTTGTACCTGCAGACTTGATGGTTGTGCTGTCAGGTTGCCCTCGGATCTCTGGTGCTTTTCTTATATGCCAGATTGGTGCAGAACAAGATTTCCCTCATTCACAGTCAAATAGCAAATGAGGCAGCTGATCTGGCAAGCATAACTAAAACATGGGTGGGTGAGCAAGGAGGACTTGGCCTCTTTCAGCTGTGCCCATCAGGGTAGACTTGGAAATCAGTGGGAAGAATTTTTTATGAGCTATAAGGATTTGTCCCTGGAGCCTTCCTGTCCATCTGAGCTGAGCACTGGTTTGGAGTGTTTGCACACAGAGGACACCCTATCTAGGGTAGATCATGATTTCATGGTCCCTATAACAACCCCAATGACATGGGACTCTCCCAACATGTCATTGACCCAAAGCATGTAGTGAGGCACATTCTAGATCTGTTCCCCCCACCCCCAGTCAGGTATGGGGATAATGATCTGAAGATGGGGGATTCATTCCCTTTGTGGTGGTCAGATCACCACCTGTTTTGGTTTTGACTGATGGCAGCTCTTCCCCTCCACAAGTGTGAGGTCCTATTAAGATGGTTTGGCACTGGAAACTAAGCTGGTTTTCAGAAGGTTCTAAGGGGGTTCCTGGCTGATAGGAATGGCAGTCCTATGGAAACCCTGATCAGTCTCTGGAACACAGAGATGACCCAGGTTGTTGGCAGGGTTGCTGTTCAGCTTCCTCTCTGTAGTAGAACTCATATGCCCCAAATCCGATTCAGAAGGCTGGGAGGCTGCCTGGAGCAGATTTGGATATGTTTTTAACTTATTTTATTTAAATGACTTATCATAGAATAATAGAGTTGGAAGGGGCCTATAAGGCCATTGAGTTAACCCCCTACTCAGTGCAGGACTCAGTGCTGAAATTAAAGCTCCCTTCCCAGATGGCTGTCCAACTGCCCCTTGAATGCCTCCAGTGTGGGAGACCCACAACCTGCCTAGGTCATTGGTTACATTGCCTTACTGCCCTAACAGGATTTTTTTCTGAATCTCCAACCAGAATCTGGCCTCCTGTAACTTAACCACATTATTCCATGTCCAGCTTTCTGGGTGAGTGAGAAGAGATCCTGGCTTTCCTCTGTGTGGCAGCTTTTCAAGTATTTGAAAAGTGCTGTCATGTATCTCCACTCAGTCTTCTCTTCTCTTAATTTTTATGTAAACTGCTTAGATTGTGTACCAATCTAAGTAGTTTACATAAGAAATACATAAAATACAAGTTGAAAACAAGATAAAATAGTACATTAAAAATTATACAAACTGTGAAACAGAACAGGAGAAGACTGAGGAACAGGTATGGTTTCCAAGAAATATGTAAAGTTTGCAATACTTTCTGCATTGGACAATGCAAGGGAGGGTATTCCAGAGGTGCCACTACCAAGAAGTCTGCTTATGTGTTGATGCTTCCTTATTATCAGAAGTTATTTGCCACAGCTTCCATGATTTTGAATCGAAGCATATCAGGGACTTTTTCTCCTTTTTTTCCCCCTGAAATCAGTGATGGTGTCAAAATTCAGAGGAGAGAGATCAGATCAATTCCTCATTTGTGGAAAAAGAAAAATCACTGCAGATGGAGTCCCAAATTTCCCCAAATTAGGATCAGGCACATAATGGCTCAGCCAGGCACAGGTTTTCTTCCTGCTACTCACCTTCATTCTCAGATTAGCCAGTGACAGTCCAAATTGTAGAAATACATATATTAGTAATATGAGGATAGATCTCAGTAGGCCGTAGCAGTGCCAGTCTTTGCAAGGAGCCATGAGCACTAATCCACATAAAGTATCCAACTAGTGAAAGCTGCTGAGGTTCCCACACCAGCCTTCACATTCTAAACTCCAAGTCTTTCCTTCTGCTGGTAAAGGTCTGGGTGACAGTTTTGAGTTGAACACCAAGTGACTGCATCTTTTTAACCTTCCTTGTTCATGTCCTAAGAAATGACCGTACCTTAAAAGAGGAAGTTAAGAAATGGAAGGAGCGAGCTTTGAAGAGGAGAGACAAATCCTCCGGAGACATTACTGAGGAGCAAAGATTCAAATCTCCACGGAAGACAGCGCCTCCTTTATTCCCAGATGCACCATGTTCTCCCTCCAGGAAAAGTTCTCTGAAGCCAGTTTTGCCCTTAGACACCCCCCCTTTGCTGCCTTTGAACTGTCCAACAACTTTCTTCGATAACTCGTGCTTGGGGACCGTTGAAGGTAAGCAACACCATAGAAAACATACTTCTTCTTTGGGGCAAAGCACCTCTCTAAGGAATGGTTGTCCCCCAACCAAACTATGGGACAGCCAGTGCCATATGAGCTACCCCGACCACTACTGCCATTGAAGGTCTTTAGGGGAAATAGCCTCACTCCCACAGTGAACCTTCTTTCTCACCCCCATTGTCGCCAGCTGCCATTGTTCCCTGCCCTCTTTCTCATCATTGATGACCCTCAGCTGCTTGACAAGCAGAGAGGGAGTGAGCCAAGTAAGTAAGCAAGCAAAGGCATCTGGCTCTCCTCTTTCTCACCACCACCATTTCCTGGACCAGATGAGAGGCCATTGGACATGCTGCTCACAAAGGTGAAGAGAAGGGGCACCTCTAGAAGGCTTTTGGCAGTGGATCTCTGCCAGGATGTAGGCCCTCAGCATGTGTGCAACCCTTGATCCTAACCCTGCCCATCACAAATTAAGCTTGGCTGTTGAATACCTGAATGCTTTGGCTGCTTAGACGTTGCTAGAAGCACCAGATTTAGAGCAGGCAGCTTTAGAAGATCCAAGGCAGCAGGCAATAGTGCCAAGGCCTGCCTTGTGCCTGTATTCCATTCGTCTTTTGGCTTCTCCCCTCATTTGCTGGTGGAGTGATGGCCTAACTGGTACAGCTGAGCGGGAAGACATGGAAGGCAGAAAGAGGCATGGATGTAGCAGAGTTGGAGTAACATGCTGTCCTGCTTCCTGAAAATGCCCAAAGGCTTCCTAAATGCAGCTGCCTGTTTTGTCCTAGGTCAGTGGTGGTGAATCTATGGCACGCGTGCCACAGCAGGCATGCAAAGCCCTCTCTGTTGGCACATGAGCCAAGTTGCCCCAGCATTGCCCCAGCAGCTGAGCATTGGATAACAGCAGACATAGGGCCATGCGCATGCTCGGAAAGGAATAGCGCCACCGGGCAATGATGTCACAAACCATACCACATTAGCCGCGGCTCGTCCGAGCTTTCGCATGGCTGGGCAGTGTGCTGCTGAGGAGAGAGAGAGAGAGAGGGAGAGTGATTTGCTTGGAGTGGCTGTTTTCAGGTTTTATTGCAGTGTTGGCACTTTGCGATAAATAAGTGGGTTTTGGGTTGCAGTTTGGGCACTTGGTCTCTAAAAGGTTCGCCATCACTGGGTTAGGCTTAGAAAAACAAGGTGTCCTGGTATGATGTTGATGGTTGGAATGTGTACAGAATGGGTAGAAATGCTGAGCTGTGCAAAAAATGCTACTCAAGGAAAGCTTTTTCAAAATCACCCTCTTTTTCATGGAATTTTAGCCCTGTATTAGGGTTAGGGGTGTGCACAAGGGTAGGGTTAGGGTTAGAAAAACGAGATGTCCTGGCATGATTTCGATGGTTGGAATGCACTTAGAATGGGCAGAAATGATGAGCTGTGCAGAAAAGCTACTCAAGGAAGGCTCTTTCAAAATTGTCCTCTTTTTAAAGAAACTTTAGCCCTGTATTAGGGTTAGGGGTGTGCACCAGGGCAGGGTTAGGCCAGTGGTGGCGAAACCACAGAATGCGTGCCTCAGCGGACACGCAGAGCCCTCTCTGTCGGCATGCAAGCCAAGTCGCCCCAGCAGCTGAGCATAGGATAAAAGCGCACATAGGGGCCATGCACATCCTCGGAAAGGAGTAGCGGCGCCAGGCGATGATGTTACATGCCGTGACTCATTAACTCCCACTCGTCTGAGCTTTCGCATGGCCGGTCAGTGCACTGCCAAGGATATGTATATGTTTGCTTTGATTGGCTGCGAGTTATTTTTTCTAAACTAAAACCTCAGCTTTCAATTTTATTGTAGTATTTGCACTTTGCGATAAATAAGTGGGTTTTGGGTTGCAGTTTTGGCACTCGGTCTCTAAAAGGTTCACCATCACTGTCCTAGGTACTGTGATGACTCCTGGTGCTGGCATGCATAGTTAACACGGCCTTCTCTACAACGGGTGGGCAACCCATGCACCCCTTTTAGGCTTAAGTGTGGGGCCTACCCTTGCTAAATTTACTGCCGTAGCTGAATAGGTTGCACTACAGATATATTCGTTGCCACATTTCAGAAGCATATGTCAATGATGACCTGAAATTTAGCTATAAAACAAAGGCATATGAAGTTTGGCAGCAAACTGACAGTTGGTTTGTTTCTGCTGTCTGTGAAGTTAAGCAACATGTGGTAGCACGGCCTATTCATCTACTCAGTAGATTTAATCCTTGTGATTTGCCTACGGCAGTTCTTACTTTGTTTTAGAGGGGTTTTTTTTCTAAAACAGCTCTCTGAAAGCTTGTACAAATTGCCCAGCAGGCTTTACTTCCTCCAGTCATAATCTGCCATGCTCCAGCTTGGTGGCAGTTTCATCTCTCCACAGTCTTGCTGTTTATTGGCATCTCGGTTCATCTTGGAACCTGAGCAGTCAGCTGGTGCCAAATTATCTCTGCCTGCACCCAATTAATCTCAAAGGATGCAGGTTCACTAAACATTTGAAATGTTGAACCTGGTTAGGTTGCCATGGTCAAAACTCTCACCATTCTAGAAATCAGCCTCTTCTGAGAGTTAAATAAGAGACAATTTAACCTACCTTGCAATATAGTTGCAATGCAGCCCAGCCTGCTAGTTTTGGCAGCTTAAGCATCACTCCTTCCAAAAAAGTTTTTAATCATTTTTTTTCCTGCAGAAGGTGTGGAGGGCTGCTTGCAGCCCCTGGGGCCATACTCTTTGCATCACTGTTTTAAATTAAAATTCAACTCATCTTTTATTTTGGCTTTTGAGCACTAATACAAAGATTATGCTGTGTTTGTCCCAATATAAAACTTAGAACAAGAGGTTTGTGCAGGTTTCAATCCCCTCTTGGTCTGGTTGTATCCCATATTTACAGCTGTTTTGAAAGCATTTAGCTGCCTTGCAAAAGTATTCACCTCCCCTCTCCAGGCCCTTTAATTCTTCCACATTTTGTTGTGTTACAACCTGGAACTAAAATATATTTAATGAACAGTGTTACCACTTGATGTATACAAGATACTCAATATTCTGGAGGTGCAAAATATTTTTATGGTGGTACAATAGTTAAGTCAACAGTAACAACCTGGCGCTTGTTGGTTGCATAGGCATTTACCTGCCTGAGCACTACTTGGTAGAAGCACCTTTGGCAGCAATTACAGCTTCTTGGGTAACAAGTGCAACTTTAACATGTTCTTGTCTTGAACAGATACAGGATCTGCAGTACAAGAATCCACTGAAAACAATCTTAAGCATTGGATTGCCACAGCAAATAAAGATGCTGCGCCTAACTGTAAGACACAGTAACACTTGGTTCTTTTGTGGATGCTAAAGAATACTTTCTGGACAAGACCACTAAATTCTGTTGAGGAGTTTAGTCTCCGCCGAGGAAATAGACTTGCCTTCCCTTTGAACATTTCAATTTATTCTATAGAATGATTTTTCCCCATCCTCCTTTTTGGGGATGTTTATCTGCTTACTTGATCCATTTTTTATTGTATTCTAACATTTTATAAATAAAGGTTTTGCACAAATACTCCTGTTGTTCCAAGTGAAGTCATTGTCCTACAGTGCTCCTCCAAAATCTTAACCACTTGTTAGTCTTTTCCCAAACTTCTGCATAGTTCTGTCTGCCTTTTCTTCAGTCAAAGTTGTTAGATTGCTTTGTTTAATTTAGATGAGGGCTTTTCTCTTAAATCCCTCATCTGTTATAAAAGGACATGGACATTGGACACACTAGTTGCCTATATGCTGAGTCATATGAAGGGGTTCTTTGCTCACAGAAATGTATGTTGGGCTCAAGGAGATTCTGACTGGCCCAAGATCCATGGAGAATTTATGTGCTCATCTTTGCACACATCTGGTCTGTTCATACAGCTCTGAGGATTTTGAATGCATGCCCCCTCATGCATCTTTTCAACAAGTCATGGAGTTGTAGAAATGCAAGGAGGTCCTTTCCTGAATGTGGTGAATTGAGTGGTTTATGCTTGTAATGTATAACTTATTATCTTTCCACCATGCCTTTTTTTCCTGCAAGGAACCCAAGGCAGTTAACGTGGTCTTACGCCTCTCTATTTTTATCCTCACAACAGTCTTGTGAGGTAGGTTAGGCTGAGAGTAGGTGACCGGCCCAAGTCACCTCGTGAATTTCATGGCTGAACAGGGACTGGAACCCCAGGCTCCCAAGTCCCCAGTCCAGCCCTCCCACTATTACACATACTGGCTGTCATGGAATTGTTTTTTCACCTCAGTATCCTTACTAAAAAAAAACAAAGAAAGAGGGTTAACAAATGTATCAGTGGGCAGTGAAGATCAGAACTAATTGAGCAGGTCTGTTGCAGCCTCACCTGAAGAATTCCTCAGCAAAAAACAGTATTATGGATATCTCTATTGCTTCAGGAGTACAAAATTCACATTAGTAAATTACTATGTAACGGGTGGGAAATTGTGGTCCTCCAGATGTTTTGTCCCACCAATCCCATCATCCCCAACTATTTGTTGCATTGTATAATACAGATACAAATTGTAGAATGAAGCATCTACAATTCAAGTTGTCTATGCCCTGTGAATCGCTGATGACGTTGGATTGGAGCCAATGTAGGCATACCTAGAGAAAAAACATTGCAATCCATGGGGCTTCAGTTAGTGATGATGGACTTATGCCTTGAATTTCAGTGGGTTTATTCTAGGCAGGATGAAGTTTGAATCTGGCCCCTAATGTTCTCGTTGCTATCAAATATATGAATATTTGATGGCAATGAGGATCTACATATCTGAGGACCTAGATATCCATGCAATTTTTTTGTCATCCTGCCTGCATGGAAACAAGTCATTTGTAAAGCCCGTTCTCTGCAGGATAGCCAGTAAAACCATAACTATATTTAAAGTTATCTGGTAATTTTAGGCTACAGGTTTATACAGGTGCTGTTGCAATTTTGGAGCAAAGGAATTCTTGTGCAATACAAGGTTGAAGTATTCACTCAATCTTTTTATAGTGTCATCATAAATCTACAGTATTAAATTTAGTAAGCTGGTTATTCTGAACTTCTACTGCAGGTTATGCATCTAGCTTTCCCACGTTTCTTATAGCAACAGATTCACCACCACTTTCTGGTGGCAAAAGAATGTCACAAAGCCTCTCACAGAAAATGAATTTTGCTTTGTTTACAATAATCTCTGGAAGAAAACTATTGTTCTGAGTGTACTGCCTTGGATGATGCTTTCAATGTATTCAATTTATTTGGTACATCGTGCTTCTAAAGAAAAATGGATGGGAAGTCTTAATCCTAGATAAGGAAGGCAAAATTATATAGTCTGAGGCAAAACTGTCTGACTCAGTGTTAACAAAGAGCATGTAGATTTCCTGTAGGGACATTGATTTTCAGAACGTTTTGTCTATTCTGAGATAAAGCAGTTAGGCTTTATAAAGAACTGAATTTTATCTGTTCCTAGGACTTAGCATGCATCAAGATCTGTAGCCCCTCCCCACCATCTGGTTCAGCAAACGATTAGCTGATCACTACCACTGCATTTTGTACAAAATCTTAAAATACTGGAGTATGCATTGCTAAAACCTACTCACTTCTCAGCGAGGAATGGGTGAACCTGTCCAGCTCAATTTCATTCAGTTCTCAGTTTTCTTCTCTAAAGTTTGTTCTGTATCAATTCTATACTGTATTGTGTCAAAAAAAAGTCTCCATGGAAAATGTGCTCAAATTTTATGCCCAGATATTTTTTAAAAACTGCATTTGCTGTATGCCTTTTTGAAATTAAATATTTATAATGTTTCTCTTGCAAATGATACTGCGATCTTCTGAAAGATCTTCTGGTTTGATTTTTGCTCAACCAAGTGTGAATTTGAGGTGACCCAGGCAAAGTGTTGGGAGTTTCACACAGCTTTGCTAGTAGGCTGAGACCTGAGCCAGGGAGGTCAAAATATCGGGCCAGTTGAAGGGAGTGTGCCCATCGCTGCCAGTAACCTTTTTGCATCAGCAAATGCAATAGCAGCAGTGCTCCACCACAGAGGGCAGGAAACGGTGGTGGTGATAGCTGCCTAACCTGGTGGCTGATCAATGAGATATAGCTGCAGTACCAATTCCCCTGATCTCGGTCCTCCATCTGTTGCCTGAGACAAGGGTGTACAACTGTTGGGAGGATAACCAAGACTTGATGCGTTTTTCTTCATCGTAATTGTAAAGATGAATCGCGTAAATCCAGGCTAGGGCCAACTCTTGCATGAGACAGGGTGAGACCATCCTACTGTTCAAAGTTTCTTACTAAGCAGCATCTACCTCATGGGTTACAAGGCTGGTTTCTCTTCATGGTGCATCCATGGAAATGCAGCCAGGGCTGCAACAACACAATCTGAACTGCCATAGTTCATGCTTATTCATAACAAGTTCAACTCTACTTGACAGTGTTTATGAACTCCATCTTCCCAGTCTGGCAATTGATCAAGACAAGAAATGCAATATGCTGGCTAAATATTAAACCTAGTGTTTGGTTTATACACTTCAACAGTAACTCTGATTCTAGTTATATTATTCTGGTTGCATTGGAGGGGTTTAAATACTGCTACAGTTAACTGAACATTGTCCTACTTCGTCCTGCTATTGCTTCCGTGGAAGCTGTTTGAAGCTTTTCATTCTTGCCATATGATGCAGGTCCTCACTAGATGGCAGTATATACACTGTTGCAACTGTAATGAATCAAACTCAAAAATAATTTGGCAATTTACTACAAATCCCAGCATGCTTTCTGAAAAACATGCAACTGCCTCCTGGGCAAAGGTCTTCACAAAGTGTCTTTCCTGAATTCCTTCGGTAAGTTTGTTTTTCTGTTTACCTTTTTTGTTAGTTATAAGTAACAATAATCTCTCAAATGTGTCCAGCAGTTTGGCTTTCATGAATGAGGATTCAGTTGCAGCTCTCAGCATCTTTAGCATATAGAGCTAGCTTGGACGTATCTCTGCCTTTTTATGTTTTTAACATGTGAGAAACCAAAGCAATCATCATGCCAAATGCATACGCATTTGCTTCTGCAGTATTTTTCAGCAGATATTTCAGAAGCTACTCCAAAAGTTGTGCATCTTCTCTTATGCAATATACATGAATAGGCATTGTTTTCTGGTTTATTGTGAAAAAGTTCCTGTGTCGAGAATAGAGAGCCTACTCCTAGACGTTCTTAAAGCAAGTGCAGCCAACTAGTGGAAGAGGGGTTGGGAACTTGACCAGTGGACCTGCTCCAACCAGATCAGGTTTTAGGTGTTGTTAACTGATAAAATGTATATATGGAGATAAAACTAAATGGGGATTAAATGGAATTTAGTATGTTGAACCAAAGCATAAGTTGTATTTGGTTTATTTCAGGGGGCTCCTAAAAAGTGAAGAAACAGGCAGATCTGTTCAAGACATTATAAAACAGTAAGTTGTGCAATTATATATCACCTATTCTTCCTGATTATAATTCAATGAAGTTATGTATAGCTGCAAAGATGTGAAGAGCAAAAAAGAAATATACTTGCCAAATAAACCATGTGAATTATTTATTTATTTATTTATTTAGTAAGCTTCTATGCCGCCCCATTTGCCGAAGCCGAGGGGCGGCTCACAACAATAAATAAATACACAACCATATAAAACAATATAATTGGAGATGTCCTGGCCATAGATATAAAATCAATAAATAATATTAACAATTAAAATGACGTTTAAATAAAAAGGTCTTGGCCTGGCGCCGAAAAGCAAATAACGATAGCGCCAGGTGGACCTTTCTGGGGAACGCATTCCATAGATTGGGTGCCACCGCAGAGAAAGCCCTCCTCCGGGTACTCACCCTCCTAATGTCCTTCACAGAGGGCTCCCGGAGAAGGGCCTCTGCCGCCGATCTCAATTTAATTGGCCATATAAATTGTCTGCTAACATCAGCAGATCATCTCCATAAATATTAGGGTATACAAAATGCTATGCAAGTGTCTTGAAATGAATTGCACAAATGGTTCTATAATCAATGTAAAACATAACATAGGTTTCCTACAACTGCTCCTTCCAGTGAAGCAGCTTTGGCATTTTAGACCCTGGACTTCATGGTCTTGTAGGGGCCCTGTTTAAGTGGCTGCTCGTATTACTTCAGTTACGAAGCACACAGACGACATTTCTCTTGAAAGGGCTTCAACTACCATCCACGTACGAAAACTGCTTCTGCATTCCTTATGTTTGAGCAACAGCAGCAGAAAAACTGTTCTCCAAACTTGCTCAAAGTGGTTTTTTATATCCAATTCCAGTTTTGTGTTTATAAGCTCACTGAAATCACAGTGCTGTTATAATTACTGGAATGAAATGGCGCTTGTTTCTGCATCTGACATTCTTGGTGGTCCTTTGGGAGCCCTCTGGACTTTGGAGTCCTGGATTTGGGCTCAAGATCCAGTCCAAGCCGCACCAGCGGTTCCATCGGAACTGGTGCCTATTAATTAGATGCTACAACCTGTTTGAAATCACCTACAGGGTACGCAATGGGGCGACTTGATGGGAAAGTAATACTGCTGTCTGCTGCAGCCCAAGGAATTGGCCGAGCCACGGCCCTGGTAAGTCTGCAAATAATTTCCTCTTGGTGGAGAGGGGTGAGGGGACTGTGTAATTTGTTTCCTAAAGCAGCATGGCCCTAGCCCTGCCTTCATGGGGAGCAGGAAGCAGCCATGGAGGAATAACTATTGATCGTTTTGTTTCAAAGGCTTTTGCCAAGGAAGGAGCTGAGGTCATTGCTACAGACATCGATGAAACCAAACTCCGAGAACTGGAAGGCCATCCAGGTATGTATTTCCTTGAGTTATCTGGAACTAGAGTGCTTTGAGGGAGGAGATGGCTCAGCAGGATGCCTTCTGTGAGCCTCTTTCCTACTGCTCAGCTTGCTTGCCCACTCTGCCACCCAAAGACAGAGGGTGGTGACAGTGGTACTTTCTGGTGCGATTTGCCTTTCCCCTGTGGGCAGCAGCTGGGGCAAGGCAACGTGCAGGTGGGGAGGGAAAGCAACTGAGCACCCTTGCCCTGCTCACTCACGGCCATCTCTCTGGCAGACCGTGGAGGTCAAGCCCCAGGAGACAGCAGAGAGGGCAGGTGAGTAAGCCAGTCACAGGGGCAGCTGCTCCTTATTGTCACTGCTTGCCATGCCAGGCAGGTATACAGCATGACAGAGCACTGCACCCACAAGAAGCCATGGGTCCTGGGCCTCAGCAGCTGCTTGAGGGTACTAGACCTTTAGGAGTGGTCTCCTAGATCCAAGTCAACTGGATCATCCCTTCCATTGTGCTCACTTCCTGGCGTGGGGAGTGGGGGAGAATTCCTGAAAATGGTGAGGCTTGCCTGTATCGGCTATTGCTATACATTTAGTCTTTAACATTGTTTGCTGGAACATTTTCTATTAATTTCTCCCTTCCCTAGCCTCCAACAAATGCTAAAGCAGTTAACCTGAACCTTTTCAGAGCACAAATGAGCTTGAACCAAAGATTCAAAGAATACACATGCTCTTTCTCTCTGTGTGTCCATATAATGCCTTCTAGAAGCATTTACACACACCCCTTTGACTTTTCCACATTTTGTTGTGTTACAGCCTGGAATTGAAATGGATTTAATTGACACTTTTGCTAAGAAGTACACAAGATGCTCAACACTATGAAGGTGCAAAATATATTTATTGTGGCACAAAGGTTAACTTGTTAGCTACCTAAGTATTCACTCCCTTTACCATAACATGCTTGAATAAGTTCTGGTGCAACCCACTGCCTCCAGAAATCACGACTGTAAGTAAAGCAGTCCACCTGTGTGCCATTCCAGTACCACATGATATCAGATTAAATACACCTGTTTCTGAATGGTCCCAGGTGAGCATCATGAAGACCAAGGAACTATCAAAACAATTCTGTGATGAAATTATGCAGAAACACCAATCAGGATTGGGTTATTAAAAATCCAAACTCTGAACATCCATTAATACAAAATGGAAAGAATGTGGCTCTGCCTAGAGAAGCTCATCCACCAAAATTCAGTGCCTCAGTAAGGAGAGCATTACCTAGAGGAAACAAGCAACCAGCTGATGGCAACTTAAAGGATCTGCAGAGATAGGCAACTGAGCTGGGCAACACCGTCCATGGGATAACTATTACTAGGACGGTCCACAAAGAGGGGCTTTATAGAGGAGTGGTGAGGAGAAGCCCGTTACTGAAACAACCCATATCAGTGCTCATTTGCAGTTTTCCAAAAGGCTTGTGGGAGACACAGCAAACATGGCAAAATGTTGTCTGGTCTGATGAGACTAGACCTGAACTTGTTGGCCTAGCTTGCAAAACACAATGTGTGGCACAAGGCCAACAGAGCTCATTTCTCTGGGGATGCTATCCCCACAGTGAAGCTTGGTGATGGCAGCATCTTGTTCTGGGGATGCTTTTCCTCAGTAGGGATTGGGAAGCTCATCAGCAAGATGCAGGAAGACCAACAAAAAGCAATTCTAGGGGAAGAAGACCTGATTCAGTCTGCTGGGGACCTGCCACTGGGGCAGAGGTTCACCTCTGGAAGGGACCATGATCCTAAATGCACAGCCAAAGTAACACTGGAGTGGTCTCAGAACAAGAACCTGAATGGTTCAATCAGAGTGAGGACCTCAGTCTGACTATAAATCTGTGGCAAGACTTGGACGTTGCTGGTCACTGGCAGTCCCCCCTGCCCCGCCGCCCCGGACAGAGCTGGAGCAGTTTTGCCTGAAGAATGAGCAAACCTTGCAGCATAGAAACCTACTCAGGAAGACTTACAATTGTGATTGCTGTAAAAGGTGTTTCTTCTGAGTATTGATATGGGGAAATACTGATGCAACCAACAAAGACTGATTTCTTTTTGTTCACTTAACTTTTGAGCCACAATAAAAAATAACCTGCACCTTCACAGTGTTGTGTATCTTGTGTCTATCAGCTGGTAACAATGCCAATTGAATCCATTTTAATTCCAGGTTGTAACACAGCAAAACGTGAAAAAGTCGAAGAGGTGACTACTTCTGCAATGCATGCTTTGTCATCAGCATTATTCATAACATTTTAGCTGTAGCTTTTTAGCTGCAGGCAGCTGGGTGTGGATTTTGAAAAATATATTTGGGCTTTGAAGTGCATAGGAAATCATTCCTAGTACTTTTGTGAGTCATCTGTCTTTGTGGCTTACCTGGGGAAATATACTGTTTGACAGTAAACTACCTTTCCAGTGTTTTTGTGCAAAACTGAATGTATAGCAATAAAAATCAGTGTACTGGGATCTGTGGAGAGCCCCCACAGGCAGGAGAAACCCTCCTCTTTGTAGCCAACCTCCACTCTTAGAGGGCTATGAGAACAAGGCTGGATAGGGCCCTGCTCATGTATTTACTAGGCCTAAATGGGGCTACAGAAGTTAGAAAAAGCCCTTATCTGGATGGTGTGTAGTTCCTTTTGGTGGTGGTGGGGAACTTGGATGCATTCATTCACTTCCAGCTTGAGCCTGCAGTCAAATTAGGAACGATCCCAGTTGGTAACCTGCAGACTTTCTCTCTTCTGTGGATCTTTCTTTGCAGCCTGCTGGGCTGAATGAAAAACACAGTAGCCCACTCTTCCTGGTTAAATGCCAAAAGGAGTGGGGGGTTACATCATTTGCCTCTCAAAAGACCTGCTGTAATGGAAGATGAAACAGTTTTAGCGGGTTTCTTGATATGGACAATTCAGCTGCCTGGATTTTTGGGCTCTCCTTGTGGGGTGGCTATGGGCTAGTGCTTCCAGGATTCCAAATTTACCATCCCATCACTAAGCAGAGCATGTTGGGAGGGGGTCTTTATGCCTTCCCTCCTCAGTTGTGGCCCCTTGCACAAAAAACCTCTCCCCCTCACATGCCTAATAAACCCCCATCCCACTGACACTAACAGGAGAACATGAACATGCTGTGGATTTCATTCTTCCTGGTGCATCTTTCCCATTTGTTTTCATAAACAGCACAGGGGAAATATGTGATCCACAGCCAAATTCAAGGTATTATGATATGAGTTACATGCATGCTCCAGACAGGTTGCCCAGATACAAAAGGAGACAGGGCTGCTGTGCTTTTAAGAGTTGTGTAGAAGTGAGCATTTTGGCAGTTGCAGTTCAGTCTGAGGCTACGCTGCTAAAATTCCCTCTTCTACACTGCTGCATTGTAACTGGCCACCTGAACTCCAGATGTGGCTGCAAGGGGAGAACGGGTGAATCCCATATTTGTATTTTCCAAGTGAAGCTTAAAAAGGATGCGAGGATTGCTTGTGGGGCCAGCCAGTATGATCTCTTTCTGTGTTTTGGTCTCTTCTATACTCATACTTACATGCAGAAAAAACTTGTTATACTTCCTTTATCATACGAATATCTCAATTCATACTGCAGCATATTTTACGTAAATATTTTTAACAGGCATTCAGGTTCGGGTGCTGGATGTCACCAACAAAGAACAAATTGAAAATCTGGCCAAGGAAATAAAAAGAATTGATGTTCTTTGTAATATTGCAGGGTAAGATATGGCTGTCAGACTTTTAGCTGCTTTTCCTTGTGCTATATTTCTTGTGGTAGAAACTAATACACTTTTAAAAAAAATCAGCCTGATCTTGCTTTTCCTACAGCTGGTCTCATTCATAATATTTACATTTAGCTTGGTAATACTGCAGCATAGCACATTCCCAAACTCTGTTCTGTGCCCATTTCCTTATGCTCTTAAGGTGCAATCCTATGTATATCTAGATTTTGAAAATAAAAGAAACTTAAACTCCCAACGTGCCCTTTTCAGCTATGGCTTTTTTGTGCCTAAACACATAAGACTGCATGTTTAACCACACTGAGAGCCACATTTCGATACGATGTTAAATGTGTTGTCGCATTTAATGTGTCAAGTTTTTTCTTCTTCTAAATATTTTTCCATACATCTTTTGTACTAGGTTTGTCCATCATGGGACCATTTTGGATTGTGAGGAAAAGGACTGGGATTTCACAATGAATATTAATATTCGCAGCATGTATCTGATGATTAAAACTTTCCTGCCTAAGGTGAGACTAACCTTTCTCTCCAACTTTGAGATGGGAAGTTCAGTGTGTGAACAGCAGAAGGCTGTTTTAAGGAAAGCAAAGGAGGGAGAGGCAAGCTGTACTCATATTTAGCTTTTGTATGAGCCTTCCAACATTCATCATGCTTCATCTGTCTCGTATTTAAGGCAATGCATCACAATCCTAGGAATCACCCTATAAGGGAAGCCAATATTATTGCCCCCCATAACACAGATGGGAAGACTGAGGCGAAGCAAAGCTTGATTGGGGCTCCCTAGTAGGTTAGAGTGGCAGAGGTGACATTCAAACTGGGGACTAATTAATATACTAATTAAAGACTAATTAATCTTTTAGTAGCCAGTACACTACAACCTTTGTACTGAAAGGGGAAGTAAAAAAAACTGTACTCATTGGTCTGAATCAAAATGAAGGGAACTAAATTAAATAATTCCAATTTATTTATTTTCTTGAATATAACTGGGGAATTTGATCCCAGGAATGCTCTATGAAGCCTATTGCGAACTGCATATTTGTGAAGTATAATTGCCTTATTAGTGTGTTTCCTCGTCTCCAGATTCAGTTTAAAAATTCTATATTGCCATTTACTCTGGCCTCCTGATTAATAGCAATTAATTGGTCCGGATACTTCAACTGGTGCAAAATAGAGCTGCCAGGCTGCTGACGGGGACTGGGCATTATGTTCACATGATTCCAGTCCTCTGTCAGCTTCACTGGCTCCCCATTGAAGTCCCAATTCAAGGTGTTGGTGATGACCTATAAAGCCCTAAACGGCTTGGGTCCTGGTTACCTGAAGGAGCACTTACATCCATATACGCCCGCCTGCCCGCCCCTTGAGATCAGCGGGAGAGGCCCTTCTCTGGGAACCCTCCATGAAGGAAATTAGGAGGGTAAGTACTCAGAGGAGGGCTTTCTCTGCGGTGGCGCCCAATCTATGGAATGTGCTCCCCAGAGAGGTCCGCCTGGCGCCGTCGTTATTTGTTTTTCAGCGCCAGGCCAAGACCTTTTTATTTAAACGTCATTTTAATTGTTAGCTTTATTTATTGATTTTATAGTTTTGGCCAGGACATCTCCAATTATATTGTTTTTATATGTTTAATATGGATTTATTTATTGTTGTAAGCCGCCCCGAGGCTTCGGCGAATGGGGTGGCATTAGATGCTTACTAAATAAATAAATACATAAATACATAAATGCTTGTCTTTATTTACTCAACCTGACCCACTAATGTATTTTATGAAATAGATATTTTAAAGAACCTCCTCGTCTGGAACAACTTCCCATTCTTTATGTTGGGATGGTCTCTCACATAGTGGTAGAACATCTACTACAACTAAATATTGCCAAAACATATGATTTAAAAAGGATTTGTGGTATTATACTTCCAGTAATTGGCTGACATAGACAAACTCTTCTTAAGGAGACATGGTGGTGTCCAATAAATATGGAAGACACATTTTTGTTGAATAAGACATCATCTGTTGTCCACTGAAATTTCAGGTATCAGTTCTAGTGCCATAGTCTGCCACTTGGACCCTATAGGACATTCCAGTTCAATATCCCAAACGACTATGCAAAGGGCTTGACTGCTAGCACAGGGATGAGATGAATTGCCTGCAGGACTTCCCTTTGTATATTATATTAAACCTTTTATGGTCCTCATAGAATACTGACAAGGATGCTGACAATGAAATTTTTAATGAAAGGCAGTACAGAAAAACTGCAAACAACAAATAAATGAATGATAATGATATTTCCTGCCTAAATAATAATGTTCCAAGCATCTGAAAAGTCAAACCCTATCTTCGAATCTGTAATGTGAAACTGAAGTTCCATCTTGGTCTTGAGACACCATCGAGTCTTTTGCCATCATAACATATTATCTTTGGATTTTTTTCAAGATGCTTGAGCAAAAATCTGGAAACATTATCAACATGTCTTCTGTGGCATCCAGCATCAAAGGTCAGTAACTAGTCATAGAGTTTTTACTGTATCTACGTACTGAGGTGTGCATATATGTGTTCGAATGGATCAAGGCTGTTCATATTGGATGTGTGGTCTGATCTTTTTGGGACTGACTATAGTCAGGTATTAATTTAAGGGCCATTTCATGCGATTCTTCCATGGTGAGTATCATTATCCATGCCTAGAATGAGCCATTGCAGTATTGTGCTTAGTGTGCAGAACTGGGACTCAAGATATCCAGTTTCTAGTTCCTGCATCGCCATGTACCAAACTGGGTACTTCGGGTGACTCTAAGCCTAACTTACTTCACAGGCTGTTGCTGTGAGGACAAAATGGAGAGGAGGGGGCCATGTAAATAGCCTTGAGTACCTTGCAAGAGGAAGAAAAGTAGGGTTTAAAAGTAAATAATAGAAAACGTATGTGTTATTCTGTACTGCATGGGCACTGAGAGAATTTCATTCTGGAAACAACTGTTGGTTTTTTGTTGGGTATCTACAGCAAAGAAGGCACAACATGGGACAATACAATACCACCTTGATAACTTTTTAGCAGATAAGATAGTATAATAAATGCAAATAAATAAAAAAATGCATGCTGTTTCTGATAGCAGTATAAGAAGTAAGGTGCTGTCAGCCTCAGTACAGCTCCAGCTGAGCTTTGTCCTACAGATCAACTTAGTCTTGACCCAGATCTTTAGACCCAGAGCTGCTCTCTGAAATCATCCATTGTAGCCCATGCATTTGTACTCTGGAAAGGATCCTGCAGCATCACCAGGTGTATCGAAAGTTGTACCCAAGCCAGCTTGGATACATCTGTAGAGATGGAGCACTTACAACACAGACTTAAATATGTTTATATAGGCTAACCACATTTTTAAAGGGACAGGTATCTTGCATCTTTAATAGGGGTACACAAGCAAGAATTTCAGCAGATGAGGCATGCATGACCAGTTCCACCTGAGGAAATCCCTTCTTTACACACTTATTAAATGTACAAGCACACTCTCCTCTTATAAAGCTTTCCATCCCAGCTAAACTTTTCAGAATACTCCAACTGACATTTTCTGAGTAATGAGAACTACCCCTCCCTCCTATTTGTAGCATATTGAAACTGTGGAAGAGCGTGCCAGAGGCAAAATGAGATGAATTCCAAAATCTATAAGAAATAGAAAAGTTAGACAGAAATAAAGCTGCTGCAGAAACCAGAATAATAACAATTAGGCTTTTCTATTCCACTCTTTGGCTACTACTCAATAGGCAAAGCTCTCTGGGTGGTTCACAACAACAGATAAAATACAATAAAAATGCAATGCAGAACACAATAACATTTAAAACATAATAAAATACAAAATGTAAAAGCTAAATTTTGAAAACTACAATAGTTTACAGAAATTAAGTCACAAGCTCTGTTAAACAGTTCATATAATGCTCCAATGTAATAGAAAACTAATTAAATGTCTTGCCATAGATGACAGTGTTAACTTGCTGCTGAAAGGTATTAAAGCTGACACCAGGCAGTTCTCCATGGGGCGTTCCATTAAAAAGGTCTTTCTCCTGGTTGCCACCAAACAAGCTCCCTTCAGAGATGGCAGTTGGAACCAGGCCCCAGATTAATTGTACTGTCCAGGTAGATTGCAGTTGCGAGATGCATTCCACAGGTATTGTGGTCCCAAGCCTTAGGGCTCTATTGGCTTGAGCCTGGACCCTCCCCAGTTCTAGTCCAACACTCTGCATCACGTTAGCACTCAGTGCAGCAGGCAACATTCTCATGGGCACAGAATGGGGAAAACACAAAGTTGTGTTGATGAAATTAGCATTAAAAAATATTTTAAAGGGATTGCTAGTACATGGGTAATTGCATCCTTTAGAGAAGATAACAAAACAGTGGTGTAGAGCATCTCAAGCTTAATGACAGAGGAAGATGGCTTAAATGCCAAGTGTTGTTTTCGGTTCTAGAGTACCCGAATAGGTCTTCTTTTCCTTTAGTGCAGTTCAATTCCTGCAGAATAATAGTTCCTGTTCTTTCTCAGGAGCTGTTAACAGGTGTGTCTACAGCACCTCAAAGGCAGCAGTTATTGGTCTCACCAAATCCATAGCTGCTGACTTTGTTGGAAAAGGAATACGATGCAACTGTGTTTGTCCTGGTAAGTAACTTTCCATGATCTCAGTCTTCTCTGCCTGTGGGATAGTGCAAAGGAGCAACAGCTCTGCAATTTAAGGGTGACGGTTCCTCCCAGCCTATTTTATTTTGCTCTGTTAATCCAGGAGTTCAAAAAAGTGCAGCCTGTGGGCTACACGTACCCTGACAAGTCATTTCTTGTGGCTTGCTGGACCTTCTTGAATATGCCCTTTTATATCCTTAATCATCCCTGATCTCTCATCAGAGATCAAAGTACATGATTCACTTATATCCAATGAAAGATCAGAGAAAACCTAGGGATTCCTCTGCAAGTGCTAACACACTGCTGAGGAAGTAGTTTTTGCTAGTGCAAGCAAAGGAATCTCATGGGAGGTTGGAGATAAAGACTGCTAGCAAGGAAATTCCCAGACATAGACGTGAGGGTGTTTGTGCATTTGCAGCCTCATGGCGTTGCCCAGTGTGGCCCGCGGGAGCAAAGGCAGTGTGCATCCCTAGGACAGCGAATGAAGCTAAGATTTGGATAATGCAGTCAGAAGAGATTCTTGAGTGCTTTCGCAGAAGCATATCAAGAGAGAAGCTGCTCCTCAGGTAGGGATTGCCCACGTAAATTAAGCTTCCCATGTGTTGAACATTTTTGTGGAAAACAGAATTTCAGCATATATGAAAGGATCAAAGGTCATATCATCAAATCTCTGGAGATCATGTTTTGTGGGTACCCCTTGATAACATCACCACAAGGGCATTGTATTAAAGTAAGATTTTTCCCAGGTAAAACTTTAGTTAGAGGATCCATGTGTGTTCACATGCAACATGGTGGCAATTAATGTTTGGACATATTTTTAGGCACCGTTGACACGCCTTCTCTGCAGGAGAGGATCCAGGCCAGCCCTAATCCAGAACAGGTAATCAATCTTATTTCATACGATTTCATAAGATATGATGAAGAAACACCCGTAGCACCTAGTTCTGATAAGCCTGCTCCATAATATACCACTTTTGCCATGAAAAGTATATTTGTGTGGAGGGGGAATTATCTTGAAGCCCACAGAATGCAGACCATCCTTAATGGGCAGTCTTTGCTGTCCTGGTTATCTGTGGAGAAAAGTCCTCTTCGTTTGTGCTCAGTCATCAGCACTGCACACACGTAATTTGCTGGGGAGAGAGGGCTTCTGTTTCCTGTCACTGGCTGCTGCTTTTCTTACGTGTGTAGCCTCACTGAGAGCCCTGTCACTGGCCTGACCATTAGGTGCAGTGAGAGAGCCTCTTTAGGCAGCTGATATTGGGATGTCTTGAAAGGTCAGTAAAGAGCTACTTTTTAAGTTTTTCTTCTTAACATTATAATAATATGAGCCATTTTTCCCAGGCACTGAAAGACTTTCTGGTGAGGCAAAAGATGGGCAGGCTGGGTAATGCTGAAGAAATTGCCCACCTCTTTGTGTATCTGGCTTCTGAAGAAGTAAGTTCTTTGGATCAGCTGTCATGTTGTTTGAATGTTTGCTTCCTTAACTGGATCCACTAGCCAGCTGCTGCTGCTTATATCCAGGGTTTTTAATCTGGAGCAAGCAATGCATGCAAGTTGAAGGGTATTACATCCCAAATTATACCTGGACACTCATATTTAGGCTAGCACAACTTTTCAAAAACTCTTCCCACCCTCTTCGCACCAAGCTAAATGTGACACTATTTCTGTACTTGGCAATTGTATGAATGGCTTTTAAGAGTTAAATGCAAGGTATGAAGACCCTAGTTCAAATCTGGCAAGATGAGTTGGTGCTACATCTGATGGTAGATGGAGAAATCCTCATAGGGAATGGGAATGGGCCCACAGTAAGCAATCCAGAAAACTTGAAAATGGCAAGATACTGCTTTGCCATTAGAAGGTAAAGTTTATGTAGCATGGCTGAGACAGACTCCTGGCTCTGTATTAATAGAAAAACCATATGAGCCAGTGAGGATGTTGTCAGCATAATGTGATTCACCCCTTATTTTCCCTTGCAAGCCTGCAGGATAAATCAAATAGCATGTGCTAAATGTATCATAGTAGCACATGAGGAACCATGTCATGTGGAATTTATCAATTCACTGTCCCAATGAATCCCATGGAAAATGGCTTAACTTGTCCTCTGAGGTCATACAGAAGGCCAGTCTCCCCCAACCTGGCACCCTCCAGATGTCTTGGGCTTAAGCTTCCATCAGCATGGCCAATGGTCCATGCTGATGGAATTCAAAAGATCCGGATGGCACCAGCCTGGGAAAGGTTGATCTTGAATAAAGATGCTTAAGTGCATAACAGGGCCTCTGACGTGTAAATGTAATCCTTAGCACATCACAAGATGATTTCTTCCGTACTCTGGTAATGAAAATAATGGTTTTGTGGCCCCTAGCTATTACTTGAGGAGGCACAGAATTGATCAGATTCCCAGTACTCTGACTTTGGAGCTGGGAATCGTGGCTCCTCCCCTATGCACTTGCAGCTGGCATGGAAAGAACCCCCTCTCTTGCAAAAAAAAAAATCCATTAGGCAGTATATTTTCATTTATTGTGATTAAAAAGCACCTGTGGAATCTGACTAACTTCTGAAAAAAGCTGCTACTACTTTGATCAAAACTCTATTTCTGGTACTTTGCCCTGAATGCCACATTCTCTCACTTTGTTTCAGTCAGCATACATGACTGGCAATGCATGCATCATTGATGGCGGCTGGAGCATGTGACTTGGCACCTGAGCAGAAACTCCATCCACTTTCTTTGGATTCTGGAAGACCAAAAGAAGGAGCTGCTTGCACTCTTAATAATCGGAGCCTTATTGACTAAAATGTGAGATACAGGGGAGGGCTGATTGTCAAGTACCTCCTTGACCAAGCTGGTACCCACCAGATGTTGGACTGTAAGTCCCAAAATTTCCAAACTGTGGAAGTTGCAGCCCAGCACATCTGAAGGGCACCAGCTTGGGGAAGGTTGAGCTCTCTGACATGTGCTAATCTTTTCCTGTGAAAGTCATGCTGCATGATGGGTTGGATCCTGTCTTAATCATACTTAGAGTAGTCTACTGAAATCAATGGGACAAGTAAGTCATAACTAACTTAACTTCCACTGCTATCAGTGGGTCGACTGTAAGCACAACTAAGGCTGGAGCCAGTGCCATAAATATGCATGTTGCATATCTGTTTCTTACTTGTTCTGCCCAGTCTGAACATCTTCACTCAAGGTGCTCTTCAGAATAACAAGACCAAAAGCAGCCAAAGCAAAAAAATTTGTCCTTGGACAGGGAGGGTGGTGAAATACTTCACCCAGTTAATACAGTCATTTTCTTGTCACCATCAAAATGTGATAACAGAACCCTTCCATTGACTTCAAGCATACCATCTCTAACACACGCCTGGAGGGGGGAGGGGGGCAGCACTTTCCTAGTTTAAAGCTCGGGTGTACAGTCACTTAGTTTCAAGTGAGGAAGAGCAGTTAGGTGCTAAACTATGCACAATGAGAGCTATCATTTTGTGATGGACGTTATAGTTTGTTTTTTTCTTTTTGTTCCTTGGAAGATATATATTCCCTCTTTCCCTCCAGAAGAATACAAATAACCAGATTTTAAGCAATGTTTGTTAAGGTGGGTGAACAAAGTTACCTACAAAGCTAAGATGGGTATACTTATTCATCACTGAAATGGGACTTTCAGAAATATGATGCTAGAGCATTAGATCAAACTACTTTTCTGGAGTACTCCAAAGAACATTAGAAGCACTGTGCTGGAGCAGGCCAAGGTGCCTTCTTTTCACCCAATAGCCAACCAGCTGTTCACAGGATCCCAGAATCAGGACATGAGGGCAAAATAATCTCCCACCCCAAGTCCTCCAGCGACTGGTGCAGGCATACCATCTCTGATACTAGAGGCAGCATATAGCATCAGGACTAGTAGCCACGCATAGCCATCCTCCAGTAATGCCTCCAATACCCTACCAATGCTACCAATAAAACACAAATTTTCTTAGTTTTGTTTATGTGTCCTTATTTTGTTGCTAAATGTTCTCATTCATATGTAAGCATTAGGTGACAGTCCCATACCTGTACCATATGAGCCCAAAAAGGTTGGAGTGTTTCACACAAGTGTGGAATGCACACAGCAAATGATATATTCTGCTAGGCCAAAGTGAGGAAATTTAGCTTCCTGATGAAGTTTAAGGGCAAACATTATCTTTTTATTTCACCACAATTTTTCAGGGTTGATAGTGCAAACAAAAGAGAAAAGCTCTGATTCTATAAATGTGTCAAGAGCCAGGGCTGCCTGGTCTGTGTCTGAGAAACTCCCGTGCTCAGGGTCTCCTCCCACCAGCTGTACATCTTGATTATTCCCAGGAACTGCATGTCCACCTGGGGAGTATGGCCTTGAGATAAGCACCTCTGCTTCTCTTGTTTCTTGTGCCTTGTTTCATGGCCCACATTCCCGGGCTGCCTCCCATTCTGCTTCACATTCTGATTCTGATGAATCCCAGCCTGCAGTCCTCGAGAACAAGCATCCAAAGCAGTCTTCCTTCTCTCTCCCAACAAAAACCAAGAGAATTGTGAGCAGATCTTGGGGCTACATGACAGGTGGTCTGTACATACTGTGTCCCATGATCCAAAATCGTGCAGAAGTGGATGAACCTAAAATTGAAAGCAGCAAAGGGCAACAGCTTTGGGCAGACTCAGGTTGAGTAGTATGTATGGCTCAAGTTGAATAGGATCCTTCCCTTGGCTTCTGCCTTAGTGACTCAGTTAAGTTGGCTGAGTAAGCATTGCAAAAGAGGTCCTTAAGGACTGGAGTGCATTTCTTGCTATGGATTTGGCCAATTTAATGATAACCTGGTATTTGCGGTTATCTGGAGTTTGCAAGCTTTGCACAGTATGGGAGGTCAACACCTCTTAATTCAATAAAGGCAAAGGACCTACAGATTATGCGTTTCAGATACAATATGTGTGGATTGCACAGCATAGTTCAGTCAGGCACTTCTTACTCCTTCCACGAGACTGCTTATGTAGCCTTTTGCAGAAGAAAATGCATACTGGACATGGTGATAGAGTGATGCAAGCCAAATGCAAGTCCAGATGACACTTCCACAAAAGCCAACCTCATTTCTCAACTGTGGCACCAAATTAAAGTGAGTATTGCAATAAAGACATGGTATAATTCTATCTCAAGTATGTCTCTTCCCACAGAGCATAGGAGGTGGCTGCTATCAAATTACTGTAATCCAAATTGGGGTGTTCTGAAGCCTGCCTCAGTTTACTTAAGTGTGCATGTTATTTCTCTTCTTTATAATCTGATTTGGGAGCCTTGGGTGGGGAGGCTCCAAACAGAAGGCTCCCCCTCCATTACAATCAAAAGATACAATTGTGCACAATAATTCCCTCTTTTCTAATATTTTGTAGAAGGAAAAAAAGAGGAAAGAGGCAGTAGGAAAACACAAGAGGGCTTCAAGGGGTGGGATGATGCCTAAAATTCCATGTATAAGGTTGCATGATGGTGCTATAAAAACCTTACTGGGAAGCACCATCTTTGACTGATAGCACTAAGTGCTATCCCTTTGGAGGCATCCTTTGACAGAAGCCCAAAGCTCATAAGCTGCTTCCTATTTGAGGGCTCCTAACAGCAGTGTGAGGTTCTTTCATTATTCCTGGAACAAAGAAAAAGTTGGAAGAAGCATTGGGAAAACAGGGAGGGTTATAGCTGGAAGCCATCACCTGAATCCATATTACAATACTATGAGGCAGGATGCTGGGCCAGGGACGGGATTAGGTACAGAAAATATCCAGGGCTCAGGATGGTAGGACAAAGCACCAATATTCATATGTTCTAAAGAAGTCTGTAAGGACACCTTTATTTGCTACAAGGGGTGCATGGAAGGGGAGAGTGTTCGATTTCGAGGGGGGGAATCAGGCAGCATGGGGGGGGGCAGTAAATGAAACACATGTGGGCAAAGGGCCAACCAATCCATGGGGCTCAGATGCGCCTGAGATAATCGAGGCCCGAAGGCCTCTATTTCAGGAAGTGGACAGCCGTGTGGTGGGGCAGACGCTTCCCAGAGATTCGGGGATCTAAGTGAATGCCCCTAATACTGCCTCTACAAATTTAGTTTCGTGGGAAAGGCCCCTAAGTAAGCAGTATCGACACGATCACGCTCCAGCAAAGGCTCAACGAACTCTCCAGGAGGGCCACCGGCTGTATGAGGAGAGTGCTACAGCTCCCGAGTGGTACAGCTCAGCAGGCTTCCGCCACCCCCGCTGTTGCATTTGTGGTTCAGGCCTGGCAGCCGGCGCCCGAAAATAGCCGCCCTCTCTTCGCCCTCGTCTTAGTCGCATTTTCCTAGGAGAAAAGTTCCCTCGCCGCCGTGCGCCTTCGCCTTGCTTTGGCCGCCTCATCTTTTCCCTCCAGCGGCGGTTTCCAGCCGCCGCTCCCTCCCACCCATGGCCGGCAGAAGGGAGGGAACCGTATTTATAACTCAGACCGGGAAAACGAGGGAGAAGAGAGAAAAGCGCGCCTCCGAGCCGGCGCTGCACGTGTGCGGGGCTACCGTGCTTGGGCCAGCTTGGCAGGAGGGACGTTTCATCTCCGCGCTCCGGGAGCAACGGCAGCAAAAAGCTACGTCAGCCCGAGGTGCCGCCGCCGCCTCTCCGCAATCCCTCGCGGCCTGAAGGGGCCTTGCTTGGCCGACGGCTAGGTAGGCTCTTACTCCGCGCCCCTTCACACGCGCGCATCGCTGAACCGGCGTCTCCTTCCGTCTCCTCGCGGTCCTTGGAATGTAAATCCCTCCGGAGCCGTTCAGCAAAAAAGCTCCTGAGGAAGACCATCGATGGCCATTGCTTCTGATCCCGCCACCGGGATCGGGGGCATATGCCCACGCACCAGTTGCTGTTGCGCTCATGTCCCGCGTGACCGTTTCTCAGGCTGCCGGTTGGACACTGGGCGCGCAGTGCCGAACGAGATGGGCCACTGGTCAGATCCAGGGTCTGGGTTCTACTTACCTTCTTATGCCTGCTCTCTCACGAGCAGGACGCCTCCTGCTCCAGTGGCTGGGGAGCATGGGTGGGAGGATGCAGTTGCACGTACGTCCTGTATCCCCCCCTATAAATCTGATTATTGCTGTGCATGAAGCAGATTGGATCCTCTTTTATCACAGGCAACCCCAGGACTGTCCTGACTGTTGTATTTTTAGATTAAAAAAGAGAGAGCAAGAACACCACTTGGTATGTTTTCTTTGTGCAAAGGGAGTTGACAGCAACCAGGGTGGAAGTATTACTAATAAGTACGTGGTTCTGTGGTTCAGCACTTGACCCCAAGTTAACAATCGTTTCTCAGAAGCTCCCTCCAGTAGCAAAAATGCTTCATAGTTATTTTATGTCTCAGGCACAGAGGTGTTTGGAATGGACCCTGATTTGGTTGTGTGTGGGTAAACATTGGGTGGCCATAACAGAGGAATACTACTTAGGAGATTTTTGTTTAAGCATTTGGATAAGATGTATATGAATTTATTAAATAATAACCTAGATTAATTCAAAGCACTTAATGGCAAATTAAGTCAGCCTTTGCCAAGCAGACGTGTTGGGCAGCAGCTCTCATTATCCCCAGCCAACACAGTCACTGCTAGCACTGGCTAGCAGAATGGGAATTGTAATCTAATACCTCTAGAGAGTGCCAGATTGGCTGAGCTAAGTGCTGGTGGACTGATCCTTGTACTACCCTGTAGAAGTACATCATGTCCAGGAGATATTCATGGGGATGCCAGTACAAATAGAGTCTCTATGATGGTTTCATTCTTGCTATCATTCAAAAGCAACAGTTCAAATGCTAAAACTAATGTTATGGTGCAGTCCTGCACTTGTCTACTTAGAAATATGGAACTGAATGAGTGGGACGTACTCACAGGTAAGTGGATACCAGATTGTAGCCAGTTAGTATTATGAGGCACACCCATTCTGACCACTAGCAAAATATATAGATCATGCCTAATATCACCAAATATATATAGATCATGACCAGAAGACCCTTAGAATAGTGCCACGCTATTCCAGGTCTGTTCTGTGCAGCCAGTTTGGCACATTAAAGGCACAATCCTATACACGTTTATTTATTTATTTACTATATTTATTATCTCACTTTTTTTCATTTGCGGAACTCAAGGCAGCTTCCATGATCCTCTTCCTCACAACAACCCTGTGAGGTAAGCTAGACAGAGTCAGTGACTGGCTCCAAAATATACAGAAGAAGCAAGCAGCCTCATGAATTTTTTCAAAAGTGTAAAAGAGCAATTTAGGACAAACTAAACAAAAAGTTAGGAAAAATGAACCTGAGGAAAAACATAGCTCAGTGCCAGAGAGGCAGCTTAGTACAGAAAGTTCTCAATCATGTTGATGCTGTAGCAGTGGAAGAGAAACTGAGGAGCAGGGCAAGCATGTCACTCTCTAAGAGTAGTGATAAAAACGCTCCAATTAAATAAGGCTACAGCCCGGGTGCCTGCAGCCTCAGTGCACTTCCATGAAGAGACTTGCAAGAATCCAGTGGCTAGAATGAGGCAATATGGCAGTGATCTCTGCTGCTGTTGCACCTCACACTGTGTTTTTTACCTAGACAACTGTTTTTGGCTTTCTAGATTGTGAAGAGGAGGAGGAAAGGAAGCCAGTGTGGCAAAAGTAACTAGTATAAAAAGAGAACCCTAATCTCTTTCCCTCTCTACTTCACCAGCTCACCCCCTTTCCCTGCGTTTTGAGGTACATTTTCACTCTTGGAGAGGCTGTAAGGCAGGGGCTCATCTTTTGACACCCCAAAACTTTGGTGCTGAGATTCTGAAAAATCATATGCCACTGTCTCCAGACTATGTTGAGAGACCATAGGATTGTGCACTAAATAGTGCAGAGGAAAAGCCAGAACTACATTTACAGAAGGAATGTTCAAATCCAAGCTGTCACATATTTTATTTATTATTATTTTTTGTAAGCAACCTCAGATGTTTTATGGTAAGGCAGGATATATTTTAAAAACTAGTTAAAAGATAATTACATTGAAAATGTAGTTACTTTTTTGAGGAAAAGAGGTTCTTGTACATGGGAAGGTGTCATATACCTAACCACATCATTGGTCCATCCAATTGACAATGGTCAACACTGTATGGAAGTGGCTCTTAAGGGTTTCAGGTAGACATTTTTTCCAGCTGAAGACGCTGATGTTTGAACTTGAGATCTTCTGCGTGTAGAGGATGTGCACTACCACTGAGCTGTGGCCCCTTCCATGGAGTAGTGATGAGGTGCCTCCGGGAGCTTCTCTTTCGAAAGAGGTTCCAAAATATCCACTCCAGCCTGAGGACATTGTGCTAGGGCCTCACAGGGGAAAGAAGGGCTCTTGTATCCAGCAAATCCAAAGTCTCCTCTGCTTGACTCCTGGAACCGTCTGAGCACAGAGCTGATTAGCAGTAGTAGTAAGTGGTAGGCTAGACAGTTGCTACACCCAACCCCCCAGTTTCTTTTTTGATGGCTGAGGGTACTTTGCCACCATCTTAACCCCCTTCACCCAGAGATTCTGTAGGGCTACAGTCACACTATAAGTTATTTATGGCACACCTCATGAGCTAGAAAGAAAGCAAGAACCAGCTCTGTTGCAGGGTAAAAATGCCCTTGTTTGGTTGTCTGTAGCTTAGTCATCACAAGTGAGCAATCAAGTGGCTATTTGCAGGACTTAGAACTATCTGATTTGCTAGACCTTCCATGTTTTTTCATATTACTTCATTTTAAGAAGTTCACACAACATGTTATCCATCTACCCTTAAATCTGTAGTCCATGCATGTAGCTGGGACACGCCCTGGGAAACTGGGATTGACCATAGCTCCTTGTTCTGTGCACATAATAGTAAACATGCTTAATGGAATCACTAATACCCTCATCTCCGTGTGCTTTGGCACCTGTTTCAACCACTTGCTTTCTATAAAGTAAACATTATTATCAGCACAATTGAACAAAGCTATCTTGTACCTTATTCAGGAACTGAATGATAATTTCTTTCTACAAATGAAAGGAACAAATTCCAGGCTCAGAAAGGATACTGCCTCCGCCCAGTATTTGAGCAAGCTAAGTCCTTCATTCATTTGGGAAAGGCCTTCTGTAATAAAATAAAATCAGCAGAAACACAAAATTATCCATTAAGAGAAATCATTTTTAAGGTAATATGACTGCCTAACTGCATGGCTCAGGCCACACCCTCAGATATGGTGCGTGTATTTGCCCAGGGTTTGATTAACTAAAAGTATGGTGATATTTTGGCTAGATAGAAAAGTACATTGTCAACTCCTCAAACTTTATTTCATTTTCAATTGCAGGAGGGTGGAGACATTTCCTTTTGGCAATTCTAGTCAGTCTGGAGTGACTGGCCAGGTAAATATAATCCTTGCTGCACAAATACCCCAAAATGCCCGTGACCTTTTTCTAGTTTTGCATTCTGTCTTGTTCAGATATCCTGGCACCTGGACTCAGAATGTGTTCATGTGACTTGTCATCATACAGTGATTCAGACTGGGCTAGTCTGGGGGAAAATCAGCACAGGGTGTTTTAAGACTTATCGTGCTTTCACTTTGCTTCTTTAATAGTAATGTAGATTATGTGTCTCTGTGGTCCAGACAAGGTCATCTTCCACTTGTATCATTTGTTTTCCCAGCACTTCTTCCATACCTTTTCTTAATACAGTTCTTTAAGGAAAAAAGACAGGTTACCAACTGACTGGGTTTGCTTGACATGACAACCCATTATATATATATTTCTTATTTATTTAGTTAAAGTTCTTCTAACCTGTCCACTAGAAGTGTCTCAGGACAGCTTTTAAAAAATGAGTAGAATAAAACAAACACCACAGCATTATGGTTTGTCATGTCACATGAACCAAGACTGATTCCCACAGTGTGGTTTGTTGGAGCACAAGAAGCCAGGTTGACAATCCATAGCTTGCTCTAGAGGTTCTTGAACTTATGATCCACCTGTCATGTCATCCAAACCTGGGAAACTGACCCTGTTGTGGATACAGGCTAGTAGTACTCCTTTGGCAAAAGTTCCAAAACCATCTAGCCACTCTTGTCAAGTGTGACATGACACCTAGCCATGCTACTCATCCCAAAATTGCACTTTTGCAAGTCGGCAGTGGCTTCCCCTCCCCCCGGGCACAATTACAAGCTTACCATGGCTTTTTTTGCACTTTTTGTTGTTGATTGTGAAATCCCTGTTTTGTAATCCCTGTTTGGAGCACTGAAGACTTTCCCTTCAAAATGCTCCAGTGGGAAAAAACAACTTTGAAAAACTTGCAACCTGAAAAATTGTGGGAGAAAGGTTTTTTTAAAAGGCAACCATGAGCATTTCCTCCAAGGTTCTGCTGGGCTTTGTCCACAGAGGTTGCAGGTGCAGGAGCTGACAGAGGTAGCCAAAGCAAAAAGGAATGCACTCGCAGCCTTTGTGGGACGATGACCAGTGTGGATCTCTGCTGGACTTTTTCCAGCAGGCAGCCCCCACCCAAGTATCCCCATGCATACGCCCATGTAACTGCAAATGCCCATAGTTGTGCAAGCATGGGTCAGATAAATACACACATGATTTCAAATTGCAAATATTTGCCAACATTAGTTAGAAATTGATGTGCGGGGGGGGGGGGGAAGCTTAGTAACCAAGGTTTACTGCAACCTGATTGTTGCTGAGGACCATTGAAGGGACTGTTCATAGCTGTCAAAACAAGCTTTTAGTGTCAGCTGCCCCAAAAGTGCCCAAGAAGCACTTGGTAGATTTTTGCATCTTCCAGGGGGGAAAAAACCCAAATTTGGGGTGCAAAAAGGCCATGGCAGGCATGAAACAGCTCACAATTGTGGTGGGGAAGAGGGTGACATCTTGGCGGTCCTGCCATGTTCCCCGTGTTACCCACAGCAGGACTAAGGGAGGAGGAGGGAGAGGGAAGAGCCCAATTATCCAAAGTGAGTCTGATTGTTCAAAACAGTCAACCCATCATGGCTTACTGAAAGGGTGGGTTGGTGCAATGTAGACGCTCTTCCTTTGCCTTCTGATTGGCAGGGCTAGGAGTTCCCCATTGGAAACACGTGCAATTTCACATAATCCGTACCTGCCACCAGCAGCTGTGTTTCATTGACTCTGAAAAGAATTTTGAGCTTCATCTTCCCAGGGTGGAATAAGATACTTTCATTTAGTGCATCTGAACCTTTTAAGTCATGGATGAAGCATACTGAATCTACTGTAGTACCTCATTCATCTGCACAGCAGGTATGAGCTTGTGTAGTCCATGATCTGATATCAATACAGATTCATTCTATGCTATTGCTGAGTGTTACAGGTAGAGACATGGGTGTGGAGACAGAGCCTTCCCCCCACATTCAGGGTCATGTGAAAAGGTGAACATACTAACTTCCTCTCTAGATATATGTTTAGGATTGATTTACACATGTCTATATATAACTCTGTTCCCATTTCTTATTTGAGGAATCACAGCTGAATATCTGAATTTCCACTATTGAAAACGGTTGTCTTCGGGATGAAATCAGAAACATGGAAGTCTGTCCAGGGGTCTTTGATTTGTGCTGGTTGCTTCACACACATGCACAAGACATCATTGGATTGAGGGATGATGACCATGCGTGTGTAAACTCTCCCTTATTCAGCTGTCAGGCCTATTGGGCTCATGCTTCAGCTGTGAAGACAGGAACAGCATTATGACGAGATGTTCCTAGTAGTCACTTTGCAGCATCAGTAACCTGCCCAACTTTATGGTGCACTGCACACTATGCAAGTCTGTGACACATTAGAGTGTAGGTAGACAACCTGGTGTCTTCTGGGATTTTTTATCTTCAACCCCCATAATTCCCTTTCCACTAGCCATATTAGCTGAGTCTGCTCTGGTAGTTCAAAAAGTGTGAAGAGGTTACCTATCCTTGCATTAGTGATAATGACCAAGACATATGTGTATCAGCTTCATAGCTTTCCCATGGGAAATTTGCAGTGTAGGTATTTCCCCATTTGGGTTTATGACTGTTTTTTATAGTTGTGTGGCACATTCACTGGTTTATGGAACAGTTGTCAAATTGGAATTGTATTACCTTTCTATTATACAGTGACTTGAGTACAAAAGTGCATACAAGTTTTCAAAATACAGACATGATCAAGCTGAAGTGAACTTTGATTAATACCATGTGCTTCCATGGTTCGGATGAAATAGTTGGTGGATTTGCCTTACCTTGAGATCCAACCTCGGGGGAAAATGCAGTTACCCACTACTGAAACACAGTAAAGTTCCATTCCCTTTAAAAATGATGCAAGCTGAAAAGTTCCCAGTGTTGCTGAAAAATGTTTGAAGCTGGTTATAAAAGAGGGAAAACAGGTGTAAAAGTTCAGGTGTTCCTTTCTTCCTTCATTCTTAGGCTGGTCAAAATGGCAGAAGATCTGGTGGCAAAAAGTGAGGACACAGTGCTGTCCACAAACAAGGATGGTATTCCAGTGCCTCATGCAAGTCAGGTATTTGTTATTACAGGGCTGGGTAGACTTCAGGTTTTCAGGATATGCTTTGTTTTTTTACCAGGACCCTCCGACATCCACCAACTGGAGCTAGGAGAAAATAGTAACTAAATTATGGAACAGACATCTGTCTTTCCACTCCAGATTTTCCTTCAAATGTTGCTTTTCAGCAACCTAATCTGGGGGTGGGGGGAACTTGCTGGTATTGCTATAAGAATCACATGCCCGGAAGCTTTGTGAATGTACAAGTAGATCACACAGGCAGTAGAGCTTCCCTCTGCTTCCCTGCCCCATGCTATTAAGAACATTTTACTATATGGATGATTTAGGTTAAGAATGGAGATCTCCAGCCTGCAGGCCAAATATGAGCTGCATGTATGCAGGGGGGTGGGGTGTATGTGTCTCCAAATAGCCTGCCAATTTCTTCCTATGCCTGCTTCTCCCTAAGATTGGGAAATTTGTTAGCTGTAAACAGCTAATTGGAGATTTCTCTTTCTCCCTCCTTAGCAAGTTCTCCCTACTGGCTATGCTACATTTAGGCTTTTTAGAAGCCTTCATCAGAGAGGGAGTGCAATGGAGGAAGAAAAGGCTAACCTCCACTTGTTACACCTACTTCAAAAACTCTCCCATGCTGCATTCGGGCTTTAAATAACTCTACAATCCTGGTGTATTGCATGGGAGCAGGAGAAATGCAGTGTAAGGGGTGAGGAGGTAGCTACTTCTGAGGAGGGATGGGCTAACACAGAACTTCAAGCTGGGGCCAAATCCAGTTCTACCCAGGTCCAGCAGGTGGCTACATCCACCTTCTCTGGGCCCCGCCACTGTTTATGTAGCTTTCCTGGGTTTTGTGTAGTTTTCTTCCCATTCTAAAAGGTTAAAATAGATTAGGCTATTGGCCATATAGAAATGTAATCAATCACATATCTCTATAAAATCCATGTTATTGGCAGTAAGAGCTTTAAGCTCCAGTAATTTTAGCATTTCTGGCTCTTCTTTTGCTTTTGTCCCACCCGGCACCACTGGGCTTCAAGAGCATCTCTGAAATAAAGTTTGAGCCTTAGGATGAGAAGGGTGCAACACCCCAGGCTAATCCTTCTCTCCCCAGTGCTGTGACCTCTCTGCTCCTCACCCAGAAATCAGCCCTCTCTTGCTGCAATCAGGCTTTTAAAAAAAGTGGAATAGTTTTTTAATTAGTTACCTCTGCCCCCCCCCAAAAACCCCACTTATTGTAGTAGAGGGGGAAGCAATTTCAGGAGCAGGGAGTGTATGAATTTGTGATTGGTATGCCCACCTGACATGCTAGGAGCCCATTTGACCTTCTGAGTTTAAAAAAAAAAAAAAAAAAGATACCCCACCTCTGACATAGCAAGCATAGAAGAATTCAGCAAGACATCCATGTTTCAGATATATATTGGACTCATTCTCAGTCCCAGCCTCTTCTCACTGATGGCTAAACCGCACTTTACAGTATTCATGCTTTTGTAAAATGCAAAATGCAAAGCCATGTGACTTAATGCAGGTACCATGTACAGCAGTAGCCCCTGGTCCAAATAGTGTTTCCAGCAACTACAGTTCAACATAGTTCCTGAAGTGACTTCTTCCTGTATAGCCCTTTAACAGATCTTAGACTTGGTAGCACAGTTAATTTTCTCTGGCCCAATCTGCTGGCAGCTTGCAAATCACAGAACAGTCTCCTTCCAGGTCTCCTCAGGGGTGCCTTCTCCTTTTTTCTCCAAATCATCTTCTCTCATTTATAACTGCAGCTGTAACATAGGAGAGGTCTCTTTCGGCTCACAGTGCCATTCCCAGGATCCTTGGGACTTTGTTCTGCTTTTTTTGTTAGATTTGTCTGTCACCCATCCCAGAGAATTAATCCTTGGACAGCTCCTATCACATGACTAGACTTGTATAAAGGTCAGTTCAGCTCAGGCTCTTCTGCAGGCACTATCGGAAAGGAACTCTGCGACTAAGACAAGGCCTCAGGTAGGCTCAACAGACTGCAAGGTTTTGTCAATAGAATTGTGTAAGGAATAAGGGTTTTGGACAAAACTGAAGGGTAATCTGATGAAGTGACTGTACAGCCAGAGTTGCAGTCCTGTTATGGGCAAGGCAGATGAATTGCATTTCAGCATTATCAGGAGAAATGGGGGAGCAGCTGGTGTTTAGTAAATAGTCCAGCAGATTATTAGAAATTTGACAGCGTAGAAGAAGTAGGTTTGATGATAGTCTGTGCCAATTTTGAGGTAGAAAAGTTAAGAAAGTGTTTATTTTGACACAAGTTAAAGTTTGAAAGTGGCTCCAGGAGTTTGACTACTTTCCCTCCCCCTGGAGTTCTGTGCTTGGCCAAATTTGTTAGTACTGCATTTTTTGGAAAACTGTTTTTCTGTTAGGTGAAAAGTAGTTTTTATAAAAATTGTATGCTTGGGGCCAGGGGCCATTGCTGTCCAGCAACAGCTTTGGAATATGGGTCTCTGGGAGGAGAGACTTTATTTAGTAGCTGAATTCATACAGAGTGCTGTTTCTCAAACTGTGGACCAGGAAACATCTGTTGGCTTCAACCTATTTTCAGGTGAGCCTCAGTACTGTGGACCATGCACTGTTTCCAGCAAGAGGGAAGAATGAAATAAACTGGCAGTGCCAGCAGATGGATTGCACATTAAGAGTGAGAGCTGGAAGGAAGAAAAAAATGACAGAAAATATTTTGCAATGAATGTGCAGTAGGCAGTGGGGAGAGAAGAGCAACATTTTTCATAATCCTTTGCTTTAGAGCCTCTGGATCAGCAAGTTCTGCCTGAAATGGGGAGACTGAGTCATGGTACCTCTTGTACCAATACCAGTACTTAATTTGAGGAAACTCAGTTATAGAACTCTGTTGGTAGCATTCTGTGACTGCCTTTGTTGCTGCACTATACTTTAATGTCTAGTGGTCACTCTCCATTGCTTCAGGGAAGCCCTAAGAATAGAATGGTCAAAATACCCTGTTTTATACTGTGATCTAATAGTGCTAGAGTCAAGGGTTTAATATCAGAACAGATTAAAAGGTTTTTTTTTAGCTGAGTTTTTCCCCTATTTAAGTTTACTTCAGTTGTAAAAATAATTTAAAAGACATGCATTCAGATAAAAAACAACAAAGGATGCCTATTTTTACAGAGAATAGTTGGAATAAATGCAGAGATAACCCAGTGAATTATTAAAACAGGGTGGTTCATCAGAGCATGTGTAGAATGTCCAGCCATTACTACTGAGAATTCTTTTGAATTTTCCTCTCCTCCCAAAATGACCTTCTCAGCTGTCTTATCACTTTCCTCCATTAACTGTATCCGCTGTCCCAAGTTTGTTTTACTTTGTTATTTCATGTTGCCTTGGATGATAACAAATATGATGCATAAATACAAAGTAAAACAAAATATTCAATGACAGAGTGGTTCAAAAACAAGCAGAAGAGATTTGGAACTTTTTCAGATAAGTAGTGAATTCATTTTGGCTCTTCCATCAGAGTTTTTCCACACTGTTTTTTCCCCATTTAATAGACTTCCCACTTGATAGGCTTAGGGCAGATGCCTATACAACTTTTGAGGCAAAAAGCCCAACAATTCCAAGGTTGCTGAGAGTTGTAGGACTTTCTTTCTGTTTAAACATGTATGGGATTACACCTCTTTGCTATTTACAGTGCAGGCTATATGCAGTTTTGCCATGTTATTCTCTGACAGTATACCTGACAATGCTGTAGACCACACAACACTGCATATATTAAAAAGGCAAAAGAGTGCACTCATGCAATTGAATGAAATACTGTTAATAAACTTAGATACATTTATGCAAAGTTTTTGTGGGGAGGAGGGGACTGTGATCCCACTGGTGATTCCTAGATGATAGACATCAGAAACTGGGCCTTACCTGACAAACAGTTTCATGCAGGATGAACCTGTATGACGCCTGCAGAAATTCAGGTGTGGGTGCAAGAGACCTTCATAGCATCTCTCATTGCTTTGAGAGTCTTAATAAAATCTATTAATATGTTAATTTATATTCAGGACCCTCAAGAAGGAGCTTACTGCTAGGAACAGCTCCAAATCTCTGGGAAGCCATCTGGCCCATCACCCTCCTTACTGTGAGCAAATAAAGGGCCCTTGATTATCTATGTTGCATCTGATCCCCCTGGTTTTTTTTCACCTGTGTTCCTGCTGCCCCCTCCAAAACTTTATGCTTGAGGGTTTTTTACTGAAATAAAATGTTCTCCTCTCACCTTTTGATACATGGGGATGTCTTTAGGAGAAAGGATCTCCTGAAGTCAAACATGAACGTTAGAGCATAAGTAAATTAACACATGCAAATTTGTGCTCCCCCTCCACTTGTGCCCTGGCTTGGTTCCATTCCTAATGCACCCCCATTGACTTTAGTAGTACATGCTTTTAGTGAGTATGATTAGCGCTCCAGCTTTCAATTATTTGGTACTTCAGCAGAAGCCTACAGATTATTATTTTTGCTTCCTTTTAATTCATGAGGCCAGAATTTTGGACTCCAAAGCGACTGACGGCATTGTACTAACAGAAGAAACTGCTCTGCTGAACAGTGGTGGGCAACAGCCTGAGGAATCAATGGCTGAGTCAGAGACATTGGCGAAACTGCGGAAAATATGTGCTTGTCCCCCACAAGGCATACTTGCCAAAGCGGTAACATATGGTATGTAAAGAAAACAAATAGGGATACTTATTCAAAAGTGAAGAAAGGAAGCCACCCTCTTATCTTTGCTGCGTTGAATATGTATTCTATGGAATTTTCTGTTAATCTTTTCTTAATTTCCAAAGGTTCTGGTTAAGTAACGGGGAGGAAATGGACCTACACAAGTCGTGATCCACCAGACCTGTTGCTTTGGCCTTCTCAATGCTTAAGAGGCTTTTTCCCTTGAATAAGGCCCAGAAAATTATTTAGATACATACAAACAAAGAAATAACCTTCCTGATTTTGCAGACCAGACCAGGCTGCACACACAGAAAGGTATAGTGTATGGCAGCCTTCCTCAACCTGGTACCTCCACATGTGTTGGATGTCGTCTTCTACCATATGCAGGCAGACACGACTGGCTGAGCATGATGGGAGTTGTAATTGTGTCATTCCAGTGTATTTCTTCCACACCTGCTTATTAACTCTCTTATCAACTCTATTAGCAAGCTTGAATTACTCACAGGTTACTCTCTCAACCGCAGCAGAATTTTATATTCCACTGTTGCAAGAGATAAGTGGGTCATTACTCCAGAGTGATGGGATAATAATGATGTAAATAGGCCTGGTAAATAGAAAGATGTGGCATATGCACCAGTTCAAGGCCCATGATAGTATGAAGATACATAGGCTGCTTTGCTTCTTGGAACAAGCCAAACTTGCTAAAGCAAAGTATGTTTTGCCTCTAAAGCTTGCCTGAATGGGATTCTGGCCAAGAACCAGCAATGTCATTCTTAGTTCTTGAGAGATTAAAAAATAGTATAGTTGCAATTTTAAAAAAAGAAACATATTTAGAAGCATGAATCAAAGACTCACAAAAACTACTGATTTTCCCCCCACAAGTAAAAGAGCCTTTTAATATCTTTACTTTGTTGTGCATGTTTTTCCATTCATTGCCTTTTCCACATACCTAACATTGTTCTTTGAGTGTTTGCAAGTATATATTATATTCTAATTAAAAATCTACCCATTGATAAAAGTTCTCTAAGAGGATTACATACATCTGAAATAAAAGTATAATACAAAAATAATAAACAGAACAGGGAAAGCCATGTACAATGTATAAAAATAAAAATGACCATCAAATCTAAAATGACTGGGAGAAAAAGCTTTTTACCCAGTGCCAGAAAGATAACAGTGTGAGCGCCAGGCAAACATTCTTAAGTTATTACTCTGAGCATGAGTGTTCTCACCCAGAAGTAAGTGGCAGACATGATTATAGCAAGTTAACAGTGTTGGAGATGTGTTGAAATTAGGTCATATCCAGGAACTTGTGAATTCAGAGCATAGTCCTATGCATCTTTAGATAGAAAAAATGCTTCAGGCATTCTGCAGCCGACCATACTGGCTGGAGAATGCTGTTTTGTAGGAGTGTTTTCTGTCTGAACATGCATAGCATTTGTTAACCTCTCCCAACTCTGTATTATAAGCTTATAAAACCTCATATCCAGGGAGCAAATCTGACCCTCCAAGGATTCCAGTATGGCCTTCTTGAATTCTCCAGAAGGCCCCAGCCCTTTTCTCAACCATTCACAATTTGGTAATTTCCAGATTTTGCATCCCCCCACCCCCATTTGAAAGGTTTAAATGCATTTGCTTAAGGTTTAAAGGCTTAACTATTGGCAGTAAAAGCTTTAAGCTAAACTGTGCTGGTGCTGCAGGGCAGTGGGGTGAGTTAGCACCAGCCTCTTTTGTGGAATATGCACACACATTTGAACTTCTCCAAATGGCATTCAGCCTGTGGTCTTAAAGAGGTACTGGACTCTTGCCGTGTATGAGTTAGTAGCACTGCAGCAAGGCCAATGATTGGTCTCAAATGCTGCCTTCTTACTTGAAACCATAATTGAAGACCTGATGATGGATCAGCCACTGCCCAAGATCATTATAAATAAATATTTTAAACCCACAGCACTAATGGTGGCGTAATTCCCAGGATATGGACCTGCTTTTCTTACACCATGGTCACCAAAGGTTATCTCATAGAAACTGCATCACTTCACTGGCACCATGAGATACATTGCATTCCAGAGCATCCTGATATGCCATAATTGAAAGGGGTGTGTGTTTATCTGGTGGCCACATGGTAAACTGCAATTATTGTGGGGTGATTTACTGTCTTTACACATGAGGGCAAAGGTTGATTTATAAAGAGCTTCCTGGATTATGAAAATGCATGCCAAAAGACAGAAGCATTTGACAAAAGCCTTAAATAAAATAATCTATGGGAAAAGTTATAGTGGTGTCAAAAATACTGACATTGCAAGCACATTTGGTTTCTTCTAATACTCTAGTTATAGATTACCTTCCCCTGTGAAGTTTTTATGAATGTACTGACAAATGCTGAGAGAGATTCTGTGAAATGCTGAAGTCTACTGTGTCCCCTTTGTCTTCTTCCAGGGGTAGCAATAGTGCTGGTCTGGGCTGTGGTCTGGTCTATTACAGGCAATGAGAGTTTGCCTGGAGAAAACCTCTTTGGAATTTTGTTCCTGTTCTTCTTTGCTGTCATCGGTGGTAAAATTATGGGCCTAATTAAATTTCCTGGCCTGCCTTCACTCCCTCCCCTTCTTGGTAAGTATATTATCATCACATATTATAGCTTACAGTTGCATAGACTTGATTTGTGGGCACAACAGGGAAGCTCATCCACTATCAGATTATAACTTGCTGTTGTGAATTAGAGCTGCAAATTCAAAGGTTAGATTAATCAACTATAGTCATTGATTAAAGAGGAATATTTTTAATTAGTGAAGGCAAATTTGGATTACTGGTTTTACAAGTTGAGTCCTGGCTTGTTTGTGAGTTGCTGGATCTTTGTTTTGGTGAAGTGGTTTCTGGGGAATTTCTGTATGAGGTAATTAAAAATGTGATTAAACATGGCAATACTGTCTAAGGTGGAAATAAAAGTGGCACTTTTAGTTAAGTGAGATGGGCTCCTTAATTTTTTAATCTCTGTAGTATCTTAAGTACTGTACTGGTTGTAGAGTCTAAGGATGCAATGTAGACTAAGGGTGCAATCCAGTGCCTGGGGTTATAGGACTTTTTTGGATAAACATGCATAGCATTGAACCTGAACTTGGGTTATGGTTTTGCAAATGAGACACTGCGCTGTCCTATGTCCCACTTATAATGGCCCTGGGTAAACCCAAGACAAGCTAAAGAAAATCAATCACATTTAAGTTCCTTGAAATTGTACCTTAAATTACTTGCATCAGGGTCATTGTCTTCTTGCCTAAACTACTTCACTGGATTTTTGTGATGCTAAAATGGGTAACATTCCATTTGGTATCCTGAGTTCTGAGGAGAAAACTCCCCTACTTAGCATCATCCAGATGTGTTTAACTACAACTCCCATCATCCTATCAGGAGGCTGGGTGGTGATGGGTATTGTACTCGAACATATCTAGAGGGCACCAGATTAGAGAAGTCTGTATTCTAAAGGTGGAATCTGAATTTGAAGAAGGAAAATCAATTGGATTGAGGAGGAAAAGGGACTTCTCATTAAATGTTAAGGCTCAGCAGCTTGAACATTTAGCATTCTGGTGCATGATTAGTATCATCTTCTCCTTCTTACAATTTTGTTTCTGTGTGGGTAGAGGACATACCAGTAATGGAATCTTACTGGTTGAGAGTTTTCCAGATACTTTACCCACCTCTGATATAACATTGATCCAATGATTCTCTCTGTTTCCATTAGGGATGCTGCTTGTTGGATTTCTCATCCGAAATGTCCCAGTGATCAGCAACATAGTCCAGATCAATGAGAAATGGGGAGCTGCCCTGAGAAGTATTGCACTTGCTATTATCTTAATCCGTGCTGGCCTTGGTCTTGATGCAAAGGTGAAGTATCAAAGGGTCTTTGCTTTAAATGTAAATGGTGTGCTGGGGAACACTGCACTGGGGCCTAGTTGGCAATTATGTGGTAAAGCTGCCTGGTCTCCACTTCAGAACGTAGTGGAGAAGGGGATGACATGATTGAATGTTTCTCCAAACAAAAAATTACCACCATGTGATAAAAAGAGCATATTCTATTTAGAACCATGTTTTTGTCTATGAGTGGGGTAACTTTTTCAACTGAAGGCCAAATTGCAAAATTAGAAAGGCCTTCGGTGGAGGGTACAAATGTCACCTGTGGGCATGGCCAAAGGCAGGGGGCAAAGCAAGGCCAAGGTGATTATAACTATGTGATGCCTACTCAAAAGTAAGCAGGATGAATCTTCTGTATGGTGTACCCAGTAACCATTTGGACTAATTAGGGATGGGGAATCTCCAGCCCTCTAGGTCAGCTCATTCCCTCCGCCTGCAACAAAGTAAGAGGGTATTTAATGGAATTTAACCTTTATATGTCCTGCAAAGAATCAAGCCATTGCAGATTTTGAGTTGTGCATTCTGCAAGGCAGAAGAGTTGTTCCACAGAATTGAGGCATACATTTCACTGGCAGGAGACATTCTTACTCATGAGTTGACAATGTAGCACCTTAGTATCTATTATGCCATTTGAAAGTTCAGACCAATTTAAAGGAGACATCCTCAGTTCCACTGCCATTACTAACCCCCATGTTTGCTTGCTAATATTTTGATTACAGTTTCTTATCACAGCTTTCCCAAATAAAAAGAACTTTTGCTGATTGCAGGGAAATCCTTTATGCCTTAGATTCAGACACCTGCCTTCTGTATTACATTAAGAAAATTATGTATAGCACAGAAAATTTCAGTCTTTTCTTATGCATGACACTGAAAATTATTCTGCTTGGTTTGTCAATATGTTTACTCCCAGGCTCTGAAGAAATTAAAGGCTGTCTGCTTAAGATTAAGCTTGGGGCCCTGTCTTACTGAAGCATGTACAGCAGCTGTTGTGTCTCATTTTCTCATGCACCTGCCTTGGGAATGGGGATTTATGTTAGGGTAAGCTACTGTATTTTTCGCTCTATAAGACGCACCTGACCATAAGATGCACCTAGTTTTTAGAGAAGGAAAACAAGAAAAAAATATTCTGAATCAAATGGTTTACTAAACTATTTAATAAACTATAACAGAATACAGTAATTTCAACCTTGTAAAGTGAACAGCAGTCAAGAGTGGCATTAAGAACCATCATCACTGTCATTAACAAAAGAGAGACTTTAAAGTTCGAGTACTCTTCTAGTTTTCATTGAACCCATAGAATTCATCATCACTAGAGTCAGAATTTATGAAGCTCTGTTGCTCACAATCACTGACATCACTTTCTTAGTCAGTAGTGGAATTATTGAAGGAATCCACAATCTACACCAGTAATACAAGAGCTGCTGTAGACAATTCAATAACAAATCTAAAAAAGCCAGTAATGTCCACGCTGCCCTACTAGTAAGTAATTTTTTATTTTATTTTTTTATTTTTGATTTATATCCTGCCTTTTTCCTGCAAAGGGCTCAAGGCAGCTTACATCTCCTCCTCCATCTTATCCCCACAACAACAACCCTGTGAGGTGGGTTGGGCTGAGAGTCTGTGACTGGCCCAAAGTCACCCAGTTGGCTCCACGGCTGAGCGGGGACTAGAACCCAGATCGCCTGAGTCCCAGTCCCAGCTCTTCACCACTACACCACACAAAAAATGAGATATTGTACGGTAAATCAAACACACAGCGGACTAAGTAGCCTTTGAAGAATAAACTTCATACATGAAGGTAATGCTGTTCAAATATCCACTGATCCTAAAAAAAACGTGTCTGATCAACTAACAGATAACTGATCCATGGAAAGCTTCCTGATAATCATAGGCACATTCCCCATCACTTCCCCATGGGCTTCATTAAAAGACGGGTTGCCATTTGAAAACACACACCGACCTGTGATTAACAGCTCTCACCTGCGCCAGAGGGGGTGGGTGGAGCAGGGCGCGCTGAGCGCGTGCCGGCCAGGTGGTGCCACGTGGGGCCGGCAGCATGCCGACGGTGGTCTTCCGGGCAGCGCGGTAGCGGCAGGTCTTCCCGGGCAGTGAGAAGAGCAGTCCATCTCTCCGTGTGGCTGGTGGGTTAAAGCCCGCGGCTCCTCATCCTCCGCACCTCTCCCCCTGAGTGGCACAGCTCTCACCTGCGCCGGGGGAGGGACAGAGCAGCGCGCGCCGAGTTCATGCCAGCCAGGTGGTGCCATGTGGTGCAGGCGGGCCGGCAACGTCCTGGGCGTCGGGCACACACACATTCGCTCTATAAGACGCACAGACATTTCCCCTTACTTTTGAGGGGGGAAAAAGTGCGTCTTGTAGAGCGAAAAATATGGTACTTTTTCCAGTATTTCTTCAGCAGAAGCTGCTTCCACTTTAATGAAAGCATTGACTCAAAGTACATGCCACACAAACATTATATTTCTGCACTGTAGAATAGTACATAGAAGTTCTGCTCCTTAATGATACTTGCATCCCAGCCTTAGAACACAAGCAGCAAAACCCTGAACCCTCACTTGTTAAAACCATTTAGCTGTGTATACAGAATAACAGTATTCGTGAGTAATGATAGTTCAGTCAATTCATAATCAAAAAACCCCAACCCACAACTAGATTGACTGAAAAGGTAACCCCACTTACTCTGTCAATGGATTTAAAAATACATAATTTTTAATACCTGTACTTTTAGGAAGGGAAACAGAAATTGGAAAGTATGACTTAAAGGAGGCATTTTCCCCTGTGTAAGAGAGAGGCATCCTCTACTTGTATGCATTCTTAGTTTAGCTTAAGTTCCTTTAATTTTAAGGAGTCTACTCTAAGGAGGGCCAACTTTGGATATAGCAAGTTGACCTGGAAACTGGAATTAATTTGATTTTCTTGCCTAACTTAGAAGTTGACCTACCGTTGTAGGGTAGGTCAAGAACACTAATTCAGCTGTTAAGGAGATTAAAAGAAAATCTGAAAAGGGGGCCTCTCTTGAAGAACTCCCTAATTTGAAGTTTAATGAAAATAATATTTTAATTCTGAGAGCCAGTGTAGTGTAGTGGTCAAGTGCATGGAACTGGGACTCAGGTGATCTGGGCTCTAGTCACTGCTCAACCATGCAGCCAACCAGGTGACTTTGTGGCAGCCAAAAACTCTCAGCCCAACCTACCTCACAGAGTTGTTATTGTAGGGATAAACTTGTGAACAGGAGGAGGAGTATCATGTTTACCACTTTGAGTTCTTTGTAAGAAAAAGGTGGGATATAAATCTGTTGAATGAATGAATGAATGAATGAATGAATGAATGGAGTGGGTGGAATGTCTAAAGTCCCCAGCCCCTCCATTATTTGCCTTTTACTGCGATTTAGTTTAAATAAGAAATTATGCAGTTGTAACTTGCATTCATATTGCAAGGACATTGGTTTGGCCTGGAGAAGATTCATCAAAATCAAAAGCGAGAGAGCCTTGATTGTAGAGTTCTTTAAGCAGAACACCATTCCAGCAACAAGTCATTCCTGCCTACTTCTCATCATTGCAACCCTGTATGCAGTAGCAGAGTGTCAGAACTGGAAGTGGAAGTGCTTATCATGACAGTCCCTGTAGCCATGCTCCCAAGGAAAGTCCAAGCCTTCAGGCAGCTGTTGAGATTTCATACCTAGTAATTCTAGTAATGTTCATCTCCCTCAGAAACAAGCCTTCTGGAAAAATGAATGTGTCTGAATTGCCTGTTCAGGATTAAGCCATCCCAAAATACCCTACAACAGGAATAGATCACTATATTGCTGCATGCACCGTCCATTTCCACATCCACCTACTTTGGGCATGGTGGCTAAGGGAAGGTGAGAGTGAGAGAGTAAGTGACATTATCATCCCTGCTATAGAGTCCCAGCATTTTGATCCTGCAGGCCTTGGCTCCGGAACACCATTGTGCCATATCTCCCAGAAAGCCTTCTGAGGATAAGGGACTTCCCAGAAGGGTGGAGGATATAATGCAGGGGGCTGCAACATAAAGCAGAATTGACAAAAATTGGGTGGTGGCACCTTGCACAAGCAGATTCCACTCAGCAGCTCAGTAGAACCATATTCTGTATCTAGAAGGTCCCTGGTTCAGTCTCTGACATCTCTAAGTAGGGCTGAAACAATTCCTGCCTTAAACCCTGGAGGAAAAAGAAAGATTTTTAAATCATTTATTTACACATTTATAGAAACTTAACTGATTAATCAATTAAAACATATTATTAATCAACTTAAAATACAGTCATTTTTATCAAGGAAAAGAATACTACTAACCATATGCATCTTTTACCTCTGGATAATATTTCCTTAATACCTTGCATAAAACTGTTAATGGAAGTATGTCAGCCACAACACAACTGATATGACTTCTTTGCTTTCATTTCATTATGCTTTCAAAAAAACAGATGCAAGACTTATCTTAGATATAGCGGATAGAATTCTTACTTATAAGTAAATCCTAAACATATTCTGAAGGAAGGCACATGGGGCCTTCCTATTCACCTATTTTGTGATAAGCAGTAATAATGATTAAACAGAGGAAAGCAATTAACTCCTATTGATGTAGCTGGAATATTTTTTTTTTATCCTTTGGTCAATATGGAGAATGCTTGGAATGTTGTGTAACAGCTTGTTTGGTAAATGGCACGTCTGAGAATTGAATTGAAATTCAAGTGTTAGACTTCCTCTGCTTCCCCAGCAGGGAAAAGCTTATCTCAGTTTGATTTTCTGTGGAAGGTTGTTGCTGGAAATTTACTGGTGTCTTGTAATATTTGAGTTTATTTACAAATATACAGGTTGGGCATGGGTGGAGGCACATAGCCTAAACACTCCAACAGTAAATACATACCCTTTGCTTAAGGGGCAGCTATTCCTGAAAAAATAGGTTTCCCAGAGGAGTCCTTTCCCCTTTTCTCTGTAGTCCTATTTAGGCATGTAGATGTCTAAACAGGAATGTATGGGCTGGCTCCATAGGATAACATGATTACAATGTATACTTTCCAGTTCAATTTGGGAAGAGCCAGCAGAGATAGTAAGCACTTCACATATCACATTTAGACCTGGGAACCTGAATAGGGCTTGTGCCTTACTCCAAAACTGCAGTCTACCTATTTTCATGGATAGACAAATACACACATGCACACACTCCATTAACTGGGAGTAGTGAAGGGATTCCTGTGCTTCATTCAAAAGTCTCAAGGTTTAGTGATTCAGAGTATTCAGAGAGCAAAGGTATGGGCAGGCTGACTTGAAGCAGCCCATCTGGCTCTATTAACCCTTTCCTGTCCACATGCCCGGATCTCTCAGCACTAGGACAACATAATTCCTCACTCCTCTTTTCATGAGTTAGAGAGCATTCTATGACTACAGATGGACATACATAAGGCTTGGTATTGCATGTTCAGGTTTGTTCTAGGTGCTGTGTCTCCTGCTGTTGTGGTTCCTTCAATGCTGATTTTACAAGCAGGAGGATATGGCGTTGACAAGGGTATCCCGACCTTGCTAATGGCTGCCGGAAGTTTTGATGACATCTTGGCCATCACAGGTTTCAATACCTGCTTAGGAATGGCCTTTTCTACAGGTAACTGTGGCTGCTTCATAGAACTGATAAGCTACAAAAACTGCATTCTTTCTTGTTGATGTGCTAGCTTACCACATGTATGTCAAATATGATATGGGTATTTTCAATTTTAAAAAGAGATCTTTCCTCACTTGCAATCTGATGTATAAATTCAGTCTTTGCTTATAATACATTGACCTGGTTTGCACATAATTATTTCATTTATACATGCTATAAAAGGTTGATGCATGTGTTGACATGTGTGAGCTCAGTGTTGACATCATGTGTGAGGTTAACTATGGATTGTTAACTATGAACAATCCACAAAGAGGACCTATGGGCTCACTGCATTATTTAATCCATACTGTGCTGCAGTATATGCCAAGTGCCATTTTAAGGATTTAGCCTCAATGAGGTTTATATATTTTAGTTAATTTGTATACCACCCAACAGCAGAAGCTCTCTGGGTGGTTGCACCATGTTATGTAAATTTATTTATTTATTATTTAGAAAATTTCTATGCCGCCCCATTTGCCGAAGCCTCGGGGCGGCTCACAAAGATATCAATTAAAATATAGTACAATAAAATATAAAACAAGTTAACAATATAAAATAAATTTAGCTACTAGGAGCTGTTTGAGGATTAAATATGGATACTCCATAACCTCACACAGCTCTCAATTTATTCTAGGCTTATGTGAGGGTTGTTTACCCTGATGGCCAGATTTGCATAATATGGTGCAGTCCCACAGGAGGTTGTATATTTAAAATGGAGACTAGTATGTAGTAGAGCTTAGTGTGAATTAGATAATCCATAGTGAGTGCAGCATGTCACATGACCCATGCCATGAAAGTTAGGAACTCTTGAGTTATTTAATTCATGGGTTACTGCTATGTGCAAACCCAAAACTGTGGGTTGTTCATGAATTGCTGCATCAGGCTACACACATAACAAGTCAGTACAGTGTTGCCATAATCATTAATGGCACTGGGGATACAGGAAAGGAGGACACAAAGGGGGCTGGAACCAGACAATCTAGGAATTGACCAACAATTTGCTTGATCAACTAGCAGCCAAATTGTGAGTTAACTCAGGATAAGGCAAGAACTCATGGATTACTTGAACCTGTGGTTAGGTTTGTTGAATTCTGGGTTGTTCTGATATGTGAATGCAGCCAACAAACCTTAACTTGTTATTCACAAACAACCATACCATGAGTTTTTATCATAGATTGTCATTGACCTCAAGCTGGTGAAAGAGGAAAACAGTCAACTTAGGGAATGAAAAAAGAAACCATATTTTGTTATATCAGACATACCCTGGGCAGGAGAAGAAAGTAGAGGTTAGGATTATGCATGAATCGAGTCCAGTGAGGTTTATAGCTGAATTAATTGGTGGGAAGCTGATCTTGTTTTTCTATTTGGAGGGCACTAGCTTGGGGAAAGTTGCCATAAGGACTTAAGTTAGGAAGCTTTTTGATTCAACCATATTTCATTGCCTTGCCTTTTGCTTAATGTTAAGAAAGATTTTCAATCAATCTTTTTTCTGGCAGTCAAACCTATGTTTATGAAGTGCTATCAAAGAGATCACCCAAAAATCCTTTTGAATCCTGCCTGTTCTGCTACTTTTCCTAAACAGGTTCCACCCTTAACAATATCCTCCATGGTATCCTGGAAGTTGCAGTTGGTATAGCAACTGGTGGCCTTTTAGGAATTTTTATTCGCTACTTCCCAAGCAAGGATCAGGTAAAGAAGAAAATATTATTGAAAACTATCACTCTTACATCTCTTACAAGCATGAGAAGCAAAGGATGCTTTAAATGATCTTGCTCAAAGTAATAAAGTGTCCTCTTCTTTTTTAGCTTAGTAAATACTTTAGATTCCTAGCACCTGTGAATGCAAATTCACATTTTATTCTTTTCAAACTTTCTTCTCATCTACAGTATGACAGCTATGTGTAACTCTGATACCTTCCATTTTTCTCTCTTGATCCTAGGCATCACTTGTGTGGAAGAGAACATTTTATTTGATGGCTTTGTCTATATTTGCAATTTTTGGCAGTACATATCTTGGCTTCCCTGGAACTGGAGGGCTCTGTACAATTGTCTTGGCATTTCTGGCTGGAATGGCATGGTCTATTGAGAAAGTGAGTGTTCAAGTGTCACGGAATCACTTTGATCACAAATAAGCAGATTTGCCAATCTGGGTGAAGGACAAAATGTTACAGTATGGATTACTTCTGTGGAGAGGTCTAGCCACTCCATTTCCCTCCCACAGTACTTCTCAATTCCTCACAAACTAAGTATGCTTCAGTCAGGCTTTTGGAGGGGTTATGTTGTTTTCCTTGGACATTTTTTATACTTTCTATTCCATCATGTCTCCTGATACATCGCTCATGTGTGTCTGGTGCAGCTTTTGCTACATAGGCAATGACACAGCATGGTTGGAGACAGAGGGAACTATGCCAACAATATTGCTTTACAGTAGCTGCTTATTCTTAGCTTAGGCTTACAAACAGTTGTTTTGAATTACAAGACAGATGAACTTCTGTACCTACACTGTGATACTTAAGAGACCACTGAACTGCTTGGATGATGTATCTTTTCATGCAGATGGAAATCCACATCCATATTGGATACTGCTATTTGTTGCGAATAGCTAACTAGATCAGGAACTGTTGTTTAGTGACTAGAAACTAGAAGTAGCAAAAATAGACAAAAAGCTGTAGGTCTGGCAGCATTTTTATTATGATGTAATAATTTCTAATTTCTAAGTTATTGAAGTAAGCTCATCTGGCCATGATGCCATCCTTACAAATAAGCTTCCTTAGTTCAGAGCAAGAGTCAGTGCCTTGACTGGATCAAATCATTTTTTAAAATTCATGTTTTCTGTTATGGAAGATACTAGTTTTACATGTGCCACATTCCTGTAGTACTAGTGGACAAAAGTTCCTGTAATACTACACATTTTTACTCCTTTTTCCTGCAGAAGGAGGTAGAAAAAAATATTGCGGTTGCCTGGGATATTTTTCAACCCTTTCTCTTTGGCTTAATTGGAGCTGAAATATCCATTGGGTCTCTCAAACCTGAAACAGTTGGTAAGTCTTGTAGGAGGACATATAAGAACATAAGAAGAGCTATGCTGAGTCAGACCAAGAGTTCCTCTAGTTCAGCATTCTGTTTGCACTTTGGCCAACCAGCTAAACAGGGAAACCAGAAGCAGAACATGGGTGCAACACCATCCTCCCACCCATATTTCCCAGCAACTGGTGTGCATAGGTGTACTGCCTCTGACACTGGCTATAGGGAGCATATAGTCATCAGGAATAGCAGCTGATGTATAAGCTTCTGTTATATGAATTGATCCAATCCAGTCTTTAAAGCCATCCAAATTTCTGGTCATTATATCTTCAGCAAGTAAATTCTCTATTATGCAGAATGTGTAACTTGTGGCTTTTTTGTTATTAATAATAAGCTAAAAATGTATTGGGCTTTTTTCCTGAGAGGTATAATATGCTTGATCTTTGTCCATAACTTACCAGGAAGGATGGACAGAATACCTGCATCCAGGAGGCTGAAAAAGCCTCTTTGAGAGAGGGAGTGGTTTCAGTCTCTTTCGAAGTAGCTGTGATTAAACCTCTCCTGAAATAATCCAGTCTGGACCCAGAGAATGCTAACACTATAAACCAGTGGCCAATATTCCCTTACTGGGCAAGGTATTTGAGCAGGTGATGGCTGAACAACTCCAAGCACTCTTGGAGGAAATAGACCGTCTTGCTCCATTTCATTTGGGCTTCAGACCTGTTTTCCAAACAGAATCTGCCTTGGTTGTCTTGTGGGATGACCTTTGCCAGGAGAAAGATGGGGAGTGCAACCCTTTTGGTTATTCTGGACCTCTCAGCAGCGTTTGATATGTTTGATCATGTTATCCTTCTGGATAGGCTAGAGGAGTTGGAGGCACTGCTTTGCAGTGGTTCTGCTCCTACTTGACTGGCCAATTTCTGAAGGTGTCACTGGGGATTATTGCTCCACACCATGGCAGTTATGTCATGGGATACCACAGAGCTATATTTTATCCCCCATGCTATTCAACATCTACATTAATCAGCTGGGGGAAGTTATCCAGAGGTATGGGCTGAAATCTCGCCAATATGCTGATGACACTCAGGCCTACCTCTCCTTTTCATGGTGAGGCAATTGCCATTATGAATTGATGTGCGGATTCAGTATTGAATTGGATAAGGGCCAATAAACTGGGATTTAATTCAGATAAGATGGAGATGATGTGGAGGAGGGGTCATCTGTCCAGTGGGATGCAATTCAACCTGTTCTGGATGGGGTTGCAGTCCCCTTAAAGGACAGGGTTCGCAGTTCGGGGGGTCCTGAACTGTCACGAAAGTCTCAGTGTCAACTCAGTGGCATGGAGCACCATAGGCTGATTTACCAACTTAAACCCTATCTAGACAGGCAGAACTTAGTAAGTGATCCATGCTCTGGTAACCTCTCACTTGGATTATTGTAATGCACTCAGTGTGGGGTTGCCTTTGAAAACAGTCTGGAAGCTTCATTTGGTTTAAAGTAAGACAGCGAGGCTGCTGACAGGGACTGGAAGATAAGAACATAATATACCAGTTCTCCCCCAACTTCACTGGTTACCAGTTGAAGTCCAGGCCCAATTCAAAGTGCCAATATTAATATTTAAATCCCTAAATGGCTTGGGGCCAGGATATCTAAATGCCTCCTCCCACATGTGCCTACCTGGACCCTGAGATCATCATCAGAGGTCCTTCTCAGAGAGCCTCCTTTTAAGGAAATAAAGAGAGCGGCACCTAGGGGAAGGGCCTTTTCAGTTGTGGCACCCCAATTGTGGAATTAGCTTCCTAAAGAGGTGCCCTGGCGCCTACTCTCTATTCCTTTTGGCACCAGGCAAAGACCTTTTTATTTACCTAACCTTTTAATAGTTAAATAGTTTTAATTCTTTTAAAACACATTTTAACTCTGTTTATGTTGTATTTCTTGTTTTGCTGCTATACCTTTGGACTAACTTGAATGTGGTTGTTGTAGGCCTGCTGTTGTTTTTATATTCAATTTTAATGTAACTGATTTTGTTATTTGGTATTTTATTGTGTTTGTGTTATTTTTTTTTACTCTGTGAACCACCCAGAAATACATTTTGGGTTTGTTTATTCATTTATTTTAAAGTTTTTATATGCTGTCCAATACTAAAATCTCTGGACAGCTTACAAAAAACAAAACAACCATATACAACAAACAACACAAAGCAAACAATACCCAGACATTTATGGGCAGTATAGAAATAAAATAAATAAGCAAGCTTTTTTTTCTGTAGGGCTTTGTGTGGCCATACTGGCTGTTGGACTGACTGCCCGAATTGCAGCCACCTTTCTGATGGTGTGTTTTGCTGGCTTTGAGCTTAAGGAAAAAATATTTATTTCAATGGCATGGATTCCCAAAGCAACTGTCCAGGTAAAGTATGCCTTTATAGCAGACATATATATTCTGCAAATAAGAAATTAACTGTTCAACACAGTATACTATTATAGATAAGAACACCAGGATAGGAAGACACTAAACTAGGAAGTAAAAGGCATTTGCCTGCTTAACAATGATCACTGTTGTTTCTGTCTCCTGCCAGGCTGCAATTGGTTCTGTTGCTTTAGATACAGCACGAAATGTAGGCAATAAAAAGTTAGAAAAATATGGCATGGATGTCTTGACCATTGCTTTCCTGGCAATCCTGATTACAGCTCCGATTGGAGCTCTGATAATTGGCCTGGCGGGACCCCAACTTCTTCACAAAGCTACTGAGACAAACACTGAGCAAGATCATGAACACAGAGAAAATGGAGAAATGGAAATACATGGACCAGTGTAGAAAAGAGGCAGGGACTGCACCTTGACTTACACAGGTGGTATTTTAGCCTGTTTACAAACCATAGCACTTAGAAGTGACCAGCAAAAATCTGAAGATCTGTGGAATACAAATAACTGTGGACAAATATGATTGAATTAATCAGTATCCAAGATTACCTTCAGCAGTGGCATGAGAATTCTGAAAAACTGGTCACAAGCAAAATGGGAATTTGGATATAACTATTGGAATATAGTGAGTGACCTGAGTTTGGAGATACAAATGTCATCCAGCAACAGGTATTTGAGGAATCTTAGAGCAAAAGGATATGCAGGATCAGGACTGGGAACATGTAACCAGGGATGAGATCATGGATTTCTAAACAGTTGATAGCCCAGCTCTGATCACTGGTTTTCACTGTATAAATGCAGCATACTCTGATGAAGAATGTACATATCTTTGGCACAATATGGTAGCATTTTAGGAGACTGATGTTTCTGTTCCCTTCTTTAATGTTAAAAAAAAATTTTTACACACACACACACACACACACACACACACACACACCTACTGCCTGATGAACCATAGGTACCATTTTTCTTAGTCACTGTGAAATGTGGGTATACTGATATGATCCAACTCATGGCAATAGCATGTATCTGGCCAAAATATAGAAGGATGTTAATATTACATTTAAAATTGAGAACATAGCAACAGTTAAGAAATTTAAAAGTTACATGACAGCAAAGGAACAGGGAAATCTGTCTTATACTGACTCAGACCAGAATTGCTGACATGAATTGGAAAAAATTCAGTATGGTTTTAGGCAGGATTCTTCCCTAGCTCTACCTGGAATTGCCAAGAATTGAACCAAAGATCCTTTGCACTCATTTTAGAACCAAGCTACAGCGCCTCAAAGAATTGAATGACAGTAAATATGATAATCATATGATTAAATTCCAAAATAAATGGAGTTTTTTTAAATACTACATTGTATTTTGCAGACCATACACTGTTCATAAGGAAAATACTTTAGATTCACATACGTTTTATTATATTTCTTATATATTATTTGTATATGTATTATTCGATATGACAAAATGTAAATAAAAACAAATTTTGCTACTCTGACAAAGCCTGAACCATATCAATTTCAGCATTTCCACTTCCAAGACAAAATGGCCACGAGAGGCTTGTGTGGCAATTCAATGTCTATGAAATTGTAGCAGTGCTTGTCTATACTGGATATGTTTGCATGTCACATTAACCCACCTGGGCAATAACCGAGCAACCAGCAGTGCTCCCAAAGGATGATTGGCCTCACTGTGGATTGTCTACCCCTTCCCTCCATGGGTATCCCTGGAGACTCCACTGCAGGACCAACTGAGGTATTTCCCTCGCCGCCACCACGATGAGGGGAGTACCACTTAGACCCCCTTTTCCCTTGGGAGATCACAATCTCCAGAATGACACTCAGGTTTTACAATCTCTGTTCCTACAGGCAGTGACAGCCCCTTTAAAATGTCTGAGTGGCACCTTTGAGATCCTATTCATGGTTAGCAGACTATTTTATAAAGGAAAACATACTGCACCCACAATGTGTGAAAATATTTTAGTAATTATTTAAAAACTATATGGTTTAGGCAGGCTTGCACTGTCCAGATGGCTGCATATGTCCCATGCAAGACATGCCAATGCTGAGTTGTGTCAGGTGAACCAGGTCATTGCCATAGAGATGTTTGAACCTGGGATCTATTATGTTAGGCCTATTCCTCTTAAACCGGGGTCTAAAATATTTCCAGCAGTGGTGCTAGGGACTGAAAAGCGCAGGGTCTCAGCGAGACAAAAGGAAAAAAAGAGTGCACAGTTGGTATATGCTAGTATACATACAAAGTCTGTGTATGTCTCGTCTCCCAAGGACATCGCTTATTGAAGGGATGCATGAACTAGAGAAAGGCATTTGGCTTCAAGGGAAAAAACCCTCGGGCAGGAAGATTCAAGGAGGGGGCAGCACGAGGGGAAGCGGCAGCAGGGATCCTCGAGGCCCTGCGCAGGCAGTGGCCGCCCATACTTTCGGGCTTTACATGGAAGTCTGCGGGCTCGGCCGCTAACACTGCCTCTAGATGTCTGAAGTCGATACAATTGACATTGATCTTGGAGTGCGGGGGGAAAACGAAAACTAGGCCGCGCTACCTGCTCCTTGTTCCGCCACGAAGCGGAGACGACACGGAAGCCCTCACAGCGTCGACGCCCGTGTTGCCGTTTAGCCGTCGTGCTCGTCGCCCCCTGCGGCCTGCCGTTCCCGCTCATCACAGGCCGGTTGAAAGGAGGGACCGTTATTCCCACCAGCGCGGCCTCGGGCTACAGAAAGGAGCCGGAGCAGGATGGGCGCCTCTGAGGCGCGCTGGTGATCCATGGCTGAGGCGAAACTGCCCGATGGGAAGGGCTTTCCGTGACCGAGCGACAGCCGCACGCGGAAGGGCCGCCAGCCCGGGGTATAGAGCGGGCATTGCTCACCCAACGAGCCCCGTCCTCTGCCGGTAGTCGGCCTCCCCTGCAGGCTGCTGGTGTTAGGTAGGGCTTCTTTTCTGCCTCGAACGGGAAAGCTTTTTACAGCCAGTTCCTTTTTACCCCCGATTTATATCCTGCCTTTTTCTTACAAAGGGCTCAAGGCAGCTTACATCATTCTCCTCCTCCATCTTATCCGCACAACAGCAATCCTGTGAGGTAGGTTGGGCTGAGAGTCTGTGACTGGCCCAAAGTCACCTAGTTGGCTCCATGGCTGGAATTCAATTCAGATGTTGGACTGCAACTTCCACCATCCATTACCATTGGCCATGCTGGCTGCGGTTGCTGGGAACTTAGTTTGAGTAATTTCACTTACAACCAGGAACATGAACATTGCTGTGCAGCTTACCTATTACAGCAGTGAATGAACTCTTGCACAAACCATGGTGAAAATCTTTGCAGAACACATGGGCAATTATTTCTCCTCCATTTATGGTATCACAAGTTTATCAAACTGTGCTTTAGAAAGTGCAAGTCTGTTTAGCAAAGGTGGACATTTAAAAATGATTAATGCCAAGAATTTCTGTCATAATGCTCGTGGAAAGGATTTAAAGCAGGCAGAATATATGGCACCTGAACCTTTGTTTATTAGAAAATGCATTCTTTTAAATCTTAGATTGGACAGCATGTCAAAGAATATAGTGGCAGACAGCAAGGATATAACTTCATCTGCAAATATGAGAAATAAGGTTAATCCCAACCATCAGACAACTCAGGTATTTGTCATTAAGATATTTTTATAACTATATTAACAGGTTAGGTATTTAAATGGAAACAGGTATAGGATGCCTAGGGATTAAGTCCCTTTGAACTACGAAGGACTGTTGCTGTAAAAGGATAATCAACCACAATGATCCCTTCTTGTTTTCCTCCTTATAAGCACAACAGATAAAATGAGAAAAATGTGATGAGCTTCAATTAAGATTTTTAATTGCAAAATTATGGCATTGATTAAAAATAAATCAAAACATTTCCTGCTTTTTCTGCTATTATGAGTACTAGAAATTCCTTTTTGTTGTGCTTGATGAATGTAGCTGTGGTATTTCATGGATACAACTGCAAGATGCCTTGAATCATTGTAAAATTCCATTACTGGTGGAGCTCATTGGCTTGGATCTAGAGTTAGTTATGATTAGATTAGACCCACTGAAATCAACAGAGCAAGTTAATAATAACTTAACATACCATCAACTTCAGTAATTATACTCCAGGTATAATTAATCTGAGTCCAACCTATTATCATTCATATATATTCATTCATATATAATCATTTACACACTTTTAAATGTAAAAAATAACTGTTCCAAAACAAATATTTGCTCTCTCATTGAAAGATTTCAGGGATGCAGCACTTAGTTGGACTTGGCTTCCTTTGGAAAGAATTGCTGAAAGATTTTGACATTCTGCAATATTTGAAGTCATTTACAAATCTGCAGGTTGAGCAAAGGTAGAAGCACAACTTAAAACAGGGATTCCCATCATGTTGGCTCCAAGGGCTTCATTATATGTCTCTTGTGGGCAGTGGGGGCAGAGGATGCACATGGGTACAAAAGAACAGACACAAATGCACAAACACTAATTCACACACTTTGTCACTCCCATGCACACATACACTCATTCACATTCCCTCACATGCATACCGACTAACTGGACAGCTGCAGTTATTAGACTAGACAGCTGCATTATTAAGGCTAGTGAGGAATACTGTTCTTTTAATCCCAATTTATTAGGAGAAATTAGGGATAAGGGAAGGGATTTCTTTCTTAGTGTTACTACCAGCAAGGGCAAACCCAGGCTTTTCCTAACAAGGGTTTACATGCAGTGCTTGAAGATAAGGGGAAGATTACCTTGCAAACTCTTGCTGTGGTAAGGGTAATCTTAGGCTTTGCCTTGCTAGTGTTAGCACTAATAAGCGAAACTTTGGGCAGGATCTGCTTGAAGCAGCAAAGGCCCACCTGCAGCCCAGAGGTGGTGCACTCTTGGCTTAAACATTGCAACAGATAATGAAATCTACTGCTCAGATCTCCACAGAGAGGAACCCCTGTGCTGTTAGCTTCATGGTTGTTGTTGATATTCTTTCAAGTTGTCCCTGACTTATGGTGACACTGTGTATGAAGGCCCTCCAAAATATCCTGTCCTTGACAGCCCTACTCAACTCTTGTGAAAAGCAAGTGACTTCTTTTATGGAATTGATCCATCTCACATTTGGCTGTCTTCTCCCTTCAACATTCCCTAGCAGTATTTTCTGGTGAGCCTTGCCTTCTCAGGATGTGCTCAAAGCACAATAACTTCAGTTTGTCATTTTCCCTTCCAGAGAAAGTTCTGGCTTGATTTGATTTAGGATCTGTCAGTCCAGGGTATTTGCAAAGCTCTCCTCTAGCACCAGGTTTCTAGAGTTCTCCAAAAACAGCAATCTGTCTCTTTTGTTCCTTTTACAGTCAGACCTTACATCATCCTTAACTGGGTGGGGAAAGGTCTGCCTCTGCCCCATTTAAAAGATCTAAGGAAGATCCATTTATCAAGGTTAATCAGGCAGCAATCTTCCTAACAAAAGATGTACTTGGAAATTAGCCATCAACTATTACGGAAATTTTAGCAGTCGTAAACAAGTTGCTGTTGTTCAGAATGTTTCTTTTTAATTCTGAAGGACAATATTTTGGATTCTGAAGCTGTTCATGATCATTCAGAAAGAGAAATAACCCAGATGAACCATGATGGACAGGAGTCTGAGGCAAAGTCACCAGGAAAACTCAGGCAAATATGTGCTTGTCCTCCTGAAGGCATTATTGCCACAATAGTGACAAATGGTATGTAAAGCAAAGACCAAAGTCAGGAAAACTAAGGCAGAAGTGAAAATGGTCAGCTTTGGCTTTCTAAGGACTATGAATAGTCATTTTGTGTGCAGTCCAGTGCAGCCCACATCAGATGCACATTAGACTCCAAACTTCAGGGCTTACATGCATCCAGTGAATGGTCTGGTATTTTATCTGGATGACCATTTTTAGCTATCTGGAGTAACCACAGGGGAAGGGGAGGAAAGGAGCCTGGGATACCCAAAAGTTGCTGGCCCCAGACTCTCCCCTCCCCTCCCCTCCCCTCCCCTCCGGATGACCCCTTTCCTCCTTTTTGAAGCTCAGTTGCTTCTTCAAGGAGGCAACCAGTGTGGTTCTCACTTCGCTGGGGTACAGGTTTGGCCTTGGAGTCCCAACTCTGAAGTTTCAGGGCTCCAAATGAATTTATGGGTCCCCCCAGAAGTGTTCAGGGCATAGGATTTCACCCTTTATCTGTTTTAATGTTTCAGGATTAAATTGTTTAAATAGAAAAAATATCCTAATATGATATTTAAATCTGATCAGCTTAAACAGATGTGAATGCTTGCCTAGTTTTATTTTTAAAAGGGTGTTGAATCAATTTTGGAAGGTCCTTGGGGAAGAATTTGAATATCTTGTCTTTGATATTACACAATCTTCCAGTACAGCTGTAATACCTCATTTGTATGTGTTTGTAAAGGATGAGAGTGGAGATATTGTAAAATATCCTAATGCCCCATATGAAAATATCGCAAGAGGTGGAATGCCATAGCAGAATATGTGTTTTTGCTTGCACAAATCCCTCATTTCCTTCTGGGGCTAATAACAGATGCATGGAGCAATTTTGGTCAGAATTGTGGCAGGAAAGGAAAATCTTTCTCCCTATAGGCTATGGCTCTGAAGAAAATCTACGCCATTACACCTGCTATTAGCACTTTAAAGGCAACAACATATGCAGTGAAACATTTAGCATCGGGGCCTAACTACATGTGTCACTAAATACATTGCTACCAATGACATCAGTTGTTTTTTGTTTATGTAAGTCCAAGGTGATTTTTATCGAGACTATGGTGGGCAGGAAGGAAGTTTATCCTTTCCTTCACCAGCTGCTGTGAAAACTGTGATCTCCCCACCCTGCAGTTATTAATGGGGGGGTGGGGGTGGGGAGTGATCCATTGGTAAGGCACACAGGTGCTGCAGCACCTGTAAAATTGGCCACCTTGAAATTTGTCCACCTTGATGGCCAATTTACCATCATGTTTCTCATCATATGCAGTTAGTCCTGAGACTTGGTTCCTGTGGAGGAAGGGAGTGACGTAGTAGGAATAGCCAATGTGGACTTGTTTGTATAATTAAGATTAGTTAACTTGAAAGAACAACCATTACCAAAATTAACAAGGAAATTCTTCCAAGGTGACAATAGTCACAGAGAATGAGCAATCTTAAGGTAGATCACCAAGAAAGATGGAGCATCTGCTACTTATTGTGGCTCAGAGAATGTTCTGAAGCACTCATATATAGTTCTTCAGCTGATGATCAGCTGGTGTGGCCTAATAATCTGCATGGATGGGAGACCACATAGGAAACATGTAAAAACCACTCAGAGATTTTTGGGGGAAAAAACAGGGTGTAATAAGTTAATCTTTAGAAGTCTGAAGCCAAAGCTTGCCAAAAACAAATCCATTGAAATTTTTCATAGGCAAAGAAACTAGTTTACTAATATTCCTTCCATGCTGATCCATCAGTTCTGCAATTCACTGAGCTTTCATGCAATGCATTATTGTTTCAATTATAATTCCAAGCTCTTAAACCAGGTCTTAATGTTTCCACCTGCAAGTGAACGCCACTCCTCTCCCTGCCAACAGACAAACTCACTGTATTTCTGCAGAATAGTATTGAAACTGGATCCTGACCAAGAATATAAGCAGAGATGCATTCTCCTTGAATGCATGCAAAATATAACCAAAAACTTGATCCACAGATATCAGTAGGATTCATGTCTTTGCTCTGGATAAAATTCCTAAAGACTGAGAAGCACATGCAAGGGAAATGTTAACTGTTAATGGAAAAATTATTGCATGGATAAAATTGGTGGATAGAGTTTCTCCTAGAGATTTTCAGCCTTTATATAACCTCAAGCATATCTTTTGGCACTATTTTTACTATTTATTATTTTGTTTATTGTTGGCAATATTTATTGCTTTCAAGAAGAGTGTGCAATTGCCCATGTGCCAATAAAACTCTATAGCTTCAATAGTCTCTCATCAGAAATAGATAGAGAGCGACACATTCTCAAGTAGTATCTTTCAAATGCCACCACTCTGGTCTAGGATGATGTGCCTGTAGAGGCAATTTCAGCTCCAAATTAAGGAATAATATGATGTGGAAGGTGACCCTGAGTGGTTCTAGATAAGGCTTTATGGTGCCCTTGTGCTGCCTCAGTCTCAGAATTTAAAGGGGGTCTAGATGACAAGTGTGTTCAACTCATACCCCTCCCATATTTTTCCATTGCTGCTTCCATCTTTTCTCTTATGGCAGAAAACTCATTAAAAAGACAATAGCTGCACAATGCCTACTGGTTGGTAGCACTGGGTACTCTCTGTCAGGAAATGTTCCAGGTATTTAAATCTCTCTAAACTCTCTTCAGGTCTGTATTGTCAGACTTCCATAACATGCTTTGGTTGTACATCAGTGCATAGCTGGCTGACTGGCAACTAAGAACAAGCCAGTAAAGAACTTGTATTAACTAAGAACGTACCATTTGCTGAAAGCTGTAGATAAAGGGACACGTTATAAGAACATTACAAGTAACACTACAAAGACTGGCATGACAAACACAAGTTTTATTTCTTTTAGTACTTTAATGACAAGTCATACTCTGTAAATGCTGAGGGGTGACGCTTAAGCATTTCCCCCATTTCCTTCCAGTGGCAGCAGTAGCACTGGTCTGGGCCCTGATCTGGTCCATTACAAGCCATGAGAGTCTTCCTGGTGGAAACATCTTTGGATTTCTAGTCCTCTACTGTTGTTCTGTAAGTGGAGGTCAACTTATAGCACTAATTAAAATACCTCATCTGCCTCCATTTCCTCGCCTTCTTGGTAAGTATCATATTATGTAAAAAACAGAAGATGCACACTATCTAAACTTGATTTGTTGAGGTGATAGCAGACTTGTCCAAAGCCAGATTATACCTCCTTCCTAGTAATATGAATCTGTGTTATTTAAAGATGGCTCCATTAGAGAACATTCTTTTTCTCATGTCCCACAAGCTACTGGGATATTTAACAGGAATATTTTTAGTTATCAATTCACCTTGCTTCTTTGTCTCAGCCATTTTTAATGAAAGTCTTTCTTGTAACTCAGTGTATCTGTTACTTATTTTTCTTTAACTAGGGACAGATCCTTTGGACTTTTAGCCACAGGAGGGCTGAGCATAAGGGTACATTTTAGTGCACTTTGAGTATCTTCTCTTTTGGGGGTGGGGGGAATAGTTTACCAAGTTTATATTGCACAAGTTTGATCTTAATCTGTCAAGAAATATGTGATTGACTTAACCTCAGAGTATATCCCTAAGGTCCTAGCACTGATTCACTTCCTGTGCATGTGAGTAATGCAAAATTTTCAATGGGGTAGCATATTCCACAACAAGATAATTGTGGCCATATGCATACCAGGACAAGTAATCTAGCCAAATGTATGGACTTCTGAATTTTATTGAATGTAGGTACTCAGTAATTTTCACTGAAATTGATGGAACCTGGAATTGCTCAACACTAGCTGAACTGGGTCTCTTAATTATGCACATCTATCTCTTTGCACTGACTGTACTGCTGAGAAGTAATTCCAAAAGGACTTTTCTTTTTCACATCCTTGGTCAGATACCTGCTTCCATAAGTAAATCAGGAGAATTTTAATTCAGTCAGATGCACAGTATTGGCAACAACACCACCTTAGTAATTTCGGTAGAAAAGTGGAAAAAATTAAATACAAGTGTAATATTTCTGTTGGAAGGGTGGAGGATTATTTTCCTCTCTACCTCTGAGAAAGAAGGAGGTAGGAAAAATGCAAATATCAGGCTCCACAGTAAACATTTTCCCATGAAAACCCAGTGTATCTTCAGAGCAAAGTAGATGTATTTTTTAGACAGCTGCAGGAGTGGACCTGAACTGATTAACCCTTTTGCTCCCTGAAACTGCTATTAGGTGCAGAGTAGGCAAAAAGCTTATTTTAGCTTATTAGCATTTGCAGGTAATAACACAGAGGTACACAGTTTTTTTGCCCCTGAGAGCCATAGCAGGCAGTTTTACACATAAAAATAATTCAACATGCTCAATCATACTCAAGGGTTTTTCTTGCCAGAACTAGCAAGTAAACCCCTTATTTATCTCCAGTGTTTCCTAAGAGATCAGAGAGAAGGGGATTGTCTTGCTAGTGCTAGCAGAGACTGGAGACAAGGGAAGAATTTCTCTTGTTAGTGCTGCAAGAAAATTCCCTCCCTTTTCTCCAATCTCTCAGCAGACATGAGAGATAAAGAAGGGGTTCCCTTGCTAGAGCTAAAAGGAAAACCCAAGGCAGCAGTCTTACTTTTATTCAGTGGCAGCAGATGCAGAGGAATTTGGTAGCCCACTGGGAATAGCTTGGTAGGCTGTATGAGGCTGAAAGACTGCAAGTTTTGTGCTCTTATAATAGCAACTTCAACACAATTTAGGCTGGGGAAAAATTAGTCAACCACTTTTCCCAGTGCTACAGCCATGATCCAGGTCCCAACCTCTAGACTGGGACAGTGAGAAAGGGAGAAGTTTAGAGGACCAGTTATGGCTTTTCTCTGTTACATTCTGAGAATGATGAACATATATTTCCAAACAGAATGGCTTGACCAAATTCAAGTTAGTAGTAAAGTTGTTACCTTTGCTTATGGCAGGAAGCCCCTTTGCCTTTACCAGCTGCACACCATGCAGAAATTCCATAGGTACAGGTTTACCTAACATTTAGTGATGGCAAGAGCTTGAATTGTTCAATTCTGTCTGCCATACAACTGTGAAAAGCAAAGATCACCCACTGGAGTGGATAGACAGGACTTGCCATTGTTCCATTGTCTTGTGAGGAGTAGAATGGGGCAGAGAGATTGGATTGTGGTCCCAGCAATATTAGAAAGTAGAGCTTCTACTGATTCTGGTCCTGGAGTTTAAACATTGCCAGAAGGTTGAAGATAATCTTCCACTGAATCTCTGCTTTGCTTTTTCCACTGATTTGCCACTTTTCTCTTTCTCTCTCTGTTAAGCTTTATGTACAAGATGATTTCTTGTGTTCTTCCTGGACTTAACATTATAGCTGTCTGACTTTACCCAGACCTTTCCAAATGTTGTTGCCCCCTCCAATGTAAACAGTCTTTCTGTAAATGGCTTTCTGTTTCATGTAGGGATGTTGCTTGCTGGATTTCTCATCCGAAATATTCCATTCACTAATAAGATGATCTACATCAATATGAAATGGGGAGCCACCTTGAGAAATATTGCCCTTTCAATTATTCTGGCCCTTGCTGGTCTTGGCCTTGATTCAAAGGTAGAGTATCAAAAGGATTTTCCCCCTGGACTAATCTAGTCGATCAGGACGGACAATGTAAATTCTGATCTTCCCAGCTAGAGAAGAAAGAAGCCTCTGCTTTCTCTATGCCCACATGCCTGTCATTTAAGTCTCCCCAACCTACGACTCACAGGAGTGGCAGTCCAACACATCTTGAGAACATATAGTTGGAGAAGGCAGCTGCAATCAGTTTAAGTTTAAAAAAGACTGGCCAGGAACATTAGAGGGCATGAGTTTGGGACAGGATGGATTAGAATAGTTGCCTGATATTGTAGAATCTTTGTGGTTTTGAATGAGCTCCACATCAGAGTTTTGTCCACGTGACACCACCCAACAAAGGGAAGAGACCTAAGTATGAGTGTGTGTGTATGAGATGGGGGGCAGTGGAGGTGGGTAGAGGCTCATAGTTTGGAAGAAGCAGTTGAAGAATGAGAGTTTCTAGCTAGAATTGGTTAAAACTGAGGCTGCAGCCTAGAAGATTGTCCATCTGGGGATCTGTTGGTTTGTAATGCCTACTCACCTATAACATACATTTTGCTTGGATATGTGTGAAGAAAGACAACATATGTCAAATGCTGTTTCACTCAAAAGAGACCTTTACAGAACTGTCTGTGTAGTCTCTTACCACTTGGGGTTAGAGATTCATATATGTGCCAGTGTTAAAAACAAGAGAGGCAAAGACAACAATCTATGATGAAGGACAGAGGCAAACATCATTGTTGATCCATTTATGTTGACCTTGTAAATAAGTACACAAATTTTAGTAGACCACAAATAATCAAAGCCCAGTGGGGCCTCTTAGAAGGGGGCTGCAAAGTTCTCTGCATTTTTGTGGTAGGTCTATAGGAGAAGATTCCATCCTGAAACAGACCCTGTGCTATATACTAGAGGCAGAGGAGGGAGTATCCATTCCTCCTCTATCAAGCCTCTCATTCACCTGCATGTGATTCTTGGTCACATTGGTTACCAGGCTAGTGCTTAAATACAAGATTTTTATACATAATTTAGTGGAAAGTATGTCTCTAATACAGTTGAAAAACTGCAGGCAAGTCTCAAAATCTTATGCCTCTTTTTGCAACTGGATTATGATCTGCTTTTGTGTTGTTCCATATTCTACATATTAGGACATTCAGGTGGAACACATCTACTCTCAACAGGTTTTCTTTTCCCTGCTGCTAAAAACCACTAATTTGTCAATGTTTTGTCTTTCAGGCTCTGAATAAATTAAAAACTGTCTGTTTCAGGCTAAGCTTGGGACCCTGCATTGTTGAAGCATGCTCAGCAGCTGTCTTGTCTCACTTTCTTATAGGCCTGCCATGGGAATGGGGTTTTATGTTAGGGTAAGAGGTAACTCTGCTTGCTCTTGTTTATCTATTATATTGTTCTTCTAGCAATGCTTATACCCCATTCTTAAACCAAATAGGCAAAACTCAGAGCCCTTATGTACACAGGTCATTCCTATTCACATGACATAAAAAGAGTGATAGTGAATATTTTCACACAGCCAAACACCAGCTGTCTATGGGAAACCCATAAGTAAAACACAAATGGAACAGCACCATTATGTTTGTGTTCCCTGACAACTGGAATACAGAGAGGTAGGAAGGTAGCATATAGCAATCTATGAATTTATCTAACCCCTTTCTAAGCCCCTTTATTGTGGGCCATTACCCCATCTTTTTAGTTCTTTATTGTTAATAATAATGGACCAAACTTGCTTGCACTGGTTTTCTGCATCAGATAGCTGCACAATAGTCTGGATAACAAGGTGCTTGAAATGCCATATAGAAACTTACTTGGTGAATGGCAGCACTGAGAATAGCAAGGAAGGGAAGTTTTCCTATCCCACTTGTTTTTCTTTTCACAATTAGAAGTAGGTAGAGAATCCCCAACACACAAGTGCATTTATTAATACAAATTGTACCTCAACTTCGCTAGAGTTTCACCAAAGGAAGCTATATGTTATTTCCTTTCAGTTTTGTTCTAGGTGCTGTATCTCCTGCCATTGTTGTCCTTTCAATGCTGATGTTACAAGCCAGAGGATATGGTGTTGACAAAGGCATCCCAACTTTACTAATAGCTGCTGGCAGCCTGGATGATATTGTAGCTATTACAGGTTTCAACACCTTCTTAGGCATAGCCTTTTCCACAGGTACTATTGTTACTCCATAGAACCAGTGAACCACAGCATGTACCCATCTGGGTTGTGGAAGGAGGTTTAAAGCAAGCAGAGTGTCAGAGTTGGAATGGAGTGGCCAAATTTATTCTTATTAGGGAAAGGGGTGGATTCAGTTTTTACATGGAGTTGTAATCTTGGCTCTGCTGTTGCCAGTGACTGCCCTTCCACTGATACATAAGTGGCACTTGGGAACACGTGGCACTTATTCATCACCCTTTTTAAAAATTATTTTTTCCATTGTTGAAGATTATGCTACTTTTTTTCAAAGGTTCTATTATCTTTTTTGCTTCCACAGATATTCAGGAGTGCTGTCTGATATGCATAGTCTTGCCTGGTCTATTTCCTTGTATGTGTCACCTGTCAAAGATGCTCCAAGGTAGAGTAGGGAACATATAAGGAAACTGACAAGGTGAGACTATATATAGGCTTATTTACACACAGTTGTCAAGGTCCAGGGGGAAAATATTGCTAAGAGAGAAGAGCAATCCATTTTGAAATGGAAAAGCACCAGAAATGGGGAAAACAGCAGAAGAAATTAGGTGCACCAAAAGATGGTGGTAAGGGAACATGTATCTCCCATGTAACACCATCATTCTCTCAGTTTTAAATGTTGAACTGGTTGTTCTCAGTCCTCCACCTTTTAACCATTCTCCAAGTCCACAGCTAGTTTAGAAAGATGAGATGCTAACTCCCTTCCCCATTTCCAAATTCCTTTTTGGAGCACTTAATGCTGTAGTTAGTGTACTTCCCTGAAAATTCTTTAAAAACAACCAAACAAAGTAAGGAGGCAGCTGAACGGGAGTGAATGCATAGGTATCAGGATCTATAAAGAAATGCAGCTCTGATAGAAAAAGCTTCCTAGTCCTGCTTTGTTTTATTACAACAATGTGAGTCTTTGAAGTGGCTGCATTGTGTTTTTCATTTGACTTCTGCCAATCTTGCAAGGTCTCCACTTGTGTCTTAATTCTTCTGTTCCTTATTTTGCCTTTGCATCTCGTCCTGCCATGGCATCTGACTCTCACTTGTTCCTGACTCAGCCATTGACCATGACCCTACTATGCCTTACCCAAGTGGTAGACTCTTACCTGTGCAAGCCTTGGTCCTTCTTCTACCTCAATTTCCCCTGGCCCTGGTGCTGTTGTTGAAGATGTCTGCCACTTACATCCTAGAGTTGCCAGTGGTACCCATTGCAGAGGGAGAGGGGTGTTTAAGCACCACTAGTGCTGATATCCCTTTTGCTCTACCTCATTCTGCCACCTCTAAGAGTTTGGTTTAAAAAAAACCTGTCAGAAATTTTTGTTCATTTTTTTGGACTGGGAAATATCTACAAATTTAATAGCTGGGCAGTAAAGTGCAGTGGAAATTTCCACATTCCAGGTGTGCAAATTTTGCCTGCATTTATGTTCCAGACACTAAACTTACATGCTTTTCTGTTCAGCTTACTTCCCAGTCCAAAAATCCCCAAAAATATGCAGCTATTCCTGTTGTATAAAAACACCCTTTTGAGGGTGACCAAACAGGATGGAGAAAATGGGGTTCCAGCACCAGCAGTACTTCTGCCTGTCCTCACCTCCTCATAGGGCCCCATTCACTCTGTTCCGTACAGCTGCCTTCTTGGGGAATGGGGTTAGAGATTCAAGCACAGCAATAAGCACATTGAAAAGGGGCTTTGAAAAGGTGATGCAGAGTTAATGCCTCCCCTTTTTTGGAATAGCTTGAGAATCTGGCAAGTGTTGAAATACGGAGGATATTGAGAACTCTCAGTTCAACAATTAAAAGTCCAGCAATTGAATTGTGCAACAGGGGAGATATCATCCCCCAACTGCTTTTACTGCTGTTAATACTTTGCCCTTTCTTTCCTATTTTTGGTGCTTCTAAATTGCACAAATATGTCTCTCCTTTACTATTATTTCGCTGATAGATTGCTATAATGGGTAGGGAGTTTTCCTTTTGGGTCAGATCAGCCTAGGACTAGGAAAGGGAGAAGGCGGCCATTCATTGCAGCAAGTGGCTTGGGCCACTCCTTTGAGTTCTCTGTAATTGCTTGTCGATTCATCTCCAGAGGATGATAAAAGGTTGCCCTGCCTTGTCATGTGGGTTGTACATGAGGGCCTTCTGGTTTCTGATCCTCTGCATGTTTTACCAGCAGATCTTTTGCCTCTTGTTAGCCATGATTTTGAATATTGTCTCTTGATGTATCCTATTCCTGTTGATAAAGTGCTAGTGAGAGATCATATGGAAACCTGTCCATCTGCTGTGTCCAAATAGGCTCCACCCTGACTAGCATCCTCCGTGGCTTAATGGAAGTTGCAATTGGTGCAGGAGCTGGGAGTCTTCTTGGAATATTTATATGGTACTTTCCAAGCAAGGATCAGGTAAAAAAGCTGTTAAAAAGTTTCAGTCTTGCATCTTTGAAATAGGAGTTATAGAGAACTGATAAAACAGAAATGATCATGACCTCATTTATAACAACAAAGGACATGATTCAGTATACCTTTCCTTAGCATGTTTTGGACTTCAGTCCCATGAACCCTAGCTAACATGGCCAATGGTCAAGGATTATGTGAATTTTTACTCAAAAGCATCTTGATGGGCAGCATATAGTGGAAGGATTATTTAAGAGTTTGTTGATCTTTTTTTGATCATCAGCGATACGTCATTTATGAAGTTCTGTCATTTCTCACTATGACATGATTAGGGGCCTTTGTTTTTATTCAAGTCTGAGACTGTTTTAAACGCATAAAGAGAAATATTTTTAACTTTGTAGCCATAACCATCTTTTTATTATTGTTCATAATATCAGTTTTATCAATGAGTCACAATAGCTGCAGAAAGGATAGGACTGGGCTTCCTGTATCTCGGTTCTTGTTCAAGAACAAACAAAGATAAAACATGGTTAGGGTTGGCCTTCTAGTCAGCAAATGGCTACTCTTACAGGAAAGAATGAAGTAAAAATGGCTACTCTACTGTTTCCATCAAATTGAGTGATTTTCTTAGTAATCTTGTGCATTTTAAACCATTATAATAGTCTCTTTCTTCCTTCTTCCCTGATCTTAGGCATTTCTCATATGGAAAAGAGCATTCTTTGTGCTTGGCCTATCTGTGTTTACTCTTTTGAGCAGCAAGAATTTTGGTTTCCCTGGATCTGGAGGGCTCTGCACAATTATATTGGCATTTCTGGGTGGGATGGCATGGTCTGATAAGAAGGTGAGAGTTGGATCAACATAAAGCTCAGGACTCAGTCTGATTCTATTAGATGAGATTGTGTGGAGTAGTGGAAAGGGTAGGGACCTTTTGTCGCTCTGGGGCTGCATGCAGTCCGAGATGAGGAATTGTGTTGTGCACTCATGCACCTTCCCCACCACCATTAAGGAAGCCCTATTTAGGTTTAGAATAATTTTATCTGATATGGTCAGCAATCTTTTTCAGAAACTGCCTTCTGCATGCACACTTTTGCATCTATGTCATGATATGTATAAAGACACCATTGAAATGGATGGATGCCTCTTTTGATGCAGATGCCCCTTCTCATCTGGGATCACAGTTTGCTATGTGAAACTAGCACAGGAATGAAACATTTCTGTTCTGAACTAGAACAGAAATATTGTAGAAATATTTCTACAAGTCTGTGGGAGGAGGAGGGTGGCATTTATACAAATAAAAATAGGCTAAAATGTCCTGAATATTGGACAAATAGGCAAGCAATGGGACCACCTCCTGAAAGTTGAACTTTTAAGACGTACATTAGCCAGCTTTTCTAGCACTGATGTAAATTTCTTAAATGGTGTACCCTGGACAATAATTCTGTTCCTTCAGGACTTAAGTTTCTAGAGTTAAAGCAAGCACTATTTTGTCTTGACTGGACCACTCATTTTGAGGATGTCATTTTTAAAATATGCAATTAACTTTATCACTAGCACCAACACATGTTCTTGTAACACTGCACCTGTTTGCACTTTGTCCTGCAGAAAGCAGTAGAAGAAATAGTTGCAGTTGCATGGCATGTTTTTCAACCCTTTCTGTTTGGTTTAATTGGAGCTGAAATATCTGTTGTCTCTCTTGGAGCTAGAATGGTCGGTAAGTCTGTTCATGAGAGCTATAGCATTGAGAGTTGTTGTGACAGGCTTACCTTGGAGAACTGAGTGTCTGCTTCAAAACTGGAAATGTGTGTATTAAAGAATAATAGTCATTTGATTAAAATGTCAGGAGTTTTATGAACTATCTTATTCTCAGCTGACCAGTTACCTACTAATAATGATAAATGTCTGAACTGATTTGACTAAATACTACCATATCCCAAGGTGCAGTCAGTTAAAGTACAGCTAGTTCTCAGTATTTGAGATAATTGTCCACACAGAAAAAACAGGAAATGCTAGAGAAATTATAGGCTACTGCTTGACATTATTGCAACCTAGTTTCTATGTTTTGAGACTTATAAAGCAACAAAGGCTCTGCTTGCAGACTTTTGAATCTCAATATGACCCTTCACTGCATATCAGAGCTAGGGCTCCAAGTGATCCTGTGGCCTCCCAGATGATGTTGAAAGGCCAAATGATTGTGCCCTTGGTGACTTTCAGGTGAAGGCCTGGTGGGCAAAAACTGATGGAAACAATACAGAATAGTTTCACATGCTGAACTTTTGCTGTCGGTTTCTGTTGATCAACACCATTACTGCCTGATGAATGACATGTATCTGTGGTGGTTCTTACTTTTTTTTTTACTAGTATTGTAACAATGAGGGTGACTTTTCTGTAATAAATTCATCACTCTGCTGCAGGACTTTGTTTGGCCACTCTGGCTTTGGCTTTAACAATACGAGTTACTGCTACATTTTTATTGGTGACTGCCAGTGGCTTTGATTTCAAGGAGAAAATATTTATTGCATTGGCATGGATTCCTAAAGCTACTGTACAGGTAGACTATTCCTTTATATTTCCTTGCATCTTTAGCAAATAATGAGTTAACTATATACTATTGTATAATATACTTTGAGAAGGACATTAATTTGACTCTTGTATGCAACTTGAAAAACAAGAAAAACATTTGCCTAACTTTACCAAATGGTCAGTCTTACTGTATTTGAAATGTCTTCCCTCTTTTCCCCACCCACCATCGCTGATAACCAATCTTCATGAAGTATGAAACAGAAATACAGACATACTGGGTGAGTTCACCCATAGCAAATAAGCTACACAGTGTGAGTTCTTTGTGGGAAAAAAACATGTTCTGTCTGACAGACTACTGAACTGTCTTGCACCCCCTTCCTCTTTGCTGTCCCATGGATCTTGCAAACTGAAGCTAGCTTGCTCTTCTACCCATAATGCTCATGACTTCTTTTTGATTGCCACTCACCTTCTCTCCTTTCACCATTTTTTCATAAGGTAGGTGGCACTCTTCACTTACCTTAGAAGTCAAGCACAATTTCAGGCAATCTACTCCCTTCCTCCAGGATCTCATCCTACATGTGTTCAGGAGGATCTCCAGCTCTCCAAAAAGGCTTTAGGGCCACTTTAGGCGATCAGGATCAGGAACTTTCCTTTCTTTAAGCAATCTCAGGATCCAAACTGGGTGTCTTTTTCTCCTCTTCTCTGCAGGCTGCAATTGGTTCTGTTGCCTTAGATGCAGCACGAATTCGTCATGATGAAACCCTAGAGCAATATGGCCTAAACATCTTGACAGTAGCTTTCCTAGCTATTCTGATCACAGCTCCAGCTGGAGCTCTAATAATTGGCCTGGCAGGGCCCAGACTTCTCCACAAGACTGATATAGGTAGTGAAGAAGATGAGAAAAGAAAAGAAAGGCAAGCAACTTCACCAATATAGGGGGCAGATCCATGGATGCTCAAAAATTAGCCTGTTGCTTATTCCAAACTTTCTGGGAATCGCAGTGTCCTACAGCAGTGAGCAGAAGTCTGGAAAAACTACTAAAACAGCAACCTGGGTAGAAATCAAATTATGATTCTGTTAAGTCAGAATTCAGATTTCTCTTCAGCCTTGACATAAGAGTTTTGGAAAAAAGCAGCCATAAGTAAAATGGACAATTCAACCTTCTCAGTGACTTTGAACTATATGAGTGGTATACTTCAGAAATATAAATGTAAGCAGGAGAGGAAGGAGTATTCAAGATGGTTCCCTGAAATATTTCATAAGGTGTTCATAAGGTGCACTTGGAGCATATATATGCAAGACCAATAACAGAAGTAAATAACCAAAGAGTGATATCATGGATTATTGAATACATGGCAAAATCCACCACTGCTGCTCTGTTAATTACTTTTCGGGACCCAAAGGCAATATGTGGTAAGAATGGATATATTCAGTCTTTTAATAATCCTGCACTGTCCTGGGAGTCTGATGTTTCTTTTCTTTTCCTGCATCTTGAGAAAATAGCCCCCCAGATGCAAAATTGAATGGTGGAGTGGATTTTGTTTATGGGGCTGACAAAGGTCCTCACAGTTTATCTCCTAGTTCCATGTATTTGATATTAATTTGTTTTGTCGTAGCAAGAACTCCAGTCCTTGGCCACTTGCGGTCATTCCCTTAGCACATTATACAAAAATAGTAGCATATATTAACACAAATAAAAATAGTAACTTCAGAGCTGTCTGCAGCAGTACATCCCACCCTCACTTTGTGTTTTGTGCAGTCAGGGAGACCAAATGAGTTTGATCAGGATCAGCAAAGAGGTTTGGTGCCCTTTTAAGGTTTATATGATCATAGGAACACAGCAAAGAATAATGAGGAGGGCAGCAGGAAAAGTCTCTGATAGCAGGTGGGTAACTGTGATCCTGCTGGCAACCAAGCATATTAGTATTCTGTGTTATTGAAGTTTCATTTTGGATCATAAATAAGTTTTGGGTCTCAAGCATTAAACCTTTGCAAAGCATGATTCAAGAGCTGCAATTGTGACAGTGTTTTCATGAATTTGTGGATCTGTGTTGGGGAAATACCTTTAAGAAAAGCCTTTCCATACTCCCACTGGGGAACACTACATACTTTTAAGAAAATCAGTGCTTGTCATGGGGTAGAAATAAATTGGTTCTCCCCAGTCCCCACTTTCATGGCTACAAAGTTGGTCTTTATTTGGAAAACTTTTGATGGATTCATGCTACCCAAGAGAAACTACTAATACCTTCTCAGAGCTCCATTTCCATCTTTTTAACATGGGTGCTGGATTGTAATGGCACACATGATATCACTGCTGCCTGCTTCCTGAAAAGCAAATGTTCTTTAATGGAAAACCTTTGAATGTGGAAAGTTGAATAATCCATGCTTTTTTGTCCGGTGGCAAAAGCATGTTTAGGCATAACAGCTGAGTGTTCCTAAGGTGGCTGTATAGAGGCACACTGGGGGCCCAGATGGCATCAGAGATGGCTCCAGTATCACTTTGCTAACCAAAAGACATAAGGAAAAGATTTAAAATACAGCTATAAAAAGGTTTGATTATTCCCTCACCTAGATTATCCCCTTTCCCCTCAAAAAAGCAGTATCTACTATTGTGGTATGGCATAAATCTACTTAACGGTGCCACTCAATGCTAAAAATGTACATTTGGTATTCCTTTTCAAAAAGGTTTCACCAGGGGGAGCAAAAGGATCAGACATGGTTTATTTCCTTTCATTTTGGGTCATGGAAGATGTCTTAGTCTTCCCGGTATATTCAGGTCTGATTTACAATATGTCTTCGACAGTACTTGAATATTTTAAGTATTTATTTTAAGTATCCAGGCCTCCAGGAACCGTTTGCCAAAATCAATCTTCCTGCAACTTTAAGCAGTGTGAGGTATGTATGTGCTGTGGAGCTAGTCTATTGCTTGAGGCTGAAGTCCAGCTGTCAAACAGAAGGCAACCATATTACTAAATTCTTTTTCTTGAAGTGTGTTCCTGGTGGGAATACCTGAGCAGATTGCATTCGTTTGTTCTATACAAGATCTGTTGCAGAGATTTTTAAAAAGAAAATATAACAGCATGGTATAGCATCCAGTGACATGATGTACAGTAATTTGTTTCAAGTGTCAGAGCTCCTACTACTGAGCTAAAATTGTTTCCTATTTACATAAATAGGAACAGTGAAAGGCCTGCAAGTGTGGGTGCATGCACACATATCACATGTGTGTGCATATGTACATATATGCACATGCACACGCCCATATATATGCGGGCAAAACCAAATTGACAGATGTTACAGAGTAAGGTAACAAACATGCTAAGACAAAATGGAGTCAAGGTGAGAAGAGATCTGCAGTTCATTTTAAGTATAATTTTGGAACCAGCTGCCTTGGTAGAAATGTACAACCTAATATTGGCTCACATTTGTTGACAAAGTTAAAAAAAACCCATGCAGTAACACAATTAAAATATTAGATGTGGAAAGTCCCTTTTTGGTCTGCTGTTTAGGAATTGAGAAGATACTGCAGCCCAGGTCTGTTATGCAAAGTCTCTACTCTAAGTACATCAAAGTCCTGGACAGAAGACTTAATTAGAACCGAAGGTTTTGGAACAACACTGTAATGAATATGGTCATCATATGCCAACTGATCATTTTCCAGATCTCAAAACTGTATTATATGGTTAAAAGAAGGGCAATATTAGGGAGATGCAAATTAGTTTTTTCTTCCTTTATTAGCTAGTGGCTAATAAATCTGCTGGTTAATCAAGTTTATGAAGTGATATGGCTGTTTCCCTCAGAACCATTGGGCTAGATCCTACATTTTCTTCTGTGAACAGTTCACATGCATGGAACAAGCCTTTGAATCTTTTTATATTTAATAGCAACAAATTGCAGGCTAATTAAAATTGTGGACTAATGAAACCCATTATTTGCTGGGATTGGTGTGCCACCATCTTTTTAAATAGGCAACCTCCAATCAGAACTTATTCTGTGAATTGTGAACACAGAGTGGGTAATCATGAGTTAAACAGCTAACCTATGAGTAGTTCTTCGGGTGACTGTTGTTTAAACCATGTGACTAATCCATAGTGTCCAGGCACACACATCACAGAATAACATTAAGATGTTTCATATTCAAACTGGCAGCAGCACACACTGGGGTAAATTAATAGTGATTTGCTGCCATGACATGCAAATAGGAGTCTGCCACGTGCTTCCTTTGCAGCCTCTTGCGATCCTTGCAAATCTTTCCCTGTGGGTGGGGCATACTTGGGAACAGTGTAGGGTATCTTGCAGTGAGATGCAGGTAGAAAGGGAGCTGGTAGAAATCATACTTTCCATGAATGAACAATTTAGAACCTAAGCCATTTTAAGGAGGTGACAATAAGGCCTTGAACAATTTGCCAAGTACACAATACTAACAGGTACACTGGTGCACATCACTTCATACAGAGCAGATGTGCTCCATCAACTCAGGTGTTCATAGGCAGATTCCTACAAGACTGAGTTTTATACTCTTAGATACAATCCTTTAGCCTGCGCCGTGAAATGTATTAGATGTGTCTTTTGTAATCGTTTTACTTCCTGCCACCTCCCTTAAATAAAAAATTATAGGGCTTGACTAGATTTGGACAGGGCATGAACTAGTGGTGGGTCATGATGTAAAAGTTGAGGAGAAATGATCTATGTAAAATTTCCAAAAGCATGAAGTAGGATAATTATTTTATTATAGGATTACATTTGTAATTTGCTCATTGTTCTTACTATTGGTCACACAAACATACCAATCAGTCCATTGTGTGCCATGATTTTCTTTGAATTGTCTTTGCATATATAAAATGCTTTTATCTTTATTCACTCACTCTAGTATGAGATATGTATGTATGTGGCTAATGTGAATATAACTGTGCAGCCCAACACTCACTTTTTTCTTCTCTTAATCAAATCATGGTACAGATCCCCAGGATTGCCAGTTACAGGCAAAAAGGGTGCAACTAGTGATGAGTCAGTGCCATAAAATGAGCATATTACTGTGCAATTAAAATCCAATTCAATAAAATCTGGATGGATACAAAGGTGTCCAAAATATATCAGAGTAGGTTAGGAATGGCAGTGAGATAATGAAAGCTTCCTAAGCCATCCTCTTAAACTGAAACCTGAGCCTGCACCTTAGGCTAGCAGTGTTTCATCTTTAGGAAAGGAGAGATCTGTTCTAGTTTTCTCCAGATCAGATTTCAAAAACACAGGTTAGCATTGCTAGAGTGCACAAGTCTCCTTCATTCTGACAGCAGCAAGGCAATTATAGGCATGCCTCTATCTGCCCTCACCACTGCATTTGCTTACATGGCTTGGATCTTCCATGACTGATGATGTCAAACAATAAAATAATTGGATAGAGTCAATGATCAATCAGCTGCGATTTGTAGTAAATTGAAATGAATTCAAAGTCAAATGCTTTGAATGTCAAAATGGAGATGTAACTTGGATTTGTTCCTGCAGAGAGAGCCTGATTTCCTCCGTTTTGACAAATGTATTCATCTAGAACAAATTGCCTTGGACCTCTTGTCTCCCACAATGGGTTGGATTATTTGGCTGCCTTTGCAAGTTTATCTCATTAAAACTTTTATTTTAAATTTATTTATTTTGAAACAATGGGATTTTATAGTTGGAAGAAATTTTGCCGGTCACCCAGTCCAGTCTCCTCTTCAATGAAGGCTCTGTCATGCAATATGTATTCCTATCATCAGTATTTACACTACTGAAGAACTGCTTCTGGGGAAGATGTAACAACATAAAAATCCAGCTTACTGTTCCACTGCCAAGCCAGTCTATGCCCAGTGTTCAGGACCTGTTTGTACCTTACTGCCAGCACGGTCCCACAGCAGGTGAAAAAGTTGTGTTACGAACAAAATGCAACAGGTGCACTTTCAGGGCAGCTGCACCATTCACGTCTTAGGATACAAGCATTCTACTGCTCTGATGGCATTTTAGCTAATAATAAAGAAATGTAAATTGTACACATTCACACACATCATTTAAAATGCATGGAATCAGTCAGTGCATGCCAAGATAAGCATGAGAGGGCATGTGTTTGCTTGGTGCTGACTCCTGTGGCTGCTATCACGCCTGAGGGTCACCATGTCCATTTGTTGCACTACTCGAGCAGCTATCTTTGCATTGTAAAGTACAACGAACTTAGACTGACAGGTAAGAAAGGCACTAATTTTTCCTTTGTTTATGTAAGTGTGCATGGGGCCTGTGTTGTCTGCAGTGAAATTATTGCCAGAAATCAAACAAGCAGCAATTGAGGATTTATTTGTATGCTCTTATGTCAAGACTTCTGTCTTCATGGAGAAAGTATGGGTCTGGATTGCCCTATATAGATATAAAGCCCCAGTGAGATATCCACATAGCTTGCCTAAGTGTAAGCTTAATTTGTGCAATCTGTTGACTGACTGTACCCACCTTTGTGAGCAAGTAAGAGTATGAGGGAGCCCTAATATTAGTTAAATGAATCTGAATATACAGTACCTTGCAGAAGTATTTACTGTCTGTCCACACCCCCCCCACCCTCCGAACTCTGCATTTTGTTGTGCTACACCTTTGAATTCAAATAGTTTTACATGGCATTGTTACCACCTGGTGTACACAAGATACTCAGTGCTCTGAGGGGCTAATATTCTTTTATTGTGGCACAAAGTTTAACCAAACAAAATCAAACCGGCACTTGTATAGGTATTCGCCCCTTTGAGTCAAAACTTGGTAGTGGCATTTTTCGCAGTAATTGAAGCTGCAAGTCTTCTCGGATATGCCTCCAGAAGCTTTGCATATTTAGACCTTAGAATGTTTGCCTAATCTTCTGGGCAAAACTGCTCCAGTCCACTCAGATTGGATGAGTACCACTGGTGTACAGCAACTTCCAAATGTTGCCACAGATTTTCCTTCAGAGCTACCATTGACTTCTTGGTTGCTTCAATAATGCTGCCCTTGCTTGGTCACTGGGTTCTGATGGACATCCCTCTCTGGGTTGAACCCCATTCTTTCCATTTTGTAATAATATTACTTTAATATTACTTTGGGATGCTCATACTGTAACTTGGAATATTTTTATAGTTTAGCCCTGATTGGTTCTTTTCCACATCTTTATCCTGGAGTTGTTTTGATAGCTCCTTGGTCTTCATGATATTGTTTGCTTGGGTTTGCTGTCTGGTAAACTCTGAACTTCCAGAAATCTGTATTTAATTTGAGATCACATGGCACTGCAGTTGCACACAGGTGGACTCCACTCAGCTGCTTATGAGTAATTCTTGAGGTAGTAGGTTGAACCAAAGCTTATTAGGCATGTCACAGCAAAATGGGTACATAATTATGCAATCAACATGTATTTGTTTGTTTTCGTTTATTTAACTTTTGTTAGTATTTTGCACCTTCACAAAGCTGATTAGCTTGCATACATCAAGTGGTAACAATGCCAATTAAATACATTTAATTATAGGCTGTAACACAATCATCTGTGTAAAGGAATGAATACTTCTACAAGGCTTTGTAAGCATTTTACTGTATGCTTCAGTTCCGTACCACTAACTTTTACTGGGTAGGATTTAGTCCTTCTATTCATGGAAGAAAGTGAGTTCAAGGAGCTCTAGCAGAACAAAAGCAGGGTGGCAACATTTTCCAGCCCCCTGAGCTATTCTATAAGCCACTAGAAAGAGTCTTAACCTCAATGATTGGGAATACAGAAAATCCAGAAATTACTCATTTAAAACCAGGATTGGACATAATGAAAATATACAAATGGACTTGTTTTTAAATGTAAGAAATGTATTTTTTGTCTAGAAGGAAGCTTACATAAAACAAACCATGTCTGCACATTGTAACAGTTCAGAAGTTCCATAACAACTCAGCAATATAGAATTAATGGAAGCACTAAGAGACCAACCCTGACTGCTCTTTAGAAGGCCAGATACTAAAGATGAAACTCAAATACTTTGGCCACCTAGTGAAAAGGAAGGACCCCCTGGAGAAGAGCCTAATTCTGGGAACAATAGATGGCAAAAGAAGGAGGGGACGGCAGAGAATGAGGTGGCTGGATGGAGTCACTGAAGCAGTTGGCATGAGCTTGAGTGGACTCTGGGGGATGGTGTAGGACAGGAAGGCCTGGAGGAATGTTGTCCATGGGGTTGCGATGGGTCAGACACGACTTCGCGACTAACAACAACAACAAAAGAGACCAGATACCAAATACACTAAATTTCATTAAAAAAATCCCTTCACAAGACAAGTTAACTTGTGAAGTGAACTGTTTTGGAAGAGATCAGATTCTGTCTGCAGTGGGGATACTTTTGAGCAAGGATGAAGGAATGTGCAGGACATCTACTCAGGGGTTTACTTTTGTTTAGTCATAATGGCCAAGGATACTTCTGCTGTGGCCCTATTTTTGTGAAAACAAAAACATCTGGTAACTTACTGCATATAGTTTCTAGACTCAACTGCTTTGGGGCTGTTGATATATTTCATAGTCTAAACATAGCATAAAACCTAAGACAATGTAGAGTAGTATGAAATAAGGGTAGTACTTGGATTTTGGGCTAAGGGAAGGATTATGAAAATCGGAAATCTTAACAGCCTCAAAAACTACAGTTCCCAGAGTTCTTTAGTGGACATCATATTATTTCAGCTGGTTTTAAAAACCTATTTAAATCTGTAGTGTAGGTGTGCCTGGAAATACAGCAGAAACACAAACACATCCTTCAAGATTGGTCTAACCTTTTATTACAGGTTGAACAAAAATTACTGGAAGTGGTTGTGACAGTAATACGCTTATTTACACTTTTGTGCTGTTATATTAGACATGATTTTTCAGACCATACAAAATGTCACCACATGTCGATCACAGGCTATAAATCTAGAGTAACATAGAAAGATACCCAATGTCAAGTCTACAGCAATTTTAGACTGAAAACACTACCACACTAGGATATAAGTAGATTTCCCTTCAGTCACGGTTTAAGTTAGGGGTTTGCTAGACTTCTTTCTTCTTGAGTATTAGTGGACCCACATTATCTCCTGTTGATTCATTGTGTTTGTTGTGAGAGCCATCACAGACTGGGAACTGAAAAGAAAGATAACAGATGAGGCAATAGGTTAGACTGATTTTTGTACTGGTTGCAGGACTGTACTTATGATTCAGGAAAACATTACCTGTAAAACACAGCTAAAACTAAATGCAGCACTTAGTCAGAATTGGATGGAACTCCCCAGTTTAATTAAAGAGACTGAAAAATATCCAGTTTGAGGGAAGTCCACAGCTTAACCTGAGCACCAACTGAAACATATGCTTTAAAATATGATTTGTGCTTTCTTCATCCCTATCAAACCATTGGAAAGGAACCCATCTGTCACCTGTAGTTCACAGAAGCCCAGTTATCACAGATCTTACGGTGCATTGGAGCCTCACAGGATCTGTGTTTTCATTTTGGTTCAGATTCAAAAATTGTCAGTGACACTCAAAGAGTTTATAGCTATTCAGGGCCTATTACTCAGTTATCTGAAGTCTGACCTATCATTAGGCAGCAGATAACGGATAACCCAGGGATAGCAATAAAGTTTTGGAAGAGAACTGTGTGATATGTGGCCTACCGAGTGCCCAGTAAACTGGCCTGCTGCGTATAGGTGCAGTGAATGATGTTAGTTTTACAGAAATGTTCAACTGCAGATCCAGTTGGTTTTTATACATGGGAGCAACTTCTTATTCTTTGCTTGACATGCAGAAAAATGTCATGTGCAAGTCCTGATAGTTTGGGTTCTAAACCATGGTAAGCACACACCATAGCAGATATGCTCTAAGTTTATACACCTGCATCTTTTGTAAGACATATACATTCTTCCTTACGCAAAAGAGTTTTGGAAGCATCTCCCCAAAGTATACAAGGAATCGCTTTGTCTAGTGACAGAACAAATTTGGACTTGAAGGTGCATGACCTGAAAAACTGGCAAAAGTAGCATGGGAAATTAACTTCCACAAGTAGAAAAATGATAAACTGTGAGGAAAAGCCACAGTTGTCACAACTAACAGAAGTAAACCAGTCTGTTGTATACTAAACTGTAGCAAAAGGAGATCCTTGAAGCCATGAAGTGAAAGAATAAAACAACTCACCGTTTTTGAGCGCCAGCATCTGCAATAGACTGCCTTAGTGTGACACAGGTCCTCAATATTGATTTCATTCACTACTTTGGGATTTTCCTTCTGGATCTTGAGATTAATCAAACTATCCTTCTGCTGCTTCTTCTTGGGGAGGAATGGACGAATAGCAAGATATCCAAGCAGAGCAAGGACACCCAGGAAAGGCAGTAACCGCAGCCATTCTGCAACTGAGCACATGCCACAAAGCAGTTTTCAGTATCAGCTGTTATCAACATAACTCTCATTGTTTACTAGTTTTATTCAAGGTAGGGCTCACAAATATGAGGTGCAGCCTGGTAGAAATGTACTCTGCAGGTTCAATATGTCATCTCAGGAGGCATTACTGTAAAATTTAATGTATTTTCAAGGCAGTAAAATATTTAACACATGAACTTGTCTTCACTCTAACAATATATAGAATGTTTCATATTTGCCAGCATATTTCTATGAATATGCATTTTTATTATTTCTCTGAAGGCAGCTACTGAATGCTTCCCTGTCTAAAGTTTCTATGATATTAGTGTGTTGCAAAAATGCTTATGAAATGGATATACTTCATACTTAAGTCTGGTAATGGCATGTAATCTAAATTTTGGTACCAGTAGAGCTAAGAAAAGTGGTATTATGTAATAGCTATAACTGAGGAAAAGACTGCACCATAGACTAGAAGAGTTACATTTGCTTGGTCTACTATACAAGAAAGTGTACTTTAGGCACTTACAGTTGGTAGTTCTGGCTTGGTTCAACAGGGACTTATCAGTCTTATTTAGCAGTAGGTCAGTTCAAAGAAGGCATCAATATGGCTTTAGTGTGTTTTCAGTAAATACTGACATAACTGTGTTTGCTTTGGGTTAATTATCCACCTGAGGGTCACCCTTCATTGTATAATAACTTCAACAGCTACACTGTGATTGTTTTTAGGAATGTTCTGCGTCCCTGAAATATGCCCACTGAAACACACCCAAAGCATTTTTTAAACCATCCAGCACAAGTGCACACTTCTTCCTGTACAGCCACCACAAGCAAAACAGTTAAATCCAGACAGGCATTAACTGGTCAGTGCACAATTAAAAGCTGGGGATGCAATCCCCCAAGAATATGTGCTAAATTAAATGTGAGTCGTTCAGCAAGGTTTATGCAAGAGATATTGCTCAAATATTGGTTCTTTGGCTCTTTTGCACCTAAAAAATAACACCAGCATTGTATTATTTCTTGGAAACTGCCATATACCAAATCAGATATCCTTCATCTACCTCAGTACCTCAGTGGCAAAGATTCACCAGGATGTCAGGTAGGAGTCCTCCCAGCCCTACTCAGAGATGCAAGAGACCGAGCCTAGGATGTTGTGCATGTAAAGCTCTGCCGATCTTAAGTCTACCCAGACATTACAATCAAGTTCTGGGGCCTTTCTCTGATTTCCACCTCTGAGAAAGGCTCAGATGCTGACAAGGAGAAGAGGCTTTTCAGTTGCCCCCCCCCCCCCCCGTTAGAGAATGAGTTCCCCACTGACAACTGCCTGGTGCCAATTTTACTATCTTTTTTGGCACCAGGTAATGTCCATCCTTTACTGCAGGGCATTTAATTCATTACTGGGACCTGCTAGCTGCTAAGAGACATGGTTTAACTGGGTCTTTTTAACATTTAATTTTTGTTTGGTGTTTTTTAAAATTTGGTTTTAAATTTTGCATTGCCAACTTTTTTTTTGTTTCGATTGGTATATTTTATATATTTTTTAAATATGTTGTTGCAAACCACCCAGAGAACTTTGACTGTTGCGTAGTATAGAAATTAATTAATTAAAGCAAGCAAGTGCCAATCTCCCACTACTGCAGAATGGGCATTCCTAATGCGCAGTTGAGCTGACCTGAATGAAGTCAAGACAATCTGCAGTCTCTGTGAAAGTTTGTTCTAACACAGCTAAGCTGTGAGCTACAGCAGTACTTCCCAACTGAGAAAGCAAATGTGAAGAAAGAGGCAGGCGAATGTCCTCTTCCACAACTGGAAACTACTCCACTGCACACTGCCAGTCTTTATGGGGGTGTATTAAAGCCAGGCCACCCAATATTCTACATAAACACCTGGCTTTTTAGAGGGAAATTATGGCAGGCCAAGTGTCCTTATATTCCTCTTTGGACTGATAGGTTCATTCTCAGGCCAAGAACAAAAATTCAGTGCTGCACTGCCAGCTTAAGGGCTTCCAAACAGCTACTTTTCTGAGTAAGCAAAGATTCATTGATAGACCTTCAGAACATGAGAGCCACAGATACTTGTCAAACACACACGGGCTTTTGAATGTTAAGTTTCTGGAACAGCCTCCCTTCATCACACATACTTCCCAGGCATTTCTGAAGATGAAACACAGACCAAACAACAGGAAAAAGAATCATAGCTCTTAGCACTCAAGAAGATGTTAGTGTAGGTCTTCCTCAATTTTTCTTTCAGATATAGGCAGGACTTCTAAGTGCTCACACATCCGCACACTTATCAGAACCCACAGCCATATCTCAACACTGCATGAAACTCCAAGAAGTCCTAATGAACTGTTGTTACAGCTGGCCTGAGATGACCCTACCTCATATCCTGGTTATTCGGGTCTCCTCCCTTCCTTGCTCTCTGTAATGCCCCCGTTTTCTCCCTGTGTGAGATCACGTTCACAACTAGGGGAATGCAGCCAGAGTGCTTGGAGACCCAAGTGCCAGCTGCAAGGGGGTGAAGGAGGGGGTCACAGGTTTGATTTCCAGCTCCAGGGCTGAAGAGCTATCCCCAGCCTCAGTTCTAGGAATCCGAAAATTTTTATAGCATTTCCAAGGCTGTCTATTTTGCCTTTCAAAATCGTTTCCCCTTTAACTGCCTTTGGCAAAATATAACAGAGGAAAAAAAGAATGCTATGAATACATTTGCTTTACAGGCAAAGATGAAAACAGAAAAGGGTAGTATGATATAATAGAAGAAAGAGGGCGGAAAGACATAATAGAAGGAGAAACAACTTTCTAAAATCCCTGAATAGTTCAACAGCAGAAGTACATATGAAAGCTGATAGATAATTTTCAAGTCTACTGTATAATGTATAGTTTGAAACACATTATAAAAACATATTTTATATAAAAGATTTTTACCCAGCATCAGGTTTATTCACCTGCTACTTGTTTTGGTGTTAGAATTTAAAGATATGCCTTAATAAAATCTGCCTTGCAATGCAAGAAAAAAAATAAAGAATACTTTGACATGTATAGCTATGGTATTTTTCTTGCAAAATAAAATTATGAGGGTATATCTGTCAAGCTGGAACCTCCTGGGATGCCCTGAGGCCCAGTGCTGGGCACAAAATCCCAGACTAAGATGCAATACTATGCCTGTCCACGCCACAGGAGGCCCCACTGAATTCCATGTATCTTGCTGTCAGCTAAGAGGTAAGAGGATATAGGATTGCGCCCTTGATAAACATTTTGCCTGACTGAGCAAGTCAGTGCTGGTGTTCTTCACATCTCACATGATTGCAAGTAAGATGGCAAGGTTGTGACCTTAATGTTTATATTTTTCCACCAAAGTGCCAGTACTCCTAATACAATTTTCAGAGAGAGCTAGAGTTCTCAGACTCAAGTCACAGACACTCTGCAAAGAACAGATAAATGTTGTCTAGCTGTAACACCACCAATTTAATCATTTATGCCAGTATAATAAGCTAACTCATCATGAGACTGTGAATATTTCAGCAGAATTATTGGCTGGCGCATGCACATACACACACACCAGAAAATGGAAGAAGAGGGCAATGGAATGCCAAGTTATCTGTACACTCTTCACTTCCTATTTCTTCATATTCCATCCACAGGGGTTCAGCATTTAAAGGAAATTATTTTCTTTTGTGGATGCCAGAACTTTCTTTTGTTAAAATCCAGCACTGCTTTCTAAGCACAGTAGTATTAAAAAAACAACAAAACAGGAAAAAGAAGTCACATGAAAACTGATCACTTTCAAATTTCTTATGCAAACAGATCATAAGCCTGTGTCTATATGAAAAATGGATGCAAGATGCTACTCTCCATGCTGTATTATACAGATTGTAGTGATGTTCTCAAAGAAAAGCAATTAACATAGCTTTTTTTTTAAAATTCTTGGTGTGCAGCCTAAGGTTGCAGTTTTATGAACACCTAAATAGGAGAAAACAACATTGAACACAGCAGGACTTAATTCCAAGTAGACATGTACAGGACTGATTGTCCAGTACACAGACTTCTGATGGTTATTGATGCAAAAGGACAAAACTCAAAATTCTGTATTATTGTTCTGTATTGTTGATATAGTTTGAAATTCTTTAAATGGTTATTGTAAATACCTTTGTTCTTCTATTGTAAATGGAATCAGCTCAATAGTAGTGCTTTAGGGACCCATCCAGCAGGGTAACCTATACCCCTCCAGGGATTGCAGGCATCATACAAAATACATCTCAGCTTATGCCAAAATTTACATAAGCTTTTGCTTGCACAAGAAGCACTTTCATCCCTCTCTTCATGAGGATGTCTCTAATTATTTTCTATTTCAGTTCTACTTGGAAGTGGAAGTTATCAACTGTTGAACATATTAAACCAACTTCAAACCATAGTTTATTATTCTGGCAAGGGGAAGAAAGGTAGGGTAGAAATGAAATGTAATAATGTAATAATAATCCAGAAGAGAGGGGCAAAGGCACTATGTGTGCCAGCCAAAGATTTTTTCATATATTAGCTTATTATTTATGTAGACATGTATTTATAGGCTACCTATAACTGCTGAGGCCTTCCTAGGTGGCTTACAATACATAAATTATCAATGTGGCCCACGCAATCAGCTTATCTTTCAATGAACTCTCTTTCAGGGTGCTTCCAGACAGATTCTCTCTGCCGAAAAGGATTGTAAGATAGAAAGTAAAACAACCCAGATATAATTCAGAGGCAGAGCAAGTTATGCTGGCCAAAGAAGCACCACCAAAGTTAGCTGGGAGAGGTGATCACAGATGATATTTTAATACTGCTTGGCATATCAGTGGGCAGAGCATTAAGAAAAGATTATACAAGTACAGTTCAACTATTTGTAGTATAGTAGTGGTATCAGTATATAGAATATGATGGAAAACATCAATATCATCACTTTTCAATTTTTAAGTTTCACTTTTTAAAGCAGGAATAAGTTTAATCACTTTCCAAAGATT